AATATATAAAATGTTTTTAAACTCCTTTATATCAATTTCTGTTAAAAATATACTTAAAAAGAATTATTTTTATAATTAAAGAATCGTAATTTGAATTTTTTTTTANAAGATTTTAACACAAAATAGTTTAAATTAATCAATACAGGAGGCAAAACTTATTTCTTATTCATTAATAGCCACTTATATAAGTAAAATGTAAACTTCAATGTATAAATTACATGAGCACAGCATTAATTGTGTGTATAGCATAGCTCATGTTTCTTCTTTATACTGTTTTGTCTACAAAATCTTAACTCTACAGGCAAGTTTGAGTCTAGAGATGCAGTTAAAATGTGTGTAGACTGTATACAACCGGCTTTAACAGCACTCCAGGGTGTCTGCGCAAGCTCCTAAAGGTGTCGAAAGGTTCCTGGATACTTAATAATTTATTTAAAATCTACATAAATGATCAGTTATCAGATGTGTCGCACACACGTCAGTGAGTTAGGATGACATTCTTTAAAAATCAGGTTAGAAACTGCTATTCTATGTACTAGAAAATGTGTTGTTAACAGTTTTAAACTTGTAAAATAAAATAAATGTAGAGAAAAATAGATTTAGCATCTTCACATAAGCAATAAATAAGGATAAATTCATGACAAGACATAAAAATTGTGTCCACATCATATAACACTAAAAATTCTAATCAATATATAGTATAAAGAGTGTATATAGAATAAGATATTCTTGAAAATAAAATCTAAATTTCCCAGAGTGTATATATATATATATATATATATATAAAGCAGCTTTATTTTAAATAATATATTACCCCAGATCGCCGGAGAAAGTGTTAAATAAAACATATTTCCTACTTCCCCCCTTTAAACTGTGATTTTATAAATAATTTAAATCTGAAAATTTTGTTTTCTTTTCTTAACTGAATTGTTCATTTAATAATAGCTTTTTGGCATTATTAATCATTCTTTCCATTAATTATTGATCTTAAATTATCAGATAGATAAATGTATATATTATTTATTGAATCATGTAGATGTATGAGGAAAGAAGTTGTAGGTGTGTTTGATAGTAACATATTTCTAGATATAAGGGCTTATTTAATATATGAGAAGAAAACTGAGTAATTTATCTTCAATATTACATATATACAGGAAAGTTAATTAAAAATATATATATGGATATTTGCCTGATTGTGTCTTTATACGGTGGAGGTAGATTTAGGAGTGGTGCACAGGGTTCAGTTTCACCCCCTCTAAGGATTTCCATTGGTATCCAGTACACTGAAAGAGACTTTTCTAATTTCTTAAAATACTATCATGTAAAGCTATTTAACATATTAATATTTAACATTAAAAACTTTAGTATATTCAAGTTAACTCATTATATTTACCAATATTGAAGCATAGGTGACGGCGGTATTTTGTGTATAATAAGAATTAAGTGAAAATATTTTGAATTTAGAATAGAATTTATTAAGTTAAAATTATATATTGAGTTTAGAAATGGAAAATAAACTTATTTTATACTTTAAATGTGACTGTGAGTTAGTAATAATCGCACATAACTTGTTAAGAAATTAGCAAAATATTATCTTCATTCAGAGAGTTTCCAAGTTTACTGGCTCCACAGAGAATCAAAGATAAATACAGGAACTCTATATAAAGATTTCAACATTAAATTAATGTTGACTCCTTATATATAAGGTGGTCCAAAAGTCAGTTAAATACATTTTGTTTAGCACATTCTGGGTAATGTATTATCTCAATTTGGCATAAAATAATATAGTTAACTGACTTTTGAACCATCCTGTATATTATATTTTACATCTTGAAGGCATGGCCATCAAGAGAGGGGAGCTGCGTATTTTTCCCTGCATCCAGAAAAACTTAATTTATTGGAGTAGAAACTGCTACAGGTCTTTAATTTTATTTTTAATATGAAAAGATGATAAAATCTTGAAGACTTCTTTCTATTTATTAATAAAGAAACATTTTATGTATTTCATTTGTTCGGAATAAAGGCAAAGAGGCTGACTAAGGTTCAAAAGAGGGCCACTCTAATCCTCAGAATCCATAGCAAGCTTTCGAGGGTCCTGCTTGCATGGAAACTTATAAATACAAATAATAAAATGAGTTTAGATTGGCCTGTTCTTCTTCTACAAAACTATTGGAAACATAAGAATAAAGATAAAAAATTACAGCGGTTAACTACTGACTTTTAGGCCACCGTGTTAAGAAAATTGAAGCTTCATTAAAATAGTAAAGAAAATCATTAAATAGTTGCACGTCTTAAGCATATCAAGTGAGAGGTTGTTTGCGAGAACCTTAATGTCAAAAATCAATGTACTCTTATGTTACTGAGGATTAAAAAGATTACTGACATTTATAACTTACTCAGCTCATGTATATGTTAGTTTAAGTATAGAAGATTAGTGAATAGTATATGAATAATACTAGGAACATAGACTGTTTATAATGTTTTCTGGCTAAATCCTTTGAAAATATAGTCAATATATTATCTTTAATGGTTAAATATTATCTTAGAATATAAAATAACAACTTAGATTATCATCAAAGGATGCAAATTTAACAAAAATTGAGATCAAAAATATCTTTTCTAATTAGATTTGTACATTACTCTCATATTACAAAGTATTTTGAAATTGAAATTAATTGAATTAATTTCAATTACATTAAAACTTTCAAATAAATTTGTTTACATTAAAACTTGATTGAAATTAAATAATGTAATTATAACAACTAATAACTGAATTAATGATCTAATATATAGTAAAATATACCCTCTGTAAATTAAGAGAGGAATCAAATCCTCAACCGCATTCCTTAAATTGATGATTTCGATAACTATTGAGTTATAATTCCAGTAATTTTGGCTTTATTGGAGTACGAAAATTATTCATTACAGTTTTTCAAACTCTGTCGGCTCATCTATATAAATACAAACCTCTGAAGATGAGCCAACAGATCTCGAAAGTACTTGGAACTGTCACGAGAAGCAGAAATTAGTAGAATACAGCTTATGAAAGATTGGAGAGAGTAATAATTAGACTTATAATGAAGTTACGGGAATTTTTTGGCTGGTCCGTCTTAGCTACGTTGAGCCCGAAACTTCTTAGCTGGTTGGCTAGTGAGGTTTGGGGCTCAACTTATCCAGACCAACCATCTGAAAATTCCCTATCCAGGCCAAACTTGTGATGGCCAGGCTTACTATGGGGGCCCTCTTGGTGCCCTCAAAGTGGAAAATGTTAAAAACAAAAGAAAAAAAAATCAGTAAATGCATTACATTATGTATTAATTTGCTTTAAATTTAAAAATTTTTTATATTAATTATATCTTAGTGAAACTTAACTATGATTATTATTATTAACTTGTCTGCTGCATAATTAATCTGTTCTTAAAAGAAAAATTATTTTGGTTAACTTTAGAAAGGACTAGCAAATCAGAGAAACATAATTTCATACAAAAAGAGAATTTTTTAATTATTATTTAATTAAATAATATCACGAATGAATGAATCTCTCCATTAAAACAATTGCCATTCACATAATGAAGTGTGGTGTAACATCATATATAATTCATTTACTATAGGAAGGTCGGTCAAATATAAGAATCATATTTAATTTATTAATGTGACTATTTTTGAACCATTTATGGATTTTATATGAGTTCTGCGAGCAATTAGCTTGACAATGTCATGATTTAAATTGTAGATGATTAATGTTGTAGAATTTGTAGAGCGTAATATATGTTCGAATTAATCCAGATTAAGACAAAACTGAAATTTTCATTGAAATTGTTTTAAAGATTAACAAATTTTAGGCTCAATATGAGCTAATACATTAAAAAATTCATTCAATATACTGTTCTTAAAGTTTTAGCCACTGAATTGTATTATAAATGAATGTTTTCATTAATAAATACCTTATTTTTGTGATATTATATTATATTCTTTTATATATATTTATAAGTGTTAAGCTTAGTGGTATGTTTCTAAAAACAAAATGATGTCTTGAAAAATTTCATATAGAAAATTAAGGATATACTTAAAAAAATTTATTAAAGACTTCAAATAAGCTGTTAAACCTTTCCAATTTGTAATAAAATAAATTCAATTTGGTGAGATAAGGCAAAGCAACATGAGCAGTCCACAAGAGAAAGGCTTTCTATGGGAAATGGTTCCTATTTAGGTGTTATATATGTGAAGAAACCTCGGAAAACTTCACTCGGCTGGCCCATTGCTTGGGCACAAACCTTCCGACTACCATTGTTCTCTGGTTAGGAGTAGAATAAATTCTTTACATATAGAAGTCCTTTGTAATGAGGTTGAATATAAAAACTATACATTTTATATTCTGAAGCAATGTTTATTCAACTGACATTCAGTAGAATCGATGGATTTTTGAATGATATAAGAGTCCCCTCTCATCTTTATATATTAAATTTTAATTTACAGTCCAGAAAACTCTGATATGTAAAGTATTTATTTTACTACAGTTAATTTTAAATAAAGGAGTAAAGGAGAGATTTTAGAATAAATAATTTAAATTAAATATTAAAAATTATTAGTGATTGTAGTTCATTTGTCTGTCCTGTTTATTGTTTGTTTATTTTAGAATAGTAATGACTGAGTTTGTAGCAATTGGTATTTGATTTATGATTATGTATTTATAATTTAAATGTAATGTAAACAGTAAAAATGTACAGAAATTAATCAACTCGTACTCCAAAATATAAATATTTCATCGTACATTAAAACATGGCAAAATATTTAAATATTTTATTGGAAAAAATTCATAATTAAACAGCATTTACAATATTTTAATATCGTTATCTATAGAATAATATATTATATTTGCATTTATCAAATTTCCACTTGACTATTATATAAAATTTCCGCAAATATATATATTTTCTTCCGAACAAATATTACAAATTGTAATAGCATAATATATATTTTTTGTTTATCTTTTTTTTTTCTTAGTTTTTACATATAAAACCTGGTTATACATAATTTAAGCTCATTTTTTTGTTGAATAACTTTATAATATATTGCACATAACAGAAGTAACATTAACATAAACTTTATAATTTATATTATTTGCTATTATTAAACATTCAATCGCATGTATACAATTTGTATAAAGACTTTGACTCGTAGACATGAAAGAAAATCATAATATTTATAAAAACTGGTCCATTCGTATTAATAATAATTGTAAATAATTAAAATTTTGGGACGATTTTACCTCACAGAGGCATTAAGGATGATAATTTCCACTTTCTTTTTTATTTTATTAAGTGTAAATAAGGTAGTAAAGCTTACATTTCGTGCTTATAAATAATGTTAAAAATAAATTATTATTATTTTTTTAACAATTTAAAATCTTCAATAATAAAATAATTAACTTCTTTTCTCATTGTATTAGCATACAACTTGAGAAAATTAGTGTTGAAAGAGGAGTTGTTTTTTTCTAATTAATTAATTTTGCGTTGCTTTTCTTTGTTTGTAATTAAAAATAAGCTAAAAGTGACTTAATTAGATTGATTGAATTAATCTCAAATTTAAATTTTTAATTATTTGATTTGAGATTTAGTTTCGGATGAGTGAATAACTGTAGGATTTGGATAAAACAATAAAATTAAAAACGTTAATCGAATTTTGAGATGATAGTAAGATAATAAGTGAAAGGTATTTTAGTGTTTACGCAATTTAAAATTCTTGGATTTCTTTAGAAAATTTGCTAATAAAATTTTAAAGTCCAAATATAAAATTAAGGCTTTCGAATAGAAACCTCAGAATCGCGAGAAGGGAACGACACAGAATAATTTTAAATGTTACACTGCTTAAAAACTGAGATCAATGAATAATAAAATTCATGTTTTAAAAAATGATAAGATGAATTTTAAAAACTATTAATCTGTAAAGTCATACGTGCCATAGCAAGAGATGATTTGTGCTATCGTCGTGACCTAAAGCTTCACTAAAACCACTTTGGAAATCTTCGTAACCGTCTCCGCCGCTTATAACTAATAATTTATTGTTTTTGATTATTTCGTCGGGATTATCCGAATACGACAGTCTATGAGTATCGCAAAATTGTTCCATATCTACACACGTTAAGAATCTCACGTGACCCGTGTGTCCTTGAGATATCCCTGAAAGTAAAAATTAAATAATTTAAAAGATAAGAAATCTAACGTCCATAAAAATGAATATTCTATGAATTCTGTAAAACCAGAATTAATAGTTTTCAGTTAATGATGTATGTAAAGTGATATATGAAGTCAAAAAATAATTCTAAAATAGTATATTATCGACCTAACTTTTTATTTTATTTTTATATTTGAAAAATGAGGATGATCTGTGGAAGAATTAGACATTAAGCTATCGATTTTTTAAGTTGAATTATAATTAAATTTGTATTATAGATGAAAAGTTTGTATAAAATAAACATGCCAACACCAAAAATCCAACAACTTAAACACTTTTGAAAACGTTTGTTTGTCTAGTACTGTCTTAAACTGACATCATCAGATTCAAACCCGCAACATTCAAATGGAAGTTTAATTAGAACAGATTTTTCAATTAAAAAAATAGATGTTATAAGTTGCAAAAGCATGCATAACAGATGCTATATATCTATTAGATCAACAAATTTAAGTTCCTCCATCCCCCTCACAACACTGAATTGTTGGTGCTATGAGGGAGATGAAGGAACAAAGGATCTTAATCTCAAATGTTTCAGGTTAGAACTGGATGATGACCATTTAAGACAATCAGAAACGTTTGTTTGTTTAGTAGTTTTAAATGGTCATCATCCAGTTCTAACCTGATACATTTGAGATTAAGATCCTTTTACTAAGTTCCTTTGAGGTTCCTTCATCTTCCTCATAGCACCAACAATTCAGTGCTGTGAGGGGGATGGAGGAACTTAAATTTGTTGATCTAATAGATATATAGCATCTGTTATGCATGCTTTTGCAACTTATAACATCAGATTTTTCAATTAAAAAAATAGTTCTAATTAAACTTCCATTCGAATGTTGCGGGTTCGAACCCGACGATGTGAGTTTAAGATAGTTGAAAATGTTTGTCTGTCTAGTAAAGTGTTTACGTTGTTGGATTTTTGGTGTTTTTGTGTTTATTTATATATCCACTTCGTATATTTTTGTTTTATTTGTGTATGAAAAACATTGTATTCTTAGTTAGGATGTTATGATAATTCTTTGTATACAAAAATTACATTTCATAGTACAAAAACCTGTTTTTTTTAATTATAAAGATATTTATTGAAACAGAAATGATTTCCTGTAGAAATTTTCTCTTAAAATTATAAAATAAATGATTTTTTTTATAACATTGCATATCTTATAACAAAAATAAAGCATTCTATAGCATATAATAATCTCATACACTTGTATTTTATAAATATTTAAACTAAAACATTTTAATTTAGTAAGTGTAAAAGTATTTTATAATTGTATATATTATAATTAATTATACATACCAGAAATATTTATGTTGTCTAAGCAATTAAATACAGACGTGACATTAGATAAAGGCATCGTAAGTACAACTCCTGCACTGGTTCCTATCCACAGTAAATCCTTACAAGCTAGCAATGAAGTAATGCGTAAACAGGCAGATTTATGTTGTTGTATTATATCATCACAACCTGATTTTATATAATGAAATATGTTTAAAATGTAAAAAAAAAAAACAATATAGATTACTTTTATAAAATCTGTATTTTGCTTACAAGCGAGCATTTTCGAAACTGCGGGAACCACACTAATATCTGTTAGATATTCGTAAGTTGTAGCATGATAAAGAAAAATAACAGGACTGCACTGAAGTGCAATCCATACTCCTAATCCAGACAAGACCATAGATATTACGGATTTTGTAGAATCTTGTCCAACTTGGATGGAATACTGAAAAAAAAATAAAGAAAATTATCCTACATAATTCTAATTACAATGAGCAATTATTTATTTTCACATTGTCACAATGCTGGGCTGCAATCTTTTAAATCTCGATGCATAATGCTATTGATTTTAGTAGTGTCTTGCCCCTGTACATCATACTTTTCCTGCAAACTGTTCTGGAAAAAATTTTTGAATTAAAATAGCGTGACTTCCAGTCAAACTGGAAGTTAATTGGGCCTCCAGATCCTAAGCTTTCCATATGTAGTCTTGACTTTCATCTACCTAACTCCGTTCTCGAGATTAAGAAAGGGCAGATGGCCAAACATATGCCAGTGGGAATTTATAGATCTGCAATTTTAAAACTGCAGCCCAACAACATTCAATAAACCTGGGCTTCTTAAACTGTGAGTTGCAACCCTGCAACCCCTTTGAAGTCTAAAATTAAACATTGGTCAACTCTAAAAAACACCGAAAATGTCCTGCATTCCGCAGTATCAATATTTAATTCTTTATGTAAAAATAAACAAGCACATCCATCTCATTTGTATGAAAATTTTCTTGTCTTTAATAAATAATAAATTAATACCTATATCAAAGAATTGTTTTATGATTTATTATCAGTAAGTGGTTTTATTTGTATACCTATTTTATATACTGGGAATTGCATAAAATTTTCTTGGGCGAAGAGGGTTGCAAATGGAAAAAGTTTAAGAAGACCCACAATAAACTATACTTACTTCAACTTTATGCGTGTCAGTGTTGAGGACTTTGATAAAATTCTGACAGCCACACCACAATTTTCCATTCACGCCAAGCATATAAGTAACAGAAGACGAACCGTTTCCTATTTGGATCTTTAGAGTTTGATCGAAATTCCAAATTCCACCTTTATTTTATTTGAAAATGTTTTTTAAAATTCATAACAATGCATATATAACTACAATGAAAAACTACTTACTATCTTTCCTTGTGTATATAGCTAGCTCTCCATTTGCAAGTGATACAAATATCTGGTTGTCAAAGTACCTTAAATTATAAAATACAGAATTCTAATTACGTATATAATTAAATTATTTCAATGTTTAATTATAAATATTTGTAAGAATTTTAAAGGAATATTTAAAAATTTTCTGTTTACATGTAAAATAATTTGTGTGTCATTAACATTTTAAGTTCATTGAACATGAGATCAAACTAGCAGGGAGTTATGTTGTTATTTTGCATCAAATTTTATTGATATTAACTTAGATTTTGCCAAAGTAAGCCCTTTTTTTTCTGTTAAAAAATGCCATTAAGTTAACCTTAAAAAGAAATAAATGTGAAATGCATGTTTGTCTTCGATTTTGGTTTTAATTAAAGTCCATCAAAACATTTTTTTTATTTGCTTTCATGTTCCAGAATACATCTCGTGATAGCCTGACTTTCCTTTTTAGGTCATTTGTCCATCAAAAAATTAAAAACTCTCTTATTTAATTCTGATTTTTTGAAAGTTTTTTGTTATATTTTTTCATGTTCGAATAGCCTAAAAAAAAGGTGGTCAGTGCATCAGGAGATGCATTCTGGAACATGAAAGTGAATAAAAAGATGACTGTTTGACAGACTTCTTCTTTAATTTTGGTTTAATTAATATTAAAATTACCATCCAGCGAATTTAACAAATTAGTTTCCAATTTGTTAGGGACTTAATTACAAAATTAATAAATTTTGAATAGAAATTTTGAAGCTTTAAAAATGTTTACCAATTTCCAAGCTTAATATAACTTTTTTAGTTTTATAATCATAAAAATAACAGCTGATGTATACATTAACCCCATAAACTACTAAATTTAAGGAGCTTTTGACAAAATGACACATAAAATCAATATAAATATATAAATATTTAGGCTAAAAAGATGAAAAAATAATTTTCTTATTTAAATATTTCTTTTTAAATAATAATAATAGAAATTCAGACTGTAAATCTTTTATTGTTTTATTTCAGAATATAATAGAAAATTATATATTCAAACAAGTCTTTAATGATTCACCAAAATTACACTGGTTATAGGCTATTAATTTATTTAATTATGGAATAATTCGGTGCCACGTTTAAGTGCGTTATTTGGCAATACACTTAACGTTTCAATAATTTAATCATGAAGGAACTATAGTATAGATAAAAATAGAAACTATGCTATAATTAGAAACAGAATTCAAATTCACCAGTCACAACAAATCCATTCATTCAACATGCTGGTTACACTATGAGAACATTCCAATTTGGAAGCATTCCAGTAGTTACTGTATATAATCATAAAGATATTTATAGCATCAAACTGTTTAAGTAATTACTAAATTAATTAAACAGTTTGATGCTATAAATATCCCATTTGTTCCCTCTGTGGATGTCTGTGGCCTAGTAATTAATTAAGTATCCAATCATCAATGAAATCAAACTAGTAATTAATGTAATTAACTAATAAGGTCCAAACGTCTTAGCCAAGGACATCCACAGAGGGGCAAATGGGGCACTAACCCTCTCTGGGATTGAGTAAAACTTCCACAAATTATAATCATAAAAATGATCGAGACTTGTAACCTTACACCCTCAACCACGAGACTCTTTGTCTTAAAAAACCCTCAAAAATTTAATTAAATATAAATTTATTGATGTAATTATTTATCTCAAAGCTTTGCCCACCATGGTCTAAGCACATCACGATCGTGACTAACAGCTAAAATCTAGGTATAATCCATTCAGTTCAACCGAATTTTTAATTAAAGCCAAACAAACTGCCGGATTACCAGGCTACATTAAGGCAAATTTTAATATTTTATTAAAATTAGCTTTAATTGAGTGGGATAATCTGGCAGTTCATTTAGCTTTCATCTAGATACAACAACAGAAAAAAATTCTGAATACCAATCAAAAATTTTTAAATATACCTACACCAGGCAAAATATAGGAGAAGAATGCTGAATTTTGGTTTTATTTTTCTTTATTCTGATATTTTCATTACAGCTATAAACAAGAATACTGAAATAAAAATAATAAAACATAAGACATAGCTTATTTCAATATAAAATTATATATTAACTAACTACAGTATAAAATGCTAAAACAGTTCAATGTAAGTCTGGGATTTATCAAGGTTATACTATATCATCAGATCTAATAACACGACAGTTGAACATCAAGACATAAAAAAATTCTTTGTTGATTTTGTTTAAAACCTTTTAAAATGCTAATAACAAGTAAAATAGTCATTAAGTCTGACCCTACTGGAGATGTAACACACGAGCCCCTTTATCTCCCAACTCCCTCGACCTTTAACCACCAAAATTTAATAGCATCAATCTCCCTAATAAACAAACCTCCCTGCAAAATTTCAGAAATTTTCGACAAAAAGCACAGAAGTTATTAAGCTTCAAAGAGGGTAAAGAAAATAGTACCCCCCCCACACATCCATACATACAGAAAAAAACCCCAGAATTTTTTTGCATTTCTCGACATTTCAAGGTCTCTAGTCCAAAAATGTATAATTCTTGGGGGTCATTTTTTTGACCAATGGCCATACTTTCCCTCTGTTATATATATAAGAGAGCTGGAAAAATAAAAATGCATCAGGTATACCGGTAAATGTTAATATCCCAGTGATAGATCTGATGATGAAAAACATTTGATCTAGTGGCAACATTATAATTTAATGGGAGCCCAGGAAAATTTGAATTATGGGCCCCCATATACAGTGTTGACTTCAGACATTTTTCTTCACAGGAATTTTTTGGAGGAATCCCCGATATCCTCGTTTGGTTTTTAACGAGACCTCCGGAGGGTTAAGTTCTGCGCTGCACCACACCGGCAATCTAGGATCCAAGGTATGGCCCAAATTTAATTTCGATATTCTTTCTACAGTAATGAGTTTATAAAAGATTGGTTTGGGCCCCCAGATAACTGCCCTTTATGTCTATAGAATAACATGCCACTGATTTGATCCCAGATTTCTTAAACTGTTTTAACATGTTATGGTTAATATTATATTTGTGGAGCCATTTAATGATCAGGAAAATGTCTAATTAAAATTCTTTTGTTACTAGCGAGGTTGCGGCCGAAGTTTTCATCTCTAAAATGTGAACGTCAAATGCTGCTATCTTGTAAGCGGTGCTCAATGTTCGATGTTCACATTTTAGAGATGAAAACGTCGGCCGCAACCTCGCTATTAATTTTGAAATCAAAACTGAAATTAGGCGCTGATGATGATTATAAAATATAATAAAATAATTTAAAAAATTAAAGAAATAAGATAAATTTGATTAAATTAAATCTTACCAACCATCTTCAGTACCCAACCACATTGTTGGTTGTTCGTTTTCTTTCTCTTTGTAGTATTCTTGATTTGAAACAGTTTCGACGTTTTCTGTCTCATCAGTCGATGCATCTACGTAGAGAAAATAAATGTTTTCAAGTAGTTTAAAAACAATTGGAGCAATAAAACACGATGAAAATTTCATATAGTAAGTATTTTGTAAGTTTAAATTTGGCTTGATATCAAATTTAATTATAAAACAAGAAATTGTCTTTATTAATTAATTTTATTTTATGAAAATGAGTTCCGAGTTTAAGGAAATTTGAATCGATTTTCCTTTTTGTCATTGCGATAAAGTGAATTTTACACTAAATGAAATGGTTGCAATTCTGAAATAAAACTGTGTTCAGTATAATATAAATACATAAATATATAAAACAGATATTTACCTGTATCTTGCTATACAATTTTTGTTCTTTAAAGTTTGAAAAATAAGTCATACACCTTATGTACATTGTATTAATGTAATGGAGAATTTCTAGTGTTAAAACAAAGAAATTAAACTGCTAGAAAGAAAGTTTGCTTGGTGGGGTTAAAGGAATCAGGTATTTCTTTGGATTAAGAACAATCTGGGATTCTCAATCCCATCTTCAGAAATAAACAACCTTAATTAAGTAATGCATCTGCATGATAAGTGAGAGTTGCAAGTTCGAGTCCCACTCTGGGCCAATTCTTTTCTTCCAGAATATTTAAATTAATATTTATTAAATAATTTAGATTATAATTAGATAACATCTCTTATTAAATTTAATAAAGCCTAACTCTAGTACCAAATTAATTAGAATTTAATTATTAATAGTAGCCAAAAAATAGACCAACTCATTATGGCAATTGTTTGGATTTGATTAATAACAATCAGGCTTTGAGATTTTTATATATATATACCAATATACCATGCCGGGGTAAAGCAATAGTTGGCCGAGTGCCATAGTGGATGATAAGTTGTCCCCAGTCATCTCTGTGGATGATTGCTTCCAGACATATTTAATTTAGATATAAAGGGTTGGACAGAGGTCTGAAGTAGCATAACTGGCAACCTTAATTTTATTTAAAATTTTACAAAAAATGAAGAAAGATAAGAATCCCCGTGTTTTCTTCATCCTTTTCATGCCTCAGAAACAAACAGTTTTATGGCAGAATTGATCTTTTATTGTAAATTCTTATCTGTCTCAAAATGTTTTACATACTTTTGTTCTGGTTATTTACTAGTTTTATTAACCTTAATTTTCATAAATCAAATCAAAGTTACAACCTATGGAAAATTGTACTGTTGTAATTTTGACCCAATGGACTATAAATAAGTTGAAAACGTTTGTCTGTTCATTAAATTTGCATTGAATTTATGAAAATTGTTTCTTTCTGAATAGATGTTTTCTCAACTTCTTTCCTTTATTATATAAGTTAGTAATTTATTAATAAATATTTATTTATATTTATAACTTAGAAGCAAAGAAGCTGATAAGACTGGTGAATCTTAAATTGTTTAAATGTATATTTTATTAGGCTAATATTTAAAACTAGTATCTGAAAATATTTATTTTTCTCTCCCCTTTTCTTTGATGTTCTTCTGACTATCTTGAGGGGAATAAGTTCACAATAATTGTGATCACACATCATGTTTGGTCGTTAGGAAGCAAAGGTTATAAAGGGAAGAAGCTAGAAGAAAACTGACCTTTGAAAGTCAGATCGAAAGGACAGACTTTAATAATGAGGAACATAATCAGTTTCCATTTAGGAAATTTTGTGTAAAGGTGTAAAGTCGGTTGAGATCATCAATCTGTGATGTATCCACAAGTGTACCAAGCCTGCTTAGACTGAAAATTGCAAAGTGTCATCGGATAACAAAGGATTTAAGGCATAAATCTCAAGACACAACGACACAGCTCTCAAGTAACAAATCTTATTGCACGGTTATCTGAATTTTTAATTTAGTGTTAGGGCACCCTATTTAATAACTCTTGTTCTCTTTCCTTAATTAATATTCTAATTGATTTCTGTTACTTTTCCTTTAAGCTTATAGGCTAATTTAAATGTCATGTCACTGATATCTTTTGTATTTATATGTATTGGGAATGTGATGATACAATAATTCCCTTCTATATCCATTATATGCATTGTCACATAGTTTATAAAGTAAAATCTTTGTTGTAACCTGTATAATCATGGTACTACCACACAAATACTATTATATTCTAAATCAAATATTTAAAGATGTAAGGATAAATGTCTTTAAATAACAAATCTGATCACTAATTCATATATAAAACTGTAATAAAATAAAAGTTTGACATTTTCTCTATTTATCAGATGAAGTTTTATTTTCCTAACACACCTCTCTAGCTAATGCATTTAATTATAATATGAATATTTATTTATTCTTAACCATAAACTTTTTTTAATTCGTTGATAGAATATTTTGGCTTCAATATACAAAAATTAATAAACTTTTTAATAGTTTATAGTCTGCATAATTTATACATAAACTATCATCTTAGGTAGTATTTGAAATATGGGAATTTTGGAAGTTATACAGTATAAAATATTATATATTATATTATATAACGTATATATATGTATATTCTTATTATGTATTAAACGTTTTGTTATCTTTTAATTTTTTTTTATGAAAGAATGGAAATTTTTTACAAAACCAAATAAATCAAACTGATCAATAATCCACACCTTAAAATTACTCCAGCAGGTATTCTTAATAAACAAAAATGTTTTTGTTCCACTTCATGGATCTTTATCAGTTGTAGAATATTGTTTAAATTTAGTGTTAATTTATAAATAATAAAAGTGAATAAATAAAATAGAAATTTAAAATACCTGCAAAGATCTAAGCAACACAGCTCTTTACACTTTTATGAACAAATATGGCATGGAGGTCTCTTGGGGTGACGCTCAAGTTATAGGCCTATGAATGATTTAAATAGCCTACAACACCTGGCGGTCTTAGAAATTTACAAGGCTAATAGAAAGCTCGACTGCATTACTTCCGTGATGCCGACTCTTTATCTGCTGTGCAGAAACTGCTTTTTGAAATCTTACTTTGTTAAATATTTTGTTGTGACTTATTTTTAATGTTAATTTTTGTTTTGCTCTCTTTTCTTATATTTTATTTGTATTTTAAATTTTTAATTAATTTATTTACTTTCATTTCAATGTTAGATTTAAAGTACTCTGTTTAAACAACATAAAATTTAAATGCTTATACTTTAACGTTAAATTCAAATTTTATTCTGTTCTATTCATTAAACTGTATTCTACAACTGACAAAGATCCATCGACTGGATCAAAAACGTATTTATTTATTAAAAATACCTACTGGAGTAATTTTAAGATATAGATTATTTATCTTTAAATTCTTTCCCCAGTTCCTATGTAACTTTGCAAGAAAATCACCTGGGAGACATGAAATTCAGAATACAAAGACATTATTTTGTAATTAAAGGATGGGGAAAGCATACTAGCACAAAAATGAATAGAATGCATATGGTATGAAATCAAAGCTTTCTTTTTATTGTAGTTTTGCACTGCGCATGCCCTCACGTGACTTATGATGTCTTCTTCCTGCAAACGAATCACTTTTCTACTGAATTGGGTGTTCATTGTACTGATTGCAGCAAGCCTTTTTCTACAATTTCATGGCTGTCTGCTTTTTTAAGCAGACAGCCATGAAATCATATCATTGCTGCTTAAGTTTTGCATTATCAGTACATCATTGCTTACATTTTGCATGCCAGTGTAATTTAGAAACTTTTGTATTTTATTTTAATATTACACATAATCTATCAAATCAAATATACACATTTATAAACATTAATATATTTAATTACAGGATAAATCTTTACCTCCGATATCTGTTTTTTCATCATCATCTTCACTAGAATCACTAAATAAAATTCAGTGTACAGACTGTTAGATATAAATTTTATGATTTTAATATATTTTATGATTAATTACGCTTACCTCTCTAATTGAATATTTCCATTCATCCTTCTCCATGAATCCCTCTTAAAATTATGATTATTATTGCTTTTATTTGTCATCATTTTGGAATTTACATTGGGTATCTGTCTGGAAAATTTTAAAAATATAAGTATAGAATAAATTATCTTAGTAATAATTAATGAATTTTAACAAGTTAATATATCTATTTTGGTTTAGAATATAGAATGATATACAGTAGAGCGTCGATTATCCGAATCAATTGGGGACTGGGGTGGTTCGGAAGATCGATGTTTCGGATAACCGATTATGTATGATATTAATTTAACTGATATTAATTTATCCCATCTCGACATTTTTCTCCGTTTCGTGTCACTTTGCGTTGAATTTTCGTCGATGTTAAGCCTAACAAAGACTATTGTATCGTTAAAAATTTTTTTTTTATTTTGTACAAACAAAATAAATATATTGAAAAATATAAAAACAATAAAAAATTATACTTCAGAAGTTAATTTAGTATCAAAAACGTAAAATATTTGAGTAGCCCAAGACATAGCCAAAGATTGCAGTGCCATAGCACTGACGAAAATTTAAATTTGCCGACTGGAATTCTTTCGGATGATTGACTTTCGGATAATCGATGCTCTACTGTATTCATTTAACTGAAATCTACAGCTGATATATTTACAGCCTACAACTGTGCTAGTTATTAACAATCCATATACATAATTTGACCTAGGGTAGGCACAGTTTTTTTATTATTAGCACAGTTATAGTGCAGAGCCATAGTTATGGAAACTGTGAGGCTATAACATTCTTTCAGCTTGCTTCTGTAGTCTTCCAATCATGTGCATCAATTCAAGTGGAACAGAGGAGACTGTATAGCCTGTGAACAAGCCGGCTTTAAATCTTTGATTATACTACCCAAAATGATTTTTACCTTCCGGTTTCATATTAATTCCAATGTCTAAATTTCAAAAACCAGCAAGAAAATGTCATGTAACATCATCGTTTTCAGACATTAAAGCTTGTACATCAGGTATTCATGCATTTACTGATGTAAAGTTGACGACGTAAATTAGGAATTAATACACAGGAGTGAGTACCTTTCAGTGAAGTAAAACAAGCAGCTGAAACGTGAAACTGACCTGGAGAGCATTTATTGAGAAAATCCTGAGCATATATATGGTAACAGGGATTTCACAGTCTTGCTGAAAGTACGGTACATGCATCCTTTGTCTTTAACCGTTTGACTATGAAATGGTATCTGGTGATACACAATACCGTCAATGGCTCTCTCTCTCTCTCATGGCAAAAGAAAGATTATATAATTTGATAATTCCAAAGATCATTATTTTGGAATTACAGTGGAGTCCTGATTAACAGAGTCCCATTTAATTAAATTTCTGCTTCATCCAAGGTGAACTGTGGAAGAGTATTTTGTCAATAAAGACAAGAGAACATATTATAATACAGTTCCTTTCACAAATCTTATCCAGCTTATTCTTTGTCATGTTTTTATGTTAATGACTTTTTACTCTCTTCAATATTAAACTGTTAAGTTTATACTTAATTTTACTTGTTGCATTTCATCTATGTTATTAGTGTAAGCACCAAAAGCAGAAAATAGAAAGATGCTGTTGGGTCTTCAGATATAAACTCAAAGCAATTGGATGCTTGGATCAAGCAGAAACAATTAAAAAAGTAGCTGACTTGGGTGTTGAACAAGTAAGTATAGGAAACTTATTACTCCTAGAGGTACAGTGTTTGTACAGTTACCAATCCTACAATGATCTAATGTCTGTCTATGGAAAGAATCTACTTGAGATCAATGTCACGCATGATGATAAACCAATAAGGACATTCCCTACTGATGTCAGCACTTTTCACTTATTGTCAGACAATATGTGAATTTTATTTTACTTTCTCTCATTGGATGGAAGAATGACTTTTCTATTAATTTTTTATAGCATGCATTAACTGTAAAGAATCATGTGTTTAACTACTACTATAGCAAATTTCCTCATATTCAATACCTGAATGTGAAGCAACACAGTTTATAATCGCGGTTACACATTTAACAGATGAGGAAGAAACTTGCCATAACTAAGCTATCAATGGCTAATGCTCATTGGTTAATACCAAATTGATTCTTTCCATAAACAGACTAATGCAGTAAAAATTTCTTTATTCAGATGTTTTCAATAGTCTTAAACAATCTTCAGAAAATTACGTTCTAAATGAACGAACATCTAACAGTTTCTTCTTTTCAAATGTAATTTTATGAAGATTGTTTAAGACAAGTGAAAACATTTGATTAAATACACGACAGTAAATATATAAATACAGAGCATATATATATATATATATATATATTACATTAGATATAACCTTCTGCTCTTATCCGCCTTGAGTACAATCACATGTTCATCAGCCAACCATTTCCTGGATCTTCTTAGCATACGCTAGAAACCATCATCACAGGTTTGGTTGTTGGTAGCGCAGATTTTGAGTGCAGTTTTCCATCTGTAGTACTCCTTTTGGACCCCGTCATGACTGTGATGACGGGTCCATTCATTTATTGTATACTACTCGGGCTTTAAGATGATGTTATAAATACAGAGCTTCAATACAGAACAGTAAAAATTTCAACAGAATATTTAACACATTTTTAAGGATCCTGAATTATTTGACTTTCAATGAAAATTGTCATTTTAAGCTTATTCTTCTCTGATGAATTTGAACAATGGTTTCATTTTCTACTTGATCAGAAAATACAGGAACAAGGATCCTAATTAATTGTTTGATTATTTTTATATTTAATTATCAAAGAATTCATTGGTTATTTTGAAATTTTGTAAATTTAAAATGTTCTACTTTCGAAACATTTTAACTTGCGACTGGATTTAAATTTTGTTATGTATTCTACTTAAATCCATTAACCGATTTGATTATGCAGTTCTATGTAGGCTGAAGATAGCCTGTAAACAAGATCAAGACATTTGTGGTTAAGTTTTCTGCTGGAATTTTATGGTTTATTATGCTCCTGGAACACAAATATATTGCGTAAGCATGCATTTTCACTTGTCTACGGCTTGTAATTTTTACCATGAACAATAATCATGTAAATTTTTCAAAATTAATTAATTATATACATATATAGGTTTATTTGCTTTCATAAAAACAGCTATAAATAAAATTAAGTGTTTTATTGTATAATTTAAAACTCATTCTGTTCTGTAAGTACTGTAAATTCTATATATTAATGCATAAACTCCAGTTTATTTAATAATTTATGAAATATTCCACATTATCCGAGTCACTTATTCACATTACCTTGCATAATTGAGACTCCACTGTACATTAAATTACAGAAATTTCTATAAAACATAAATAACCAAATAGAACTTTTTACATCATTTTTAATATTTAATGAAATTTTGATAAAATTATAATTGAATTCAAATTTTATGACATGTAAATTCAATTATCAACTTTCATATCAGATTAATTCAAAATAAAAAAGTTTTTTTCTTTTATATCTCCTTAAGATAACACAGAAAATGTAAGAATGTTTCTGAATATATTTACTCTATAGAGTTAGAAGTTATTCAAAAAATTTGGTTATGATTATGAATTAAAATGCATATTATAACGAGCAATTATTTTATTGTGATGCCATCACAATGCCTGACTGCAATTTTTAATTTATTTCATTTAAAATATATGCTCTCCATCTCAAATTAGTTGTGGGTTGCCCCTGTACATCATACTTTTCCTTTAACAATATAGTTATGCAGGTCATCTATCTAACACCTCTCAGAAAAATTTTTGAATTGAAATAATGTGACTTCCGGTTTTCATTGGAAGTTTGTATATAGTTAATCACGACCTCCTGCCCCTAAGATTTCCATATCTGGTCTCGTCTTTCATCTATCTAACTCTGTTCTCAAGATTCTCTTCTCTGTTCTCAAGATCAAGGAAAGACAAATGGACGGATGAATGGACAACAGTGAGAATGTATAGTTCTACAATTTTTTCAAATTGCAGCCTAATAAGAATAATTAATAATGCTAGATAAGATTTTTTTCTGTTAAATCATGTTCCTTCATTAGAATCTTTTATTTATTTATTTTATACAGACGATGTCGCTAAAACAATAATTGCCATATCCAGTACAATGAACAAATCCCATTAAAATATATACTAAACTACAGTATAATGCAATCTCCTATAACACAAATCCATATAACTCGACAAAAGAATTGCGACTAGTATCTCAATGACGCAGTTTTCCATAATGCAAATGTATCCCCTTCATTGTATGGATTGTGCTATAGTAGAATACAAAGTAACAACAACAAATATAAAATAATAATAAATTAATTAAAATAAAAAGCAATGAATTAAGCAGTATAAAGTATTTTTCACAGATTAATTTATATATGATAGTATAAGTCAGTTTTTCTCAATTGCTGATCCAAAGAAAAATATTTGACCATACTGATGCTGGTGCAGTTGATTACGAGTGACATTTACATCGTTATCTAGAATTACTATACATACTTTGTTACATACAATAACTCTGGATAAGTATATGTAAGTATAATTCATAGTTGCATATAATTACTGATCCACATAAAATTATCCATAATTTTATTGGTCCACAAGAAGAAAAATATTGAAAAATACTGCTCTAAGTATAAATTGTTCTTTACTTTGTTAACTGATTTATAATAATAAAATAAAAAAAGATTTAATTGTGATATTAAGACAACAAAAGAGAACATAAAATTACACACTCACATGCACATGCAGTCTTCCAAAACGAATGCTACCATTTTAAAAAACTGTAATTTTGTTAATTATTATCTGAAAAGTATGTGTTGGACAATGAGTAACTTCAAGTTTCATTTATGATCTGTATTCAAATGTCTTTTTTGTCTACTGCCTCTACGAAGCACCATAAATGAAATAGCTACTCTGCAACAGAGAAGACATTTTGTATTCTGCAGTCCGTAAACCCGGAATCAGTCATCATTGCGCAATGTAATGTTTTCATTTGGAGTCAAAATTTAAAACTTACCAATAAGTTAGCAGTAAACTGATAACATTTTGACTTTACAGGTAATAAAAAAAAAAAACAATAANTTGTAAATTCTTATCTGTCTCAAAATGTTTTACATACTTTTGTTCTGGTTATTTACTAGTTTTATTAACCTTAATTTTCATAAATCAAATCAAAGTTACAACCTATGGAAAATTGTACTGTTGTAATTTTGACCCAATGGACTATAAATAAGTTGAAAACGTTTGTCTGTTCATTAAATTTGCATTGAATTTATGAAAATTGTTTCTTTCTGAATAGATGTTTTCTCAACTTCTTTCCTTTATTATATAAGTTAGTAATTTATTAATAAATATTTATTTATATTTATAACTTAGAAGCAAAGAAGCTGATAAGACTGGTGAATCTTAAATTGTTTAAATGTATATTTTATTAGGCTAATATTTAAAACTAGTATCTGAAAATATTTATTTTTCTCTCCCCTTTTCTTTGGTGTTCTTCTGACTATCTTGAGGGGAATAAGTTCACAATAATTGTGATCACACATCATGTTTGGTCGTTAGGAAGCAAAGGTTATAAAGGGAAGAAGCTAGAAGAAAACTGACCTTTGAAAGTCAGATCGAAAGGACAGACTTTAATAATGAGGAACATAATCAGTTTCCATTTAGGAAATTTTGTGTAAAGGTGTAAAGTCGGTTGAGATCATCAATCTGTGATGTATCCACAAGTGTACCAAGCCTGCTTAGACTGAAAATTGCAAAGTGTCATCGGATAACAAAGGATTTAAGGCATAAATCTCAAGACACAACGACACAGCTCTCAAGTAACAAATCTTATTGCACGGTTATCTGAATTTTTAATTTAGTGTTAGGGCACCCTATTTAATAACTCTTGTTCTCTTTCCTTAATTAATATTCTAATTGATTTCTGTTACTTTTCCTTTAAGCTTATAGGCTAATTTAAATGTCATGTCACTGATATCTTTTGTATTTATATGTATTGGGAATGTGATGATACAATAATTCCCTTCTATATCCATTATATGCATTGTCACATAGTTTATAAAGTAAAATCTTTGTTGTAACCTGTATAATCATGGTACTACCACACAAATACTATTATATTCTAAATCAAATATTTAAAGATGTAAGGATAAATGTCTTTAAATAACAAATCTGATCACTAATTCATATATAAAACTGTAATAAAATAAAAGTTTGACATTTTCTCTATTTATCAGATGAAGTTTTATTTTCCTAACACACCTCTCTAGCTAATGCATTTAATTATAATATGAATATTTATTTATTCTTAACCATAAACTTTTTTTAATTCGTTGATAGAATATTTTGGCTTCAATATACAAAAATTAATAAACTTTTTAATAGTTTATAGTCTGCATAATTTATACATAAACTATCATCTTAGGTAGTATTTGAAATATGGGAATTTTGGAAGTTATACAGTATAAAATATTATATATTATATTATATAACGTATATATATGTATATTCTTATTATGTATTAAACGTTTTGTTATCTTTTAATTTTTTTTTATGAAAGAATGGAAATTTTTTACAAAACCAAATAAATCAAACTGATCAATAATCCACACCTTAAAATTACTCCAGCAGGTATTCTTAATAAACAAAAATGTTTTTGTTCCACTTCATGGATCTTTATCAGTTGTAGAATATTGTTTAAATTTAGTGTTAATTTATAAATAATAAAAGTGAATAAATAAAATAGAAATTTAAAATACCTGCAAAGATCTAAGCAACACAGCTCTTTACACTTTTATGAACAAATATGGCATGGAGGTCTCTTGGGGTGACGCTCAAGTTATAGGCCTATGAATGATTTAAATAGCCTACAACACCTGGCGGTCTTAGAAATTTACAAGGCTAATAGAAAGCTCGACTGCATTACTTCCGTGATGCCGACTCTTTATCTGCTGTGCAGAAACTGCTTTTTGAAATCTTACTTTGTTAAATATTTTGTTGTGACTTATTTTTAATGTTAATTTTTGTTTTGCTCTCTTTTCTTATATTTTATTTGTATTTTAAATTTTTAATTAATTTATTTACTTTCATTTCAATGTTAGATTTAAAGTACTCTGTTTAAACAACATAAAATTTAAATGCTTATACTTTAACGTTAAATTCAAATTTTATTCTGTTCTATTCATTAAACTGTATTCTACAACTGACAAAGATCCATCGACTGGATCAAAAACGTATTTATTTATTAAAAATACCTACTGGAGTAATTTTAAGATATAGATTATTTATCTTTAAATTCTTTCCCCAGTTCCTATGTAACTTTGCAAGAAAATCACCTGGGAGACATGAAATTCAGAATACAAAGACATTATTTTGTAATTAAAGGATGGGGAAAGCATACTAGCACAAAAATGAATAGAATGCATATGGTATGAAATCAAAGCTTTCTTTTTATTGTAGTTTTGCACTGCGCATGCCCTCACGTGACTTATGATGTCTTCTTCCTGCAAACGAATCACTTTTCTACTGAATTGGGTGTTCATTGTACTGATTGCAGCAAGCCTTTTTCTACAATTTCATGGCTGTCTGCTTTTTTAAGCAGACAGCCATGAAATCATATCATTGCTGCTTAAGTTTTGCATTATCAGTACATCATTGCTTACATTTTGCATGCCAGTGTAATTTAGAAACTTTTGTATTTTATTTTAATATTACACATAATCTATCAAATCAAATATACACATTTATAAACATTAATATATTTAATTACAGGATAAATCTTTACCTCCGATATCTGTTTTTTCATCATCATCTTCACTAGAATCACTAAATAAAATTCAGTGTACAGACTGTTAGATATAAATTTTATGATTTTAATATATTTTATGATTAATTACGCTTACCTCTCTAATTGAATATTTCCATTCATCCTTCTCCATGAATCCCTCTTAAAATTATGATTATTATTGCTTTTATTTGTCATCATTTTGGAATTTACATTGGGTATCTGTCTGGAAAATTTTAAAAATATAAGTATAGAATAAATTATCTTAGTAATAATTAATGAATTTTAACAAGTTAATATATCTATTTTGGTTTAGAATATAGAATGATATACAGTAGAGCGTCGATTATCCGAATCAATTGGGGACTGGGGTGGTTCGGAAGATCGATGTTTCGGATAACCGATTATGTATGATATTAATTTAACTGATATTAATTTATCCCATCTCGACATTTTTCTCCGTTTCGTGTCACTTCGTGTTGAATTTTCGTCGATGTTAAGCCTAACAAAGGCTATTGTATCGTTAAAAATTATTTTTTTATTTTGTACAAACAAAATAAATATATTGAAAAATATAAAAACAATAAAAAATTATACTTCAGAAGTTAATTTAGTATCAAAAACGTAAAATATTTGAGTAGCCCAAGACATAGCCAAAGATTGCAGTGCCATAGCACTGACGAAAATTTAAATTTGCCGACTGGAATTCTTTCGGATGATTGACTTTCGGATAATCGATGCTCTACTGTATTCATTTAACTGAAATCTACAGCTGATATATTTACAGCCTACAACTGTGCTAGTTATTAACAATCCATATACATAATTTGACCTAGGGTAGGCACAGTTTTTTTATTATTAGCACAGTTATAGTGCAGAGCCATAGTTATGGAAACTGTGAGGCTATAACATTCTTTCAGCTTGCTTCTGTAGTCTTCCAATCATGTGCATCAATTCAAGTGGAACAGAGGAGACTGTATAGCCTGTGAACAAGCCGGCTTTAAATCTTTGATTATACTACCCAAAATGATTTTTACCTTCCGGTTTCATATTAATTCCAATGTCTAAATTTCAAAAACCAGCAAGAAAATGTCATGTAACATCATCGTTTTCAGACATTAAAGCTTGTACATCAGGTATTCATGCATTTACTGATGTAAAGTTGACGACATAAATTAGGAATTAATACACAGGAGTGAGTACCTTTCAGTGAAGTAAAACAAGCAGCTGAAACGTGAAACTGACCTGGAGAGCATTTATTGAGAAAATCCTGAGCATATATATGGTAACAGGGATTTCACAGTCTTGCTGAAAGTACGGTACATGCATCCTTTGTCTTTAACCGTTTGACTATGAAATGGTATCTGGTGATACACAATACTGTCAATGGCTCTCTCTCTCTCTCATGGCAAAAGAAAGATTATATAATTTGATAATTCCAAAGATCATTATTTTGGAATTACAGTGGAGTCCTGATTAACAGAGTCCCATTTAATTAAATTTCTGCTTCATCCAAGGTGAACTGTGGAAGAGTATTTTGTCAATAAAGACAAGAGAACATATTATAATACAGTTCCTTTCACAAATCTTATCCAGCTTATTCTTTGTCATGTTTTTATGTTAATGACTTTTTACTCTCTTCAATATTAAACTGTTAAGTTTATACTTAATTTTACTTGTTGCATTTCATCTATGTTATTAGTGTAAGCACCAAAAGCAGAAAATAGAAAGATGCTGTTGGGTCTTCAGATATAAACTCAAAGCAATTGGATGCTTGGATCAAGCAGAAACAATTAAAAAAGTAGCTGACTTGGGTGTTGAACAAGTAAGTATAGGAAACTTATTACTCCTAGAGGTACAGTGTTTGTACAGTTACCAATCCTACAATGATCTAATGTCTGTCTATGGAAAGAATCTACTTGAGATCAATGTCACGCATGATGATAAACCAATAAGGACATTCCCTACTGATGTCAGCACTTTTCACTTATTGTCAGACAATATGTGAATTTTATTTTACTTTCTCTCATTGGATGGAAGAATGACTTTTCTATTAATTTTTTATAGCATGCATTAACTGTAAAGAATCATGTGTTTAACTACTACTATAGCAAATTTCCTCATATTCAATACCTGAATGTGAAGCAACACAGTTTATAATCGCGGTTACACATTTAACAGATGAGGAAGAAACTTGCCATAACTAAGCTATCAATGGCTAATGCTCATTGGTTAATACCAAATTGATTCTTTCCATAAACAGACTAATGCAGTAAAAATTTCTTTATTCAGATGTTTTCAATAGTCTTAAACAATCTTCAGAAAATTACGTTCTAAATGAACGAACATCTAACAGTTTCTTCTTTTCAAATGTAATTTTATGAAGATTGTTTAAGACAAGTGAAAACATTTGATTAAATACACGACAGTAAATATATAAATACAGAGCATATATATATATATATATATATTACATTAGATATAACCTTCTGCTCTTATCCGCCTTGAGTACAATCACATGTTCATCAGCCAACCATTTCCTGGATCTTCTTAGCATACGCTAGAAACCATCATCACAGGTTTGGTTGTTGGTAGCGCAGATTTTGAGTGCAGTTTTCCATCTGTAGTACTCCTTTTGGACCCCATCATGACTGTGATGACGGGTCCATTCATTTATTGTATACTACTCGGGCTTTAAGATGATGTTATAAATACAGAGCTTCAATACAGAACAGTAAAAATTTCAACAGAATATTTAACACATTTTTAAGGATCCTGAATTATTTGACTTTCAATGAAAATTGTCATTTTAAGCTTATTCTTCTCTGATGAATTTGAACAATGGTTTCATTTTCTACTTGATCAGAAAATACAGGAACAAGGATCCTAATTAATTGTTTGATTATTTTTATATTTAATTATCAAAGAATTCATTGGTTATTTTGAAATTTTGTAAATTTAAAATGTTCTACTTTCGAAACATTTTAACTTGCGACTGGATTTAAATTTTGTTATGTATTCTACTTAAATCCATTAACCGATTTGATTATGCAGTTCTATGTAGGCTGAAGATAGCCTGTAAACAAGATCAAGACATTTGTGGTTAAGTTTTCTGCTGGAATTTTATGGTTTATTATGCTCCTGGAACACAAATATATTGCGTAAGCATGCATTTTCACTTGTCTACGGCTTGTAATTTTTACCATGAACAATAATCATGTAAATTTTTCAAAATTAATTAATTATATACATATATAGGTTTATTTGCTTTCATAAAAACAGCTATAAATAAAATTAAGTGTTTTATTGTATAATTTAAAACTCATTCTGTTCTGTAAGTACTGTAAATTCTATATATTAATGCATAAACTCCAGTTTATTTAATAATTTATGAAATATTCCACATTATCCGAGTCACTTATTCACATTACCTTGCATAATTGAGACTCCACTGTACATTAAATTACAGAAATTTCTATAAAACATAAATAACCAAATAGAACTTTTTACATCATTTTTAATATTTAATGAAATTTTGATAAAATTATAATTGAATTCAAATTTTATGACATGTAAATTCAATTATCAACTTTCATATCAGATTAATTCAAAATAAAAAAGTTTTTTTCTTTTATATCTCCTTAAGATAACACAGAAAATGTAAGAATGTTTCTGAATATATTTACTCTATAGAGTTAGAAGTTATTCAAAAAATTTGGTTATGATTATGAATTAAAATGCATATTATAACGAGCAATTATTTTATTGTGATGCCATCACAATGCCTGACTGCAATTTTTAATTTATTTCATTTAAAATATATGCTCTCCATCTCAAATTAGTTGTGGGTTGCCCCTGTACATCATACTTTTCCTTTAACAATATAGTTATGCAGGTCATCTATCTAACACCTCTCAGAAAAATTTTTGAATTGAAATAATGTGACTTCCGGTTTTCATTGGAAGTTTGTATATAGTTAATCACGACCTCCTGCCCCTAAGATTTCCATATCTGGTCTCGTCTTTCATCTATCTAACTCTGTTCTCAAGATTCTCTTCTCTGTTCTCAAGATCAAGGAAAGACAAATGGACGGATGAATGGACAACAGTGAGAATGTATAGTTCTACAATTTTTTCAAATTGCAGCCTAATAAGAATAATTAATAATGCTAGATAAGATTTTTTTCTGTTAAATCATGTTCCTTCATTAGAATCTTTTATTTATTTATTTTATACAGACGATGTCGCTAAAACAATAATTGCCATATCCAGTACAATGAACAAATCCCATTAAAATATATACTAAACTACAGTATAATGCAATCTCCTATAACACAAATCCATATAACTCGACAAAAGAATTGCGACTAGTATCTCAATGACGCAGTTTTCCATAATGCAAATGTATCCCCTTCATTGTATGGATTGTGCTATAGTAGAATACAAAGTAACAACAACAAATATAAAATAATAATAAATTAATTAAAATAAAAAGCAATGAATTAAGCAGTATAAAGTATTTTTCACAGATTAATTTATATATGATAGTATAAGTCAGTTTTTCTCAATTGCTGATCCAAAGAAAAATATTTGACCATACTGATGCTGGTGCAGTTGATTACGAGTGACATTTACATCGTTATCTAGAATTACTATACATACTTTGTTACATACAATAACTCTGGATAAGTATATGTAAGTATAATTCATAGTTGCATATAATTACTGATCCACATAAAATTATCCATAATTTTATTGGTCCACAAGAAGAAAAATATTGAAAAATACTGCTCTAAGTATAAATTGTTCTTTACTTTGTTAACTGATTTATAATAATAAAATAAAAAAAGATTTAATTGTGATATTAAGACAACAAAAGAGAACATAAAATTACACACTCACATGCACATGCAGTCTTCCAAAACGAATGCTACCATTTTAAAAAACTGTAATTTTGTTAATTATTATCTGAAAAGTATGTGTTGGACAATGAGTAACTTCAAGTTTCATTTATGATCTGTATTCAAATGTCTTTTTTGTCTACTGCCTCTACGAAGCACCATAAATGAAATAGCTACTCTGCAACAGAGAAGACATTTTGTATTCTGCAGTCCGTAAACCCGGAATCAGTCATCATTGCGCAATGTAATGTTTTCATTTGGAGTCAAAATTTAAAACTTACCAATAAGTTAGCAGTAAACTGATAACATTTTGACTTTACAGGTAAGAAAAAATTATTATTATTTTTTAATTTACAAAATAGTATCATAAGGCATTAGTGACAATCTCAAAACTTCCATTATTAAAATTTATTAAATTTACTATACAAAACTACATTCTTAATATTTTTAAACATGTTAGCTGGACCATTTCATCTTTTTTGGTATTTAAATTTGAGAGGATCACATCTACTTAATGAAGGTTGTTAACATTACACCCTTCATTAATTATGCGCAACTCTTCTGTATTCGTACACACTTTTCCTGTTGTATGTTAAGACATGAACAAAGACTATCCAGGACAAGTGAGCATGCTGTTTGGATAGTCTGCATTCATGTCTTAATGAATTTAAAAAATATTTGTCAGTATGATTGGTAATTTGATAGATTTTTGTATCTTATAAGTCTTAAAATTGCCATTTCTCTAATGTCGTTTTCATACAAAAATATATTGTACTTTATTGAAAATTACCAGATTATTAGGCTAATTAAGTTACGTAATAATTTATCTATACTTTCTATCAAATTATATGTGTGTCACCATCTGTTGGTAACTGTAATGATTGGAGATTTTAGAGTAATTTAATTAAATCTTAAATTAATTAATAGTTGTAGGTTCAAACCTCCATCATCATTCTGTTTAATTCAATTAAACAGAGTGATGATGGAGGTTTTGAACCTACAACTCTCACTCAATACATTATCAGATGTGTTAGGCCAACATTCCATATTGGAATCTTAATTTTAGGCTACAATAATTATAATTAGTTTATTAATGACTGAGATCTTACTCATCAATTTAAATGACACTGTTATCATTATTATACATAATTTGCACACTTTGATATACAATATATACAGTTGAATCTAAATTCAATATATATTCCAAGTTTATCTCAAATAATTTTCTCCCAAAACCTCTGAATCTGTAATTGGCACTTTAGTCCATAATTTGAGATATAAAGTTCAGTGACTACATTCTGATAGAGTAAATTGTATTGATAGTTGAGAAACATCTCTTGCAATACAGTACATTGTTAACACTGCTTTTCTCTGGCTACAAGTTTGGTTTGCATCTTATTGGCAAAGAAAGTTGGGCATCACTAACTATTGACAAACTAATTCTGTACCTCCAATCAAACATATTACTGTTTACTATGTAGGAACCTCTAGATCTTGAAACCTGTCTATCTCAAATTTTTCTTGAACCTGTTTATAGTTGTTCCTGTGAGATTTGATATATATATATATTTATTAAGGATGCACCGATAAGCAAAATGGCCGATTACCGATTAATCGGCCATTTTGCTTATCGATTAATCGGTATCGGCCATGCATTATCGGCCGATACCGATTAATCGGCCGATTAGTGTTAATAATTTATTACATTAATAGTGTGAGATCCTGAAGTTAATTATACAGTTAATTATAATGTGGAAAAAACCCATTTTTCTCCACCTGGTATTTCCATCTCCCTCGGGTCAGGTAAACAAGAGACGATCGAATATCTTCGCAAAATCAACAATCTCTTCCTTTGTTTCTAAAATAAATCTCAACACTTAATTGTTGACGCATGGAAACTTCGACACTGTTTAAAAAGCTGAAGTGTTTCTGTGTTTAACAGAAACAAAATATATTTCTTTAACCGCTGATATTTGGACAGCAACTACAAACAATTCTCCTTTTTTAAGTGTAACAGCTCACTGGTTGAAGGATGATTTTCAGCAGGAAAGAGCTGTTTTGCAAATTGTTTCCTTTGAAGGTTCCCACACAGCTACACGAATCAGTGAACAGTTAAAAATTGTTCTTGAACAGTATAAGTTGACAAGTGATAAGATATTCTTAGTACTAAGAGATTCTGCAGCAAATCTGGTAGCTGGAATTAGGAATTGCAACTTAGAAGCATTATCATGCTTTATACATATGCTGCAGCTGACACTAAACGAATGCATATTTTCTAAACAAGATGTGAAAACTATAATCACAGTTAATAGAAATATTGTCACACATTTTAATCATTCTGCTGTAGCTGTAATCAAATTGGAAGATTTGCAAGAAAAGTTAGGTTTGCAGAAACACAAATTAATTCAAGATGTTCCTACTCGCTGGAATTCTACATACTACATGTTGGAACAGCAAAAGGCCCTTGTCACATATGCTATAGATAATAAAATTCCTACGTTGAGCCCATATCAGTGGTCTCTCGTTGAAAAAATTGTTCTACTTGTAAAACCATTCAAAGAAATTACTGTGGAAAGCCAGCAAACGAGAAGCCACTTCATCTTCAATAATTCCCACAATAGAGACTCTGAAATTATTCTTATCAAAAGCAAAGATCAGTAGTTCCTTTAGTGGCATTAATACCACAACAGAAGAACTAGAAAATCCAATAAAAAAAAATTTTCAGCATATATAGAAAACAAGTCTTTATGCTTGTCATTTTTATTAGATTCAAAATGAAATTTCAAAAAGAGGATATGCTAGAGGAAATCTCAATAAGAATTAAATTCTGAAGCTTCTACTTCTGGAGGTGATCAAGATGGAGGTGAATTTCTAAGTTTTTCTGATTTATTTGATGAATTAGCTTCTGGTAAACGAAAGAATGAAGAATAGCATGTTTTTAAAAAGAAAGAAAAAAAAAAGAAAGAGACGAACAAACGTTTCGATCAAGAATTAGAAACATATTTACATTTATCCCTAATTTGAGCAAAATAGCTATGAAATATTTAAGTGCCTCAGCATCTTCCATTGAAAGTGAAAAAATTTTCAGCACTGAAGGTAACATTTATGAGCCGGCAAAAAATAGGTTATGCCCTGAAAATGATGAAATTCTCATGTTTTTGCATTGTAAAAACAAACTGTAAAACCCTTAAATTGTAATTTAAGGGTTTTACAGTTTAAATATTAAATTTTTATTTGTTTTATATTTGTTTTGTATTTAAACTTTAAACTTATGAAACAAATAAAAATTTAATTTTTCTTCTTAACCTATTCAATACTTTTTCTTATGTAAAGTTTAAACTTTATATTATACGTTATATTATACTTATAATATGTATCGATGAAAGGAATAATTTGAATTGTAAAATTTTTTTAATATTCAGTTTGTCATGTAATAAATAATAAATATATAACAGAAATTTATTAGGTTTTATTACTAGCATTGTACGTAACATTCTAACAAAAATACCAAAATGTGAAATTGGCCGATTATCGAAACCAATTAATCGGGGAAATGGCCGATACCGATTAATCGGCTAAGTGGCCGATACGACCGATTACCGATTACTTACCGATTAATCGGTGCATCCTTAATATTTATAATGTGATATTAATAGCAACCAGATTATTACTATTATTTTGTATATATTGCCAGTCCCACAGCCAGGAATAAATCACAGGTAAGCTGAAAAAATTCTGCCTGGTATTTTTCTCTTTTCCAGAAAGCACTAAGCCTATTAGCTACAGTCAAATGTAAAAAATAAAATAAATTTATGTGGTGAAAGAGAAAACATATATTAAACTTAGCAGTGCCTATATTATGCAGTATATATAAGATGAGTAAAGTTAAGTTACTTAGCTAGTTTTGAGAAAAGCCATCTTTTGCTTCCTCCACATTTTTTGTTTCATAGTTTTGTAGTCAACTTTAAACTCAATCCCTGTTTTTTTTCCACTCTCAAGCCATTAAGTCTTTTCATAAATTCAGCTTTGTCATTTTATTGCCCAAAGCCAATATGCTCAAACAATGTCAGAAAGTATTTCCACTTTTCTCCTGGTTTACTGTCTGCCTTTTGATTTATATTAACTTAAGCATTGCCTGATTTATGGCATGTCAAATGTAAAAGGCTATAGAACAAACGAAAAAAAAAACAAAAACCAATGTGTTTGACTATCTAGAATTGAATTCAATGACACTTCTAAAAAATACCTGACATTTCTTCAAAGTTTTCTCCCATACTATATATTAAATTTATCAATTTTACTTACTAAACATTTAAACAGTACCTATATTTTAAAATACATTTACTATTGTAAATGATAATTTAGTAATCCATGCTTGCTGTTCAGATCAATGAGGTACTATGAGTCTAAAATACATTTTATTAATGTTGGAAATGCCTATGTTTTTAACTCTGTTTCATCACTTTCTACAAGATGCGATAAGTTACCAGCACTGGGCTATATCAAGAAGCATTAATCCAGATAAGAAGCAAGCGTATTTACAAAACATTATAAATTATTATTTATAAAAATATTTCATTCCAATGTAAATAATTAACTGCATTAGATAATATTATACTTTAATGAAATTTTTATAAAAAAAAAACTGTTTAACCTACAATAATTAAAATCAGAGGGAAGTCTAAATGTCTATGTCTATTCATTAGTATCTATAATAAATTTTATACAAATTTCCTGTGGGGCAGACCTAGCTAACAATCAACTGGTCGATCACAAATAATTTGGTCTGTGATAAATTGAAAAATACTTAGAATTTTAAGAAAATATCTTCATTAATTGGTTAATGAAATGTAGATACAGACATTATACTAAAAATGGGATCCATACAATTGGTATTTGTTAATTTCCAAATAACTGCCTGTTTGTTCTCTTCATTTTGTCACAACATACAGACAAGGAGTGGAAAACAGTGAATATCAAATATTAATCACAAGTAAATAATCTACACCAGTTATTGGTCAAATGTTTGCTCAGCATTCACCAAATAATGAATGTGTGGAGCTGCCTTAATGAGAACATTTGTTAATAGATAAATATGTGTTTTGTAGCTTAATTTACTTTAAAAGAGTAAACAACTAAATAAGATTTTACAAAGGAATAAAATATAGTGTAGAACACAGACATTTTTGACTCATGACAGCAGATTACACTCATAATTTGGCCAGACCGGTATTTGAAAGAGATATCACTACTTACATGTTTTCGTAAGCTGGAACTGATGTTGCACAGAGTATCCGAGAATTGCAAATACCATTACAGGACGTAACTGTCGGTTCTGGTTGAAGACTGAGAATACAAACTTGGCCAACGTAACCATCACTGTTACACACCCATACGTCTTGATATCCATACTGATTTAAACTGAGAGTAGGTGTGGCGCACGTAAACTAAATTATATTAATATTTTTTAATTAAAAACAGAATAAGCAATTAAAATTTAGTTTAAAAAATAATCATATAACTTTTATTACTTGTAATCCAGCTCTTGTTTTACGTACAGGAATGGAACACATGAATTCGGGTGGATGATTTCTATTAGCCAAAGACTCTTAAAATAATAATAAATGTAAATTAAAAACTAAAATTAAAATGCGAAAAATATGTAAATTATTTTTGAAGGTTGACTATATCAGTATTTATAGAGCTTCTTTTGTTTACCTGGTGTAAACAAAAGAACAAGTGCCTCACTGACACCAAACTTAGCCTCTCAATTTCTGTTCTGTTCCATAAAGCAGATTAATAGTATAACAGTATAAAATTAAAGTAAAGTTTTATTAAAAGTGAAGTTTTCATACAATATTGAAGTTTCTCCTACAGCAAATAATAGAAATTTCCCAGAGAGGCCACAAAATCCAGAAGAGTGAGGTCCAGAGACCTAGTGGATCAGATTCCATGGGGAAATTATACAATTGGCAAAAAAATCTTCCAAAACCTGTAGCCCAAAAACCAAAACATCTGTGGCAAGCAGTAACACCATTTACTGCAAAGTGGAAATGTGGAATGTACAACTTACGGGTCTCGTATACAATGCCATACTTGTAACTAATATCGATACAAATTTCTCACTACAGTAAATTTTTGGACACTGTTTAGAAATTATAGATTTATTCCGTACCTGATTTTATTAGAACCATCTTTTACCTGTAATAATTACTTACAATTCCTTTATATTGAAAATAAAAATCAAATGTCTTGTTATTTTATAAAATATATTAGGTAATGCATGTAGCTATTAAATTATTTAATGATACATATAATTGGTACATTGTGTAGACATGTTGGCATCTTCTTCTAATGACTTTAATAATTAGCTAATTAATAATAATTTAATAAAATTTATAAAAAAAAGTACCTCCAATGAATTTTAAGTTTGCAACTCTTGTCTACGTGTGCACGTGTGTTATTAATTATACTATTAAATGATCCAAATCAAAGTCCTTCCAAATAATATATTAACTTTAGATTAGTTTGCAACAATTTAGATACAGCATAATGATTATAAACTAATCAACAACACTAATATTCCAGATTCATATTAATTTTAGAGTAAGGACGTGGAGCATTCAGAAAGCATAACTGGTAATTCTCTTCTAATGTGTGAATTTATTACAAGTTTAAATCCTGCTTCGTGATATTGTTTTTCAGATTCTTCTGAATTCAATTAACCTATTCTAAATTATCTATTCATTAAAACTATCAACAGATGGTGCATGCAGTGTGAAATTATCCAAATCATTAGCTAACTTAATAGCCAAGTAATAATCAGATATATTTTAGTTAATTATTAAATGCTTGGCATTAATTAATAATTAAGTTGATAACAATATTTTAATAAAAAAAAAAAAACAATTTCATATTTATAAAATTTAAAATTGTTTGTTACCATATTTTTGCTTAGTTTCAACAAAGGCATTTTCCCAAGTTATCCTCTTCTCACAGGTCGGAAAAATTAATGTAATCTTCTCGATACCTTCACTAAAAACAGAAATATTTTATAGTTTAAAAACTGTAATTTACAGTGAACATTTTTTATAATATGAGGTCTTCCAAAATGAATGCTACCATTTTAAACTATCGTAATTATGTTAATTATTATCTGAGAAGCATAAGATGTACACCAATCAATAGAGTTTCATTCAATCATAGTTTCATTTCCAGTCTTCACTCAAACATCTTGTTGTCTGTTATCTTTAGGAAACACCATAAATGAAAATGGCAACTCCATAACAGAATAAGTAATCTGCAGGAACTTTAGAATTGTGGCTGCTCTGGGAGGAGTGACAGCAGATATGCTGTAGCAAGCCTAAGAATAATTTGAGTATCGGTTGGATGTGTGCCATGTTGAGAAATTGTAATGGGCAAATGGAAAACTTGGTCAGTTTTCTGGTGTTTTAATGTGTTACAACATTCTCAGATAATAACACAGCAAAGTTCATCAGACAGTAACAAAATTATATTCAATTTTTAAAGAGAATAATGTGAATGTGAACCTATCAGAATGCTGTGTAATTAATAGTCTGAAAAAATTCATGTAAATACAATGTTAAAACACAGATGTACTTAACATAAACTAAAATTTTCATATACATATATGTATGTGTGTGTAATAATCTCAAAACCTGCTAGTTATATTAAAGCCAAACAATTACAGGATATTTTCATCCAAATAATTGGAATTCATGATCTTGAAAAGTTTTTCTGTAATTTCTAAAGGCTAAAGGATTCCAATTATTTGGTTGAAAGAACTTAAAATTTTTTTTAAAGTAATACTTAATGAAAAATTCATATAAATATAATTTATACATTAATAGATTGATGAAATACAAAATACTAATTAAAATCTTCACTATCAAAGTTATTTACATCTACAGCTGAATTATCAGGCAATAATGTGGCTATGAAATTAATTATAATCCTATAACTTGAAGTTCATTTGGATTTAACTGTAAATCAGGTTTTTGAGTTGATGTTTATATATACACACATTTACTTTTTATGTAACAATTATAAACTTAATTATGCCCAATACAAAAACAAAATATAAACACTTTCATTCATTGAACTGTTGCAAACATTCTGTAAAATTATTAAATCCTATCAAATAATAAAATTTGATTCTATTGACATAAACTGAAAAACTGATAAAATCTTAACATAAACAAGTTTAAATTAATTCTATATGCTTTCTTATAATATAAAGAGTTGATCCACATACAAATTACTAGAAATTATCATCAAATCTTACTTCTGATCATGTATGTTCATAACACAGTTGTATTGACAAGTGCTCCAATGATCAATCCCAATCACCTATAATCTATTATTCTAAAACATTTGTTTATGAATTCGGATTTCACTTTGTAAACAACCAACTATTAGATATCAGAATAAAAGTTTTCACTTCGCACAGCACAGTCCTTTCTTTCTTGTCATCTGCGCTAACAGTTTTGACATCGTTATTAACTGGTAAATATGTAAGAACTTTAAGAATCTACTAAAAGATAGAGAAATATCATCCAGAATTTTTTAAAATTAATAATATGTGCAGTTTCTATGATTTAAGTTAAGTTTCATAGGAAGTATTTATTACAAAATATTCTGAATTTTACTCTACTTCATTTATCATTTCTGAAAATTTCTTGTATAAATAAAAAGGTAAAGAAACATTATATGTAACTTACATTAATAGCAATCACAGCTACTAATGCCTTTAAAAAAATTCAATATTAGAGTTTAATAGAATAGATTATTAATAAAAATAAAACAAAGAAAAGATAAAGAATAGAAAATTAACAAATATTTCTAAAAATATAAATAATTTTTATGCTGTATATTTTCCATATTTAGCAAAATGATTTTAATGATATAAACAACTCAATAATCCTGATTTTTGATTAAAGCCAGATGATCTGTTAAATTATTGGGCTACGATTAGGTTAAGTTAATATTTAAATACTAAGTAATTTGCCTAAAGATAAATTGCTTAATATATACCTAGAGGTCCTCATATATATATAATCTTACACTTTATTCAGGATTGTTTGCAAAAAAACAGGATCTATTCAAAACAAGAGAAAATTAATTTACAATTAAACATTAATTAAAAATTCCAGAACGATAAATATTTCATTACAAAATTCTAATACATAGAAGTACCATATAAAGTGGCTTCTTTATTTTGTGACGTCCTTTACACACTTCGGGAACAAACAGTCCTTAAAGGATGTCACGAAATAAAGAAGACATTTATATGGTACTTCTATGTATTAGAATTTTGTAATGAAAGAGAAAATCAAATTATCTCAGAATACTATTTTGATAAAAGTCATATTTCTGTACCTAAAAGGCAAGAGGCTCTATGAACACAGTTTTCTACTATTATTATTTTTTTCCACCTATTTTTTAAATTAATATATATCCTGACAGCTTTAAAAAGCTGACTTAGATTTGTTCCCTGATAAAAGCTCTACTTCTAACACTTATATGAGGATCACAATTATTGAACAGCACAGATCACAATCGTTTTTCCATGCTGCTAATTTTGTAAAAAAAATTAATATCATCCCATCGTTACTTCTATAAATTGTGAATGTTTACTGTTTAAATACTTGGTTATTAAAAACACAAATAAGGGCATAATAATTGATTGTAAATTATCTTTAAATTAAATTATTAATATACCAATTAATACATTAAATGTTAAGCAACTTACTGTGTTGTCACATTTAATTCTATTGTTAAAAGTTGAACATCTCCAGTCTGTCTTTCTACCAGATGTTTACTAACAGAATTTTGAAGATCGCGTAGAGCTTCATCTAGTATCTGTAATGAGCATTAACAGAGAATATTTTGTATTTATTCAAAATTATTTTAAAAGATAATATGGTGACACTTTCATAAATTATTTCTGTAAAAATTAAAATATAGATTGTAAAAGTATAAATTTTATTATAATCATCTTGATAAAAGAATATTTGATTATATTATATTACTTTTTAGGTCATCAGCTACAAAATGTTGCAGCTAAATCATGAGATAGAATTAAGCTGCAACATTATAACATGTTCCTAATAACTTTATTATTATGTAATCTTTAAACAAAATGCAGATATATTTCTAGGATCCATAGAATGTTTGCTCTGATATATAATTAATTTAACAGCTAATAACATTTGATTATCTGTATGTAAAAAGAAAGCTGTACAGGGGTCTTGCTTGACATTCCTGGCACTCAAACAGGTGTGAGATCTGAATAGCCCCGGGTCTAAATTAATCATTTAATTAATAATGTTAAAGTTGTGTCATAAATTATTCTTTTATTTTGAGTGAAAAAAATAACGTTTTCTAGCGTGGGAAAACAGCTAGGAGAGTCACTTCCTTCCACCAAAGTTAGAACATCCTCTGTTTTTCCATTATCTGCTAAAAATCTCACTTCGATGGGAACTGTTTACCCCTCATTTCATCCCCTTTCCATCTGTCCACGTGGGAAATTCCGAATATGATGATTGGTCGTAAATGGGAAGATAACGGCGAAGTTCAGCCGATTTCGGGGAGTTCTTCAGAAAATCTCATAGAGGAGAGATGTCTCCCATATTGGCTCCACACCGCCCTTAGGAGTTCATCAGCAGACCTGGAAGAGTCAGGACTCCACATTTGTTCTCTAAGGCCAACGCCCTTAAGAGTTCATCGGTAGATTGGAGAGTGAAAAGACTCCGTACCGTACATATGCCAGCAGACCAACGCCATTCCCGAACAAGTTACTCCTAAATTATACATGAAGTACCTTCACGAATAAGAAGACAACACTGCCAAGTAAACAGGTCATATGTTTAAGACTAAATTGTGAGCTCTTTCTCTCATAAATGTATAGATTGAGAATACTACTCTCTCTCGACTCGGTATAGACTAAGAATAGATTTCCTCCTGTCGCGAGTGATTTGATTATTCGTTCTTTGATTGACCGTTTTGAATTAATTGATTATTTCTTATTCTGTATTAATGTTGTTTATTTGTTTATTAAATTCTATATACTTTGCTAAGAGATGTCTCTGAATTATTTCCTGAATCAGATCGACGGCATAAATTTCAGGCGTGTTTATCCGTGGTACGAAAAGTGGATAAACTGGTGTCGGGAACCTGACCATTTGGATAGAGACTACACAGTCTTTAATCCTCATTAAACCTGAATATTACAGCCCTCCTATGTAACTTCTAAGATCAGATCTAGTGATCTGAAACTTTAGAGAACTAGTCTCACCAACTAGCAGCCGATTAAGTGATACTAACTTCCTAGCGGATTAGTACCCCTGGCTAATCTCACACAGGAGGTTAAGGGGACCATTAGGAAGTTTGATAACTTCAATTATACTAGGATATAAAATTTAAATTTATAAAATTTTAATTATAAAATTTAATATTTTAACTTTAATTAATTAAAATATAAAATTTAAGTAATAGCAAAAGCTTAAAAGGAGTGATTTTGTTGAATTAAGATAAAAATCTCTATATTAACACTATGACATTAGCTCAAAGTTAAAATTGTGTGTGGTGCCATCTGTTACATGATGTTATTAAAAAAGAACTTTTATATTATTAATTATTATTAAAAGGTAAAAAAAAAAGCTTAAAGTAATTTTCAGGGTAGAGGTGAGTTTTTAAAAATATTCTAAATGCCAATTATGAGTAAAATTTTCATTAAGTCAAACCCACTCTAGATATGACACATGAATCCTCCTCTATCTCTCTACCCCTTTGAGTTCTGTACTCCAAAATTTAACAGTATCAATGTCCCTTATATACAAGTTACCATGCCAAATTTTATTTCTTAATCTTTACTCAATTCTGAGATATTAAACAAAATAGATGCCGACACATGCACACATACATATTGATACATATCCATAGAATTCTTTCCTGGTTTTTTTTGACATTTTTGGGTTCAGAGAGTCTTAAGAAGTCAAGATTTGTGAAAAACTTGGAGGGTCAAATTTGGTACAATGCCGGTACTTTCCTGTGTTATGTTATAACAGCCAGAAACTTGTACATAGTTAATTGGGGACTCCTGTCCCTAAGCTTTCCATATCTGGTCTCGACTTTCATCTATATAACTCTGTTCTAGAGATTAAGGAAAAACAGACAGATGGATGCCAGTGGGAATTTATAGATTTAGAATTTTTAAAAATTGCAGCCAAATGGAAAAAATATGATACAATGGAAGCTGTATTGTTCACTACACTTAAATGTGATTAAATATAATCAAAGCTTTATTTAAAATGTTAGTTTAAGTTTAAGATTTAAATAAAAGTGTTCCAATTTTAAGCATTATTTATTAATTATAATTAATAATCATAATTTAAAACAAGAAAATACCTGATGATTACTTTTCAAATTCGATACTAAATCACTTATTTGTCCTAAAATAGCCAAATCGTCTTCTAAGTGATCCACATCTGCCATTACTTTCTTTTCTAATCCATCAATTGCAATGTCTAAAAATAGTCAAAATACATTAAAATATTTTTTTAAATTAAGAAAAAAATTTTTTTAAATCTGTTATTATTAATTAGATTTAAAATAAATGTATCAATTAAAAAATGAAAAGTAGCAGAACTAAATCTGATATATAAATTACATTTAAGAATGTTCTAGGTAGTTAATTAACTACTATTCTACTCCCTGTAATGTTCTGTAATGCTATCATATGAATCCATCCCCGAAATTATATAATGTACATCCTCAATCAACCCTCTTAATTTGTACTAAGGAATAATACACAGCATAGGGTACTAACTAAAGCTTCTCACCACACCAGGTTGTATAAAACAAAACACACACACTATAACCAATAACTGGCATAAAATATCCAAAATTGGCAAATGTTTTCAATGCCCCTCCTGGGCTCTTCCTCAGGCTAAATTTGTTTTTACTATTGGATTCTTTAATTTGAATGTTTTTAACTAGAAACGTGCTCTGCTTCCTAAAGCTCAAATATGGAAGGACTAAACATTATTACATCATTTTATTAATTGCATGTTTAATGAACAGTACATAGCAGTGACAGATGGTACAATTCACTATGCAAAACTTAGGAAACAAAAACAAATTATTATGTTATCCAAGGGTTGAGACCTTAGCATTACATACACCCCCCACTTCCTTGTAATACAATGTAATGATAACATGCATACCCATCCATCCATATCTGTTACATAATTTATGGACAGTCCTCTGCACATCAAGAAGTTTGCCATTTGTGAAAAGTATCATAGCTTTATATAACTTCATTATAATTAACCATCATTTATTCATATTATAATTAAAAAGGACACAGATCAGAACAGATCAAAATATTTTCAAAGTTGATTAATCCGAGTATGTAACAAGTATTTCTGTAAGTAACAGAGTATGGTTATGTCTAAATTAATAAGTTCTGGAAGTAAGGATCTGACAAAGGTCCAGGTAGCATAACAGGAAAAGCAATCACACAGTAAGCAGGAGTTGCAGGTTTGAGTTCTGCTTCGGGCTGATTCTTTTCTTTCAGAACCTTTTAAATTAAATAAAATATTAAATATAATTATAATTATTAAATTTAGCAAGAGATGTCACCTAACTACTGCCTCTAGTCCCAAATTATTTAGTATTAAATTAATAATAGTAATAGTAATATAGCTCGATATAATTCGGAAATTGTTTGGCTTTAATATATAACTATCGGGTTTGGATGTTTATATTTATTGATTATTCCATCATTAAAATATCGATTTTGAAGTGTTTTACAATGAAATAAATCAAAAATAAATTTTTAATTGCAAATAATCATAGAAAGATTAATAATATAATTAAAAATATATTGATTTTCAACTTTACCAAATTTAATTCTAAACACATGAATACTTGATAAAGTCATTAATGTGGAATCTTAATAACTTGGCAGCAAATAAGATTGAAACCAAACGATCAGTGCCAAGAAAAAACATTAAAAATGCATCTCTTAAACATAAATCAACAGTTGAATATGTGAAAGAGATCAGAGGAAATGATATTCTTGAATAATATATCATGGAAAGACATCAAAATTCCCTCTGCACAGTAGCAGCATTTGACATTGATCAATCATACATGATGCACCAAGCTGACATGTTGGAATCTACGCTGGCTAGTTACCAAGATATCGAGTTAGCTATTCCACTTGAATTATTAATGATTAAATTTCTAGTATTCATCTGGTAGATGTCTTAAAATCTATTAATTTACTATTTAATATTTAATAAAATGTAGTATTTATTGCTCGGGGAGGCTACCATTGCCATACGGCATTGCCAAATGTAACTTGCGACAAAAAATAACAAGAAATTAAATTATTACTATAAATTTTATGCTATGATTAACTCTACTGTTAATAAAATTTCTTTTAAATTAAAAATAAATATCCCTAACTTCTTAATTTGATATCATATACAAAATCGTGCATAATTTACTAATATAAGATAAAAAAAATATATATGTTAATATATACGTGTGCTGGTGTTGCTCAGGCTTTGAGGGGATGGGAATTGGCAAGGTTGAATTGAGAGAAGGTGATAAAAAACAATGGTTTTAGTAACTAAAATGTACTGTATACTTACTGACCCAAATATTTAAATTAATAAAACTGATGGAATTATAATAATGATATATGATAGATATTAGAAATTTTCGATTTGTCTTCTATACTTTGTCTGTTATAGAATTCTCAATATATTCAAAGCATTTATATAACAACAAACTAAAATTTACATAGTAAGATCTTATTAAAATATATTCATCGACTACACCTATAAAAATTGTGATAATTTATTTTTGCTGGGTTTTGTAGCAGTATTTTGCTAAAATATTGTTAAATTGCAGATTTTAATCCTGATTCAGGCAATGATAAAATGTGTGTCAACAGTTAATAACTATCATTGTTTTTAGAAGAATACATTCTAGCCATTGTAGTTTATAATGTGGCATTTATAACAACAAATAAACATTAAAATAAATCATAAACAATTCTTACTAAATATTTATACATAAAGAAAAAAAGAAAAATTTCTCTAGTCTAATTAAAGTTGTTTGAAGAAAAATAAATTAGAAAACTTCCAGGTTATAAAGTCATCATTAGCAGAAAACAAGAAAAGTAAAAATTGAGATAAGATACTAGTTCACTTCTAACAATACACCACATTAAGACTAATGTAAATTACTAGAAATAAGGGATAATCCTCGTAACTATATTCTTCATAAGACAAATGGTAAATTTTGCTATAATAAACAAGTTTTAACACCTACAAAACAGTTTTAATCAGATTTATGATTAAAAAGCTGTCTTAACAAGTGTGTTTCCTAGTCTATAATACACTGGTGTGCAAAACTTAACAATTTTTTTTGCTGTAATTCTGCAAGAAATCACTTGGGAATCATTATGCCATGTGTAAAGTCATCCAGATGGTTTATTATAGCTACATTGCATGTATGAACTCACTTAAACTTGCAGTGAATGTCTTTAATAGTGCCTTTCATCCTTTTTATTGTAGTCTTTCACTGTGCGTGCTGACTGCACATGTTTTGTGTGTCCTCACATCACCTGTGATGTCTTCTTCCTGATATTTGCATACAAATCACCTTTCTACTGAATTGGGTGTTCACTGTACTTAGTGCAACAAGCCCTTTACAATTTATAGTTTAAAAATTACATTGTTGTTTAAGTTTTGCACGCCAGTGTATCATTAGAATAATGGTTTATTATAACATTTATATTAATTAACTTTTGATATCTTAAAATTATCAATTTATTTAATTTACATGGTTTTCATTAATATTCATATCTCTCTTATAAAACTAAAAAACTTTACATATTTATTTTTAATTTTTACAAATTTATTTATGAATTGTGTAAATTAAGTTAGCAAAGTAACTTAAATTTTTTCAAATTATATTAATTTTATAACATTACTTTTTTATAATTTTAGAATTGATAGCTATTTACAATAAACAATTGAATTTCTACTTTTTATAATACAACAGGTTTATATTTTGTAAAATAAAATACAAGGTCTTCCAAAAAGAAATGCTACCATTTTAAATTACTGTAATTATGTTAATTATTACCTGAAGTATGCTATGTACTGTACAGTACATCAATTGATAAAGTAACTGTCCAAGTTTCATCTCCCATCTGCATTCAAATGTCTTGTTATCTACTGCCTTTGGGATGTGCCGTAAACAACTCTGCAACAGGAATGATGCTTTGTGTTCTACAGTCAGAATCAGTCATCATTTTTTGCAACATGACTAATCTGCAGGAGCTACAGAATTGTGGCTGTGGGAGGAATTATGATAGATATGCTATAGGAGTGTAGGAAAAGTTTTAAGTTTTGATTGGACATACACTGTGTGAGACAAGGTGCATATGGTGAGAAACTTGGACAATTTTCTAATGTTTTAGTCTACATTACAACATTCTCAGATAATAATTAACAAAGTTTCAATCATTTAAAATGGTAGAACTCTTTTTGGTATTTCCATTTTCTTTCTTTCTTTTATTTAATTTTTCAAATTTTTACTAAATATTTTGTAAATATTTATATTTATTTGTTATATAAATGAATGAATGAATGAATTAATCAAAAAAAATTTTTAAACTTACTTTTAGATACATCTAGTTGATCAATAGAAAATTTCATCAATAATTTGTATTTATTTGTTTCAAGTAAACCAAATGGCAAAGGATTATTTCTGTTAAAAATATTAAAATTCTGATTATTAAATGGTACTTAATTTGTTATATGCTTAAAATAATATGCTTACACAGGACTTGATTTGCGTACAGTTCCACTCTTCCTTTTAATAGAGGTTATCAGTAAAAGATCAGAAAATAAAAACAGTCCTCTGTCTTTTTTAATACCAAATCCTATCTAAAATAGAATAAAATTATTAAATTCAATTAGAATAAAATTTTTATGTATTACAAAATTTATGGGACTAACTATCCAACCAGAAGTGTTATGGCATATCATATTTTGATATATCTTTACTTTTTATTAGAAGAAAAAAAATAGAGGTATGTCATATTTTTATTTGGATCAATATTGTATTGTAATAGTTTATAATAATTGGAATAAATTAAAGTTTGTGCAAATTCTTTTTTTAATAATAATAAATTTTTGATATAATTACATCTTTCTTAGGTACAATAGAGTCTCTGTAGTCCATTTGCCAGTTCGATATGTCCAGTAATCTGACACTCAACCAGTACGCAAGTGAAATTTTCATGTTACCACTTGACGTATGCGACAGAGAGAGACTGATATACATGTATACTGTCAGTTGCATATGCAGTTGGCAAAACAGTCACAATCATGATTAATATGATAAACCAACCCATGAACTGAGTATCTTTCTTACAGTATATAAACTCAAAATCCTGTAAACTGACAATCTGCTGTAATCCGACATTGATACATGTCAGATTACAGAGACTCTACCGATTAACATAAATGTATACGCATCAACAATAAATCAATATATGTATCTAAGATTGCCACCACTCATATAAAAGCTTATAAGTTATTTATTATTGATTTTATGAATATATAACAAGTGATTTATTATAAAATATATTCAAAATACATGTTTTTATTGTTGTTTAATTGCACAATTGTTGAATTTGGCTAAGAGGACATCAAGTGGAGAAAGATATAATTTGTAAACAGACAATTTTTATGAGAAAGTACATTAAATAATTAGAGATTGTCCAAGAATATCAGAAGAAAATTGCATTTTGTTCTGATTATCACCAATGTGTGAAGTATAACATTATTACAATAGTTATCTAAATATTAGTAACATGTCTAATGGCAAAAATTTCAGATGATTAACAGAATATGTTAAGTACGGCATTAAAATAATGAACTATCAGAAAATTAAGTTCGAATATGTGAGACGAAAATGAATTATTTGGAGTCACGTAAGTATGATTTTGTGACAACTTCAACAGATGAAATGTTCTATGATTCTACGGTGATTCAATATTAATTAATGCATTTAAATTATTACTTCTAAGTTTGTTAGTACATGCTGAATACCTGTGTTATCATTGGTTAAGTGTATTTTACACGAGTAAATGATAAAAACATTTTTTGTAGTATATTGGAGCAGGATGTAGATTCTGTCGACAAGCAGATTTTTCAAAGATATCAGCGATTTCATTGTTATCGATGCCAGAATGGCTAAGATCCAAAAGAAACAAAAATATAATCTGATAAGAATATGGACTATTTTAAAAAGAACTTTTCTTAAAGTTGAACAGATAAATTTTGTAAAAATATCTAACAATTCAATAAATTTCAAGTCATTATGTATCATAATAAAATTTAAACTTATGTAACGCACCTAAACTTCAGCAACAAAGTGGAGTTTGGGTGTATTAAGTAAGTTTATTGTTTCTCCAGTTACTATAGTAGTATTTAAAGCATTCATAATAAAGTTTTGTCACAATGCTTTCTGTATGAAAAATTATTTTAAAAACAATACACACGATATGCATTTGAAGATATAATAGTAAACCGAAAGGTTACTTTTATTTTGTTGTCATACAAAACTATCGTATGAGCTCAAAGATTAATTTTGTATTCATAATATATTCTATTAATGTTATGAACACATAAAATTCAATTAAAAAATACTAAAACTTTTCTATGAAGAATATCAGCATAATTATATTTGTTATAGTATAATCTGAATAACCTAAATAAAACCTTATGTATAATATAATTTATTAAATATTTAAAACAATATTTTTAATCGAATAAAAATACTTATTCAATGATTAAATGATATTTATTCCTGTTCTTTTATGTAAAATATAATATTCTGTGTTTAATTAAGTCTTAAATTTAAGTATAAGTATTTTCGGGCACGAAGCCCATCTTCAGATATTCTGTAAAGATAAATGTTGTAACAAAACACCGTCGCTAAGAAAGTCGTAGAGTACTTTCGATTCTAAATAAACATTCATGATTTATTTATACATTAAATTTAGATATAATTTTATAAAATTTTTGTCAGATACTTACTGGAATAGACACTAAATCATAAGAAATAAATATTCTGTTGGACTGAACTATCTAGAAATTAAAAAAAATTAAAATACTCATTAGACAAATACAATTTCCATATAATTAATGTTTTTTTAAATTATATAAACTCTCATTTATGAATATTTGATAAATTAAAACCTCAGTAATAACAAAAAAAAATTATATATATTCATCTTAAAATTATTTATAATTTAAAAAAAAAATTAAATTACAATTATTATATAATTCTAAAATTAAAAACTATTAAACTTACGTCTATAGCACCATCAATTAAATTTTCAATTTCTCTTAATCTCTGTATCATCTGTTCGTGCAGTACCGTTTCATGCTCGACCTGATTTATTTTCACGGCTAGATCATGGACTTCTTTCTGTGCCAATGCTAATAAGTGATGGTCGGAGTGATCTAGCGACGTGTGTTTTAACAGTTCCTGAAGAATACAAATCAATGTTAATCAGATTACATTCTTCTAAATAAAAATTAATGTTCTATTTTATCTTAATTATTCTCATCTCTTAAATTTTTACAGTAAACATTAACAATTATTATCACATTCTGTATAAAACGGTATCTTTTTTAAACACTCTATGCAGTTAGTTTTATTAATTAAATAATATTTAATAAGCAATTTTTGTAAAGGAAACAGTCATAGTGATTAATATATGACAATATTTGTCATAATATCATTTACTTTTTTTAATAAAAATAGTATAAATGACATTATATCAAATAAAATAATTGCTGTTTTTAATTCTCAATGTGTGTCAAGTGATTAATTGTACACAAAACCAAAACAGATGTCTTAATTTATAAAATTTTGCCTTTGTTTCATTTCCTAGTGAATTATGACTAATAAAATTCTAAAAAAAAATAAACATTTCAAGCTAAATTAAATAATAAATCAAGAAATATATGCATATATGAATTGACTGAGTTACGATTCTTCTGTTCTTTGATCGATTAAATTAAGTAATGCGGTTTAAAAACAGACATCTGTAACATCTATATTAAATTGCAGCTCTGAATGAGGCAATTGGAATCTTATCAGAACTGTAGACCATGTCCGTAGAAGTAAAAAAAGTGAAAGGAACTGATGGTCTACAATACATGTGATCCTTCGTGAGATGTACCCCCCAAAATACTGGTTGGACTGATTGTTAAACACTCAATAGTTTTAACAGAGCATGCATCGTAACCAGAGGCACCTGCAAACTATAAAAAAGCAGATGCACAAGCAATAAAAAAGACCATCATACACACATTATGCAAAAAGATATATATACACAAACACAGAGCCGGCCCTACCACAGGGCGAAAAGAGCAGCCGCTCCAGGCGCTAAGTCCTAGGGGGCACCTCAGTGGTAAAGAAAATTAAAGGGCATAAATTTGGGGGCAACCAAGGGCAGTGGCGTAGTGAGGGGGTGCATCAAGCACCGGGCACCACTCGCAGAGGCCAAATGGCGCCCAAATGGTCTCCAAGACAAACTATATGTGTTTCTGGAGGGGGCGCCAATAAAGTGTCGTGCCCCGAGCGCCAGTTATGTTCGCTACGCTACTGACCAAGGGGGCGCAATAATAGGATCTCGCTCCATCCTAAAACTTGCCTCGGGCTGGCACTGCACATACAGGTATCCTGTATACCTTCATTAACACAGTTAATCATTTGATGATACAGCATATATCAAAAATCAAAATCACTTTAATCAAATACAGTAGTGTCTCGTATTCTATTGAACAATCATGAAACTTTAGAGTACTCTTGGGGATTAAGAAAAGGGGCAACCTGACATTGGGGCATGTGCCCCAATGTATGGGCATGCCTGATTGTGACTCCAATCGTGTCTTGGAAACAGTCACTGCAATGGTGTTTCTCTTGTTTTATGAGCTTTTAGTTGCCTCTAGTAAAGTGGGAAACAGTTGGTTTTAGCATTGTTTTGAGAAACAGTTCTAAATCTTTTCATTTTTAAATTTTACATTTTTGATAGTCTTCAAAATTCCAGATATGGAAGGTATAACCTCCCGAAATCAGCCTATCTGGAATTTTGAAGACCCTCAAAATGCAGTAAAATTTAAAATGTGAAAAAATCCAAAACTATTTCTTGAAACAATGCTGAAAATCAACTGTTTTTCACGTTACTAGAGATGGTTAAAAACTCATAAAACAAGAGAAAGGCCATTCTGCTGATTGCTTTCAAGGACATCAGAGTTATGATGCATGCTATGTTAAGACCTATTGTGTGTTTAATAAGCAGTCCAGCCAGTATTTCAGGGATATCTTCTGTAATAAATTTATTTATCTTTAATACGTAAATATGACTAATATAATTTGATACTTTGCCTTAATAGCATGCCACTTAATGTCACGCAAAGGCAATGAGACATTTTCATTCAAAATTGCAAACTTAAACAAATGAAACCGAAAAGTTTTTGATTAAATATTTTAAAAGAGGGGTCACTTACTTTAATTAGGAGTTCATAACGAGGTATCCTCTGCACTGGCATAATGAGCAATGCATCCAATGTTAATTTACCTTTATGTTCCCTAGACATGTGCTTGAAAAATAATTCAATTTATTAATTTTAATAAATTATAAAGTTTAATTTCTCAAAACTTAATTCTTAAATGTAACACCTTGTAAAAATATTTTAAAATATGCTAAAAGTATGCAATTATACGTACAAATTAAGATTTTGGGAGAACTTCACACATCTCTACGCATAATTTTCTCGATTTGGTTATCGATTTATATATTTTTATGAAACTCTTATCACCTTGGATCATATTTTAAATTAATTACCCTCAAAAGAAGTGTCAACATAGCCAAAATATTGTCATATCATCTCGGATACGGCGCATACCGAAGACAATCTGGCCATTGTATCGCTTCAGTTCATTGTTTACATTGCGAATAATGATTTATAAATAACAGAGCTGGTCTGTTTAATTAATTTAAATTAAAAAATTTAATATATTTATAGTAAATAACGGCTGCGGCACTTTAACAGCGGCAATAAACAGAGACTTAAGAGACTTTTCTGGTTTCATCGGTTGGAAAATCTGTAAACTTTAATTATAAGTGTTGTACTTAATGACGGGAGAGCTAAACATTAATTACATTAATCTAAATTGCATATTGTAACCATAATAAACAATATTTACATGATGTAAATATAAAATAATCGTAAACAAACATGTGAAAGGTAATTTAAGATTAATTGAATTTCATTACATCGGTAATTTAATTACAAATTATTGAAAGTTTGAATAACATCGTTAAACTTTTAAGTTCATCGCGTCACGAACTTGAACACGTGTCAACTCTAAAAACACGAAAAAGGTTAGGTTCGATTAGGATATGACGTCAAATGAAAATNCGTAAAGCATACATGTACAAAGGTAGTCACGAGAAAGCGTTGAAAAACTTGACATACCGGTGTTTAATTAAAAAGTTGGTATCGCAACATCGTAACATTTATCACAGTGAACCTTGATTTATATCACAAGAAACTTCTAGATGCCAACTATCAGAGAAAATTTTCGAATATTCTAGAGAAGTCTAGAAAATTCCAGAAATTTTTTGCATCAACCCAATAAAATACCTGTAGCGTTGTTCGCCAACAAAAAAGTTCGGAGTTTATAATCGTTGCGGTCACCGGAAATCACAAACGGTAAAAAAATTACAGTGACCGCAATGATTGTAAACAAATACCCTTAGCCTTTGAGATATATCTTGTAGATGATATTAAATACTTAGGTTATATATCTTGTAGATGATATTAAATACTTAAACAGTTACGACACTTTTTTTCATCAGTAAAAATAAAATAATAATAATAATAATAATAATAATAATAATAACCAATAAAAATTCAATCATTTAATCGGTCAGTATAAAATGTAATACGATATAAACGGATTTTATTTTTTTAAAAAAATTCTGATTTATTAATGGACCGTAATAAAATTAACGACGTTCTAAAGATAATTAAAATTTAATTATCGGTTTAATTACGTTTTATCCGATTATTAACATCTTAGATCGAGCGCAATTCTTTCATTTTTTTAATTTAAAAAAAAATATATCTAAAAGCGGGGGGAGAACTTCCGACTGACTTTTTAAGTATTTTAAATTCGTAAATATATTTTTTGCATATAAAATTACAATAATTACCTCAAGAAACCGCGAAAAAGCGGGTTTCTTATGTATTTCCGCTTTGATTCGATCTTTGGCGGATTTCCAATTATTAATGAAAGATGTGTACGTGTCAATGACTTCATTCTGTGAAAACTGCAAAATTACAATGGAAATTTTTAATATTTTCGCATACAAAATACAACAATTCGAATTAAAAAAATAAAAAATAATAATAAAAAAATAAAAAGAAAAATGGCGCAGTGATTAGATACAATTACTATAGAAAGTCACGAATTATCATGGCTTCTCGTGAACTTAATTATGTGAAATTTTCATTTTGCTACTCTTTTTACCTCAGGCACGTTACTACACAACTTTATTTAAATTGTCGCAAATAGAAAAAAATTTTTTTTTTAATTAATAAATATATTAGGCCTTGAATAATTGCTTAAATAGGAAGCCGTGATTGAAATTTTTAATGTAAAATGTATTTTTTTTTTTTGTACAAAATTCTATATAATGTGTAACATTTCCTATATTAACCCATTTACTGGCATGCACTGCCATCTGTCGTCGCGTTCTGTAATTAAACAAAGAATAATAAATTGTGATACGGCTTTTCAGTTGACAGCGTAACAAAAAAAAAAAAAAAGTTTGAAACTTTTTAATCCCTGAAATGGCAACTTAACTTTAAAACAAATTTATCTTCATTATTTATACCCTTTTAACTTCTATATAAATCTTGAAAATTTATGTTGCTACACTTTCTTCGGCTGTAAAATCAATTTAAAATCAAATTAGATGAATATTTCAATTGTTTTTAACGAATAAGAACCCGCTTACAGTGTTACATGCAGAGATTTTATCCACAATAAGGAGATTTCACTTGAAAAAGGAAAATATAGGAATTTTTAATTTAAAATTTTACGAAATTCGGTTAAAATCATTATGATTTTTATTCGATTTTGTGGGTGCAATTTCTATAGTAGATAAACCAAACCTCTAAACAATACTTTAATCTCTATAAAAAGCCGATACAGCGCCATTAAAGTAGTTTCATCCCGTGTAAAGCGATGTTCTTGTATGCCAACGGGAATTAATTAAAAAGGTTAAATTCTCTCTCCGATAACTTTAACAAGACATAACATCCATTAATCTGCCATACCTCTAGAAATATCATCATATAAGGGCACGTACATCGTTACAAAAACCCCTGAAAGGCACTTTTACGGTTATAGAATGACCCAACGTTCAATCTAAAATGTAAGAGAACATCTGATAACAAACAATTCTACAATTGCAGAACCGAATTAATGATAAACAACATTTTTATATCCATAAAAATAACACCCGACGGTGTGAAATATCATGTAATAAAGTTTTATAAGTCGAACCCTTCGGGCATGTTTGTAGACGGTAATTACAGACTTGTAAGCAGAAAAGGTAAAGGACATTAATGCACTTTATTTATTGGTTATTAAAATGAATAAATGCTTCTGTCGTCCCCTTTTTTTTTTTTTACGTTCAACCTAGGGCTCGTCGGATAAGATATCTCTTGAAGCTCTAGAACTTAAAAGATTTCTGGGCTCTTGAACAATTATCCGATAGTGGATATCGATAATAAAGGAAATTGCAATAAAACAAAAAGGCAATCTTAATTGTTATCCATTCTTAAGGAGCACAATGTACTCATAAAAGTGCCATTTTTTCCTCTAACCCTCTTAAGTTTTCGGTTTGTATGTTACATTTAATTTTCCAATTATTTTCTACTTTGTTATGGATTCGCCGGCTTAATTTGAAATGTGAATTAATGTCAGACTGCAAAAAGAATACATTTATGTGTTATTTCCTTATTAAAATAATAAGAAAACTGCTTTCTGGAGTGAAAAATCACGATCCTTTTTACAATCCACACGCTGTAGATGGACGGGGAAGGTTCTTCAATGGTTCTTAAAGATTTCAAGAATTTCTCTTTAAGAATGCGTATTTTAATCATAATTTCGAGTTTAAACATTAAATTATAATGTATACTGAACAACAGTATATCAGTAAATAATATAAAGTAAAAATTACAAGATATCTTTAACGTATTTTATCGTGGATTCAAAATGGCAGTCATTTATATGTCCATTACGCTATGAATTCTAGACATTTTACATGCAAAAATTTATCGTTTTTAGCTTAAAATATTACTTTAGAACATTTCTACGACTTAATTTTAACGATTTTTGGATGAAATTTATCAGAATTAAGTAAGAAATTCGAATTACAAAATGGAGGATAAAGTTAGGCCTTCAATTAGATTACACTTTACTCGGTAACTTTAATTTGAACTTTTAAATGGGATATTTTTATCTTTCTGTTTACTAGTACCTATATATGTTACAAATAAGTATATATTTCGTATATATTTTTAGTGTAGCCTGCTATTTTTAAGCGATATCAAACTAGATCCTTCAAGTAAAACTATCAGCTTTCTAGAAACGAAACTCCTGTATATATATATAAAACCGTGAATATAAATGAGCTAAATACAAAAATTATAATTTATAGAAACAATATATTTATAAAATATAGTGTGATTCAAAATTCTACATAGAAAACAGACACGAATGGCCGTACTTGTCATACATGCGCACACGTAACAGATGGGTTACATACGTTTACCACGAGTGGAATCAGTGCATTTTTATGCGTATTTAATTAAAATGGCATCCATTTAGATTATATTCTAGGATTTATAAGTGAATTCATAATAAAGTGAGCCCTTTGCCTATGTGTGGAGACTTTTGGATCACTATGAATGATGCTTTGAATAGTTTAAACGTAAGCCCTAGTTTATCTGTTTAAATACAGTTACTGTATTTAAAAAAAAATCAATACAGAATTACTTTTATAATTAATCGACTCTTAAACCTCGAATTTATGTACTGTACATACAAAAATGTATTGAATATGAGAAGGGATTAAACAATCTGACACCAACTTCTTAACGTCTTGTAAATGATAACACGTGTTTTATACTTATCTTCTGATGGAACTAATTAAAGAAACACAAGAAAAACAAAGAGAAAAAATTGAAAATATATTTAATTTCAGTTGCCATTAAGGAGCCAATGTTCCTGATTGTTACTAAAAATTTACAAATGGAGTTAAAAAAAATACTCTATTTAAGCAAAACTGTTGCCAAAATAACAATAGGAACATCAACAAAGAGGTCTAGGTTTGTCATTTTAACACCCTAAATATAACAGAATAACTAAAATAGAATCGACGAAGGACAACTTCCTCAAAGAAAATGGCTTCATTTCCCCCATCCCCTACTCTTCTTTATCTATTGGTCACGTTGATACTGGATCATTTCCAACAAAATCAACGTCCTAGAAAATATATATTTTACATTCAAATAGTAGAAAAGACTCTCGACTTTTATTGTTACAGGAAATTATATGTATTTTTTAAAAGGGGGAAAGAGGAAATCAGAGGAAATCGAACGAGGTCACGTATCCTAAATGTTCAATTTTTCTATAGGAGAGTAAAAGATGTTTGTATATATATCTTACATGAAAAATACTTACCGTTTGTATAAAAATGTCACCTATGGTTTGTTTGCAATCCCATTTTTCAACTCGTTCTTCTAAATCATTTAAGAATTTCCTGTGATGTTCGAGTATTCCTGGAACTTGATAAAATACCTCATCGACTAGAGTTGAATCCAAGTACTCCGCACATTTAAGAGGTTTCATGTATTTCTAACAGAAAGAAAAATCTTGTATCTTTCTTATGTCTTTTTAAAATATATAATAATAATAATAATATTTATAATGTTTATTTTTTTTTTAAAAAAAAGAGCTATAATTAGTCTTCTATAGTTAAACATGAGTCAATATACTTAAAATAACACTTTTGTGCCTGTTTGTTACAGGATTTTGTTGGAGTTTCTTTGGTTCTGAATTAAATTATTACAACAGAATAATAAATTTATTCACTTTTTTTTAATATATAAATATTTTCAATTTATAATAAAATAAACTCTTAAAAAATTATATAAAAATAAAACATGAAAATGTAGTATATTAAAAATATAAGAGAAACATTAAAAAAATTAATAATTTTAATTAAAATACAAGGCTATTAATGTATTTTGTTAGAAAAAAAAACCTTAGAAAGTCTATAAATTAATGAAAAATAGATACAGGTGTACAACTGTATCTAAGTTTTGCAGGAATATAAGAAGAAATGAAGGATTTTTTTGGTGTTATTTGTATTATATAAACAGAAAAAAACTTTATATGTTATACTATTTCATATCTACAACAGTATAAATGAAGAAAACATGTAATATGAAAGAAATTTTTAAAAATTTCAATTGTATTAGCCTACGGTAATATGTGCGAGAACAGTTGTAGGAGGATGGATTTGCATATCAGCTAAACAAGGTCCTCATAAGTCTATAGCTTAAGTCATTTTTACAATTATTACTATTTTATATAGAAAAAGTACCTGTTATATGTTATAGTTTATGCCTACAAGTCTAAGTCAGTCCTGACATTGTATAATAAACACATACAGACATTGAAACTTAACAGTTACATAAAGAAGTATAAAAAAGGTGTAAAATAAAACAATATATTATACACAACTTTCCTTGTTTACAACATGTAGCTCATTCTAATTTATCAGTAATAAAATGTACAAAAATTTGTGTTTAAAACTGCTGTTATTACAATAACACCAAAAACACTTAGATGATCCTTTACTTAAAAATTTACCTCTACTTAAGTTTTTAAAAGAAAAACTAAGTATCTACAGCATTAGGAAACTTTGAAGTATTTTATATATATATTTATAAGATTGAAGTAGCAATAAATTATAAAGTTCTTTTATGTCTGTATAATGTAAGCAACATCACAAAAAATCTTTTATTCCTTTCATATTCTTAGAAAGCTTAAACATTGCTATAGATACAATGAAAATTTTATTCTTCTCTTGCATAAACAGCTTATAGAATTGCTAGAAGTGAAGATCTTTAGATATAACACAATTATACAAAACATATAAAATAAAATTATAAAAGTCTTTGAGTAATTATTGTTATCCTAGAGTTACAAAATATATTTTCACCATAGTTATGGTAATTTTCGGAACAGAAATGATTAAAAATAATCACATAATCAAACATATAACCAGGTGGTAATACTAGAAAACATAGGACATCATGATATTAGAGAATATACAGTATAATAAACTAAGACAGATTAGCTAGAATACAAAACACAAAATTTAATACTAAATACAATGAAATAGAAGCAACAAAACAATACAAAACACCAGAAGCAATAGAAATCTACAGATAATATACATAACAACAGAAGAAGAAGAAGAAAAATGTATATTTACTATAGAAGATTTGTAATAGAAATATTAAATTTCTATTGTGTTGTATTCTTTACTCATAGCAAAGAACACAAAATATAACAGTTTTGTGTTTTGTGTGTACTGTAAATTTATATTTGCCATAACATAAAGCAAGAGAATAGAATACAATAAACAGTTATTGCATGGTATGTTCTAAAACAGAACAGAATGGAAACAACCAGTGCCGTAACTAGGGCAATGCCCAGGCACAGGGCGCAGAAATGACCTGGACCAAGTTTTGGGTCGTAGTTTTGGGGCATAGTTACAGAAGCTCGCACCGGGTGCATAAAAGGCTAGTTACGGCACTGGAAACAACAGAAAGCACCAAAAAAAAAACAGAGAAGAACACTAGAAAATGCATACACAATTCAACACAATTGCAAGAACAGTGGACATAAAACATAACAGAACATAATAAATGAGTAAGGACAATAAAGAATGTATAATTTAACACAATTGCAAGAAGAGAAACAAAAGATTTACATATATAAACAAAATGAATTATTTTAAAAACATAAAATAATTAAATTCTTCCTGAAATTGTTTAAAATAAAATAAAATATTATATTTACCATTTAATTTTCTGTGTATTATGATTTTAATAAAAGGCATAGTTCTTTTGAAGTACACGGGAAACATTTATGGCACAATTTAACACGTTTAAAAATAGTTAAAACGTCTGTACATACATTCGTACACTAATTTTATCCGATGACACGGATACAAACGATCGATTTTATAAACCAAGTTTTAAACACTCGTATTTATTTTATAAATAAATGAATCACTGGTAAAGTAAATTTACTTACATTGACCAATATTTCTAGAGATTCTACGTAAGACTCCTCCGTGCAATGAAGTTCCCTCACCACGTGTGTCCTGGTATCCTTAAAAAGTAACACAAAAATAGTTATTTTAAGTTTATTTTGACTGAAATTTTCGACATTTTTTATTTTTATCGTCTTTACGTAATTTGTTTAATGTAATCTTTATACGGAGAGAAAACGTTATATCGGGATTGATCTAGAGGCTACAGTTGAGGCTTTGGTGTTCGGGATCCGCATTTTTTAACACCTTGCAAACACTTTTGAGGCCGTGATCTAGAAGTAAAACGCTATATCGAGGTTCTAGATACAATAAACTCTTCATTAACACAAAGCTAAAATACATGCAGCTTAGGATCTCGTGTGGAGAGCCCCTTAAATACGCTACAACATTTCTAAATTAGACCATGATTATCGTTATAACGAGACAGAAAAATATTCTTCGTTATAACCAAATATTTTGGAAGAAAAATTATTCCTCGCTATAGCATAACGTGATATAGTTTCCTGGGCCCTAGGTAGACATAAGCTTAACAAATTGCAGCTTAGGGCCTCACAATTTTACACGTATCATTATTTATTAGATGGAAAGGACCTGTTATATTGTAGATTAGGACCACAATAAGTCCAGTCATAAGAGAGTTTCCTTGAGAGAGGCACAGAGAACTACGAATTAAATCAGGTTAAGGTGATATAGAGGGTAAAGGTCACGGGCTATTATATTATTTAATGCATAAAATTAAATTATTAAAGCAAAATACGAAGAGCCAGTTATTAAAACACGCTTTTTATCATTTGAGGACAATAAAAATGAGGTGATTTAAGTGAAGAAACACCGTAAAATTTTGTCGAATGCCTACGAAAGACCCATCTGAAGATAGTAGCGCGTTATACCTCCACGAAGGCCCGGAAGAATTCGAATTAGGGGGCCCCACGTATAGTGTTGACTTTTGTTTTTTAAATGATTTGTTTGGGCCCCCAATCGGCGAGGGGCTCCAGGCAATTGCTTATGGTACAATTGTAATTTTTTACAGTTAAAAACACTAAATTTGGGTCGTTCGGGGAGGATAAAAATCACACAATTCTACTGTTTTGTTACAAAGTTAAGACATTGTACAGATGGTTAATGACGTTGGCAGAATGAAAATAAACACAAAATTATTGATCCCACGCGTTTACACTCGAGAAAATTACTTCTTAAACCCCTTTTTTTAAAAATAAGATAAATTTACACGTGACGCGAATTAGGTTAAATAAAAAATAATAATAATAATAATAATTTGCAATGTTCCTACCTCAATATTCTCGTTTGTACACATTCGTGTCCAACATCAATAACCAGTTGTGTACTGTACTAAGTGACAAAAAGTTTTGACTGTGATAAAAGTATAGTACTTATCGAAATTTCCTGCATGCTAGGGTTACAATTTTACACCACTTTAAAAAAGTAACACGTGACCATAAACGTCGCCAGTCTACAAATTTGGAGATTATAATGTAAACAACTTGTATTGTCTAGTTTATATATATACAATGGGTTTATTGTGTGGGTGATGTTGCAATGTACAAACTGTCGAATAAATACTCCCTTTTTCTCTTCTTATAATTTACATTTTTATTTTTTTTCTTATATTTTTAACACTTTCTTATGGAGTTAGATCGAATTGAATTGTTAAATTCTTTGGGCGGAGCTGGCATTTCCCGTTTCAATGTGATTTACCATCGCGTACAACGTCACGAATTTCCATTTTTTATGCGATTAATTACATAAACAATGGGTTTAATTCGTTTAATTGGGCGGAGCGCCTATTTATTTTGGTATACACTCCACTTTTTGGGGGGGAGATTCGTGTATGTATTATAATAATAATACTGTAATAATTTTCATAGAATGAATTGGGCGGAGCTCAAATTAATCTTTACGTGAAAATATTTAGCATAGATAATGTATTTCTTAAATTAAGCACAGAAATTTTGCATTTACAGTCGACCCCCCTATAACACTGTTGATAATTCTATTTTATATGAATTCCGTGTTGTACGAGTCACTTAGATTTTACAAATACGTGTGCCAGGCTGTGAACAGCTTACGTATTTTTAAAATCTAAGTGACTCGTACAACATGGGATTCATATAAAACGGAATTATCAACAGTGTTATAGGGGGGTCGACTACATATAAAGAGAATTTATGATTGAGCGGAGCGGCACAACTGATAAAAGTTTTTCTCATTTAATAACCTAGATTTAATTACTTATTTAAGATAAATTGTAATAATTTCTCTACAAGTTATCGTGATTTATAACATTCATGAATCTAATTAAATATCAATTATATTCATTGGGCGGAGCCGAACGTACTTTACTCGATATCTCGCCAACCAGTGCACCAATTTACACGAAATTTGGCAGATACAATGAAAATATCCCATATATTAAATTGGCACTGTCAATAACACTATATATATATATATATCATTTTATTATAATTCGTCGCTTTAGAGAAGTGTAAAATGTAAAAGAGCAATAAAGTGAGGTGGGGAGAAAGGTAAAAGTAAACAAAATTAGAGAAAAAAAAATTCTCGAATTTTGCTTACTTTTTTCGTTATTCAGCTAGCAGAACAACCTTGAAAAACTCTCGAATGTACTATTTTTGGTAATTTAAAGTAAAGAGAACGTTGGTTACATTACAAGAGAATTTACATTGCTACGTTTTAGTACATCAAGTTTTATAACATTCGAAGAATTCATTAAGCTATTATACGATTTAACATCCTTATCAGCAGCAGCAGCAACATAAGTTTGAATATAACTTTAGTTAATGGATGTATGCATTCATTTATCACTCATAAAAAAGTCACGAAACACATCAAATCTGTACCTTGACAAGTATGACTTGTCTGACCAATTTCATAGCAATTAATAAAACTTGTCGGTCTAGATGCTACATGGGTCAACATCAGAATTATCAATAATCTACACACACCTCCCTGTAAAGAAAAACTTTTAAAAATTTAGTTTTACCTTTATAATTCTTCAGATTAGATCGAGAGATATTAAGAATATAAATCGTTTTCGGAAGATGGGGCCATATCTCCCGAACCGACGATCGGATTTTCCTGAAAATTTCTAGAAATGTCTCCCCTTAATCCTCAAATCTCCTTGCAAAATTTCAGAAATTTTCGACAAATGGTACAGGAGTTATTAAGCTTCAAATTGAGCGAAAAAATCGTCCCCCCCTCACACACTAACACCCAAAAATAAAGAAAAAACCCCCCAAATTTTTTAACTACTAGACTTTTGAAGGTCCCCGAATCCGAAAATATGGGTCATTTACTTTTCCTATGTTATATTCCTTAGATATAAGTGTCGTTGAGATGTTACCCTTTAAATGGGCATCAGAGAGTTAAAAAAAAAATGAAACTGAAGAGGGGTTATTTTGCAAAACACCCAAAATATATTTTGCCTGGAATTTTGTAATTTCAAGGGGTTCTAAATAAAAGAAAGCATGTGAAAGTATAGCAGTGTTTAGTAAAATTATTGTACAGTTATTGAACAATTTAAAATAAAATTAAACAGCATGGTTCAAACAAGATTAAAGTAAAAATAATTTTTAAAAAAATAGAAGAAATATGTAGGGGAAAAAAATGCAAAATAAAAATAAATATAATTTTTAAAGCAGAAATTTAGAAAAAATAAAAATAAATGTAAATCCAGACATGTAAGGGTCATTGCTAGACATAAGTATGGTTGTTGGTATGTGTTAGCTACTGTAAATATTTGTAGTTGAAGCAAGGTGTTCTGAAAATGAGCCAATTCTCATTTCTTTTTTTCTTTTTCCTCCTCCTCCTCCCTCCATAAATGATACTACTACCAGCAATAATGGCTGTTTCTAATGTCATTAGCTGCAGATGATGATAAGTTAATGAAGATTAAAATGAATATTTATTATATGTTTTTATCTCTGTTAAATCATACTTTCACATTAATTAAGCTAATGTATATTATGGTAGAATATTTAAACAAATAGAAGCAGTAGTATTTTCAATGGTAAGTAGCATAGTGGGCAGCAATTAAACAAAGAGTATAGAAGTTCAGGGGTATATACTACTACTTATAAGCTGATAAAAAAACAATTAGTTGTTTAATTATGTTACAGCACAATTTGTAGTTGCTGTTGTTGCTCCTAAATACACTGAAAAGTATATTAAAGGCATACTAAAAAATATACCAAAATAAATTAATAGGATAAATAAAATATGTAGATAAAGGTACTGAAAGTTTAATAAAATGTTTCTATATGTAATTATAGTATTGAATATATATTTTCATTATAAATGAAATGATTTCTTTTACAATTAACACAGAAATTAGTTGCAAGGTAAACAATGAAACTTATGTGTTAATTTACAGCTTAAACAGAATTTAGTAATATTTTAAATGAATAAAAAAAATATACATTTGTATATTTTCCTTTATATAAAAATTTAAACAATATAATAACACTAAAATTAATAATTTATATTAATGAGAATTTAGATTAAAGATGAACCTGTTAGCATTTAACTACTATAAAGAAAAATTTGGTACTAAAATAGTGTTCTCTGATGCTGCAGCATTTATAAAATGCTACTCTATTTTCTATTTTTGGCATCTTAAATTTTTTTTTTCCTTTCCCCCTGTTTATTCTTTAGTAAAACAGAACTTCTTTTGAAAAACAAAGCCCTTGAACTTGTCCTACATACTTTGAAATTCTAACAGTAACAAATGCTTTCTAATTAATTACTTTATAAAACAATCAGATATGAATTGATTCTTATAACTTAAAAAATATATAATATATATAAAGTAATGTTTATATAATAAAATTTAATAAAATTAGCAGTTGAAAGATATTTTTAACAATATTATTAACGATAAAGACGTGTGAAAAGTGACAGTTTTATGTATCATTAACATTTTAGTTATAAATAAATTGTTAGGAACAAAAAAGAAATTGCACATCCAACTACAAATTTTCCACTTTGGAGAGCACCCAAAATAAATTTTAAAAGCAGAAAGAAAAAGGAAAAAAATATAGAAAAAAAATCTCTCCAATAAAGTTCAACATTACAATTTTTATATGGTTAAAATTTGTATTTTTTTTGGGAGACGTTTAACAAGTGTTTTTTATATTGTTCTTTTTCTTTTTTTTGGAGAACTTTTAAAGGTGTATTATATATTTTTCCTTTAATTTTTCTTGGTAAATATCTCTTATTATAGATGCTTATTCAAAATTATATATCCAAAGCTTTTTGTGAATTAATAGTTCTCTCAGACTACCAATTATGTATACTTTAAAACTCAAAAGTATATTTTAAGTGGTCTGACCAGGTAGATAATCAGCAAAGAAGGTAAGAAAAGAAAACATTAAAGAAATCATTAAGAATAAAAGAATAAAGAGATAAAGTTTTCTAACTTATAAAGATGTTGTTGATGATTTTTATTGACATAAACAAGTTTTTTTTTTTTTCTGAATGAGAAAATTTAGTTTAACTTTTACTAGTTTTAAGAACGTTAAAATAGATCACTTTGAACTTTATCGATGAATAAATTATTCTAAAAATATAAATATTTAATTAACTTTAAAGAATAAACAATGTTAACTCTGAAACATTGGCTAATATCCAGTATTAAAAACATCTCTCTGTTCATTAAGATAACCAAGATTGATAACGTTTCCTCTTCTTCTTCTTTTTTTTTATACTTCAGAGTATGAATTTATATTCTTAAATTGCATTTAATACATTCTTATCAATGGAGAAACGGGTTTAGAAAGTGTTCACGTGGGCGAATAATTCTTAAAGTGAGTTAAAACTGATTAAAATAATATTAGTGGGAGTTTTGATAACGTTTAATAGGTTTTATGAGTCATTGCAAAGCTCGCAAATAATTTTTATAATGGAATATGCAAGTATAAATTGATAATATTATCATAGATTTATGTGTTTAGTGATAAAAAAAAAAGAAAAGAAAGAAAGAAAAAAGTTTTATATTCTGTTCAATTGCCTGTCTGACTGCAAGATTTCTTAGAAACTATGAGTAAGGAAGTTAAATATTTTGGGACTTTAATGGACATATTCTCCTCCCAAATTTTATGAGTTAGATCCATTTGTCTGTAGTACAGATCGGAGGTTATAATTCGCGTAAATAAACGAATTACAGTTGAAATTTTTATATTAAACATCGTTTTTTTATCCGTCCATGTGTCTATTTTAAAGATTTGAAAGAGTTAGACTGGTAGGAATGAGATATATTAACCAACCTCCGCCTACAAAATTCTATTGATTATGCTATTATAATGTTTAATTAATTAAATTAGGAAATATACTACTAATAAATATTCTTTAATATAATCAGGGCCATTCATAAAAATTATGAGAACCTAATAAATTTTGATCATGGCATACCTCTCCTTGAGGGAGAGATGTGTCTAGAGTAAAAATTTATCAGAGATTCAGAAGCTCGAGGCCCAATAACTTACCTATAGTGGGACCATCATCATGGGTCCCGACACGTGCCCTCTGTCCCTCTTTGTGAACGGTCATGAATATAATTTATAATATAGTATACAAAGCCTTCTTAGGGGCATCTTTTCACTGCTCGTTAATCTTTTTGTTCTATACCTCTGAATAATTTGGCATAGGACCTCAAACAGCACTAAATATACATCTTTAAAACTCATTGAACTTATTGCAAATACATATAAACATAATCGGTTGGTTGATAGAATAAGACAACGTAACCATGGGCGATCTGCAAATGAGAAGAGATAACTCTCTATGGAGAACTGGACCCTATTAAGGTAATTGCGATACATGCCAAGAGGGATGCCTCCTGCGAAACTTTCTATGGGAAGCGGGATCCTATTTTGATGCTAGACACGTGGAAATTCAACGTGGCCAGCCCGTGGGCGAGGCGCGAGATCATCAGCAGTTATAACAGTTATACAGCTGTATCATTATAACAATACTAATACGTTTTGACTGACATTAATGAACTGGCAAAGAAAGAATTCATCAACTAGCATAACTAATTATAACACAGCCTACTGTTATTAACAGTGGCATGCTAAACTGTCTTGATGCATTAAACCTCCATTAATCATTAATAAACCACCAATGACACTAATAAAAATTTTACGTCTTCATTTTCATAAATAATAATAAAAATGTAAAAAAAAACATTAATAGTAATTTTTTAGAACTGTACCATTAAAAGATTTAATAGTCATCGCTAGCAACATGCCACTATTTATTAAAATATTTATTACTTCTAATACAGTAATAAATGACGCCATCTTTGTCCTTTAAATATCAATTAGTCATTAAGAAACTATTAATATCATAAAGTGAATATTTAATACATTCATAACTTATAAACGAATAAAAAAAAGGTATTTTAATGTTCATTACTGCAAATATTTTCAAAGATATTTATTAAATTGACTGGATTGGTTGACTTAAAAATTTAATCGCATCGATTGGTTAATTTGAATATTGCAACCACGTCGATTGGTTGATTTGAATACTATAATAACGTCTTAGTTAATTTGAATATTGCAACCACGTCGATTGGTTGATTTGAATACTATAATAACGTCGATTGGTTGATTTGAAAATTTAAACTAATCTATATTATTTTAAAGTATATTTAATAAATTGGCATACATTTTTTGTTATACCTCACGATTATCCTTTTATATATATAAGAAAATTTGTACTTTAGTTAAAATGAACAGTTTAAAAAACAGTTTATAACACAAGAAAACTTTATCATATGCTATTTTTTTTCCAACAAATGTCGTTGTTTGTCATGCAACACATTTAGAAATCATGCCAAACAAATCACAGAATATACATTTACGTCACCTTTAGATAATATTATTCGCCCCTACAAAGTGACTAATCGGGTTAAAAATAAACTAAAAGCTCATACAGCAGGTCAAAATAAAAATAAAATAAAATATATTAACATCTAGAATTAATTACAATACTAGAAATTAAACAAAAGAGTTTGTTTTTATTTGTTATTTATTTAATGCCAATCCCATTCATTCATCGAACTCTTTAATTTTACTTGCATTCCTTTTTGACTGGTGAAAATTTTATAATAAAAAAAAAATAATAATATATAATTATAACTTATTTTCTATGCAGTGGATTTACTTAATTACGTGTTCCCAAATCGAGCAAACACGATTTAATCTTGCATTGTAAAAACGATTAGTTTTGTAATGGAAGCTTGACTCCGCCCAAATATTTAACTACTCAATAGGCTATAAATCTTTCTTCTTGTCTAAATGACACGCAAACTTTAAAAGATATCACGAAATTAGAAGAAATAAAAAGATGATAAACGACACTCACCTCGTCTGAAATTTTCCTCTTTGCTTCTTCCACGTATACAAAACTCGAATTGTGATGGGTCAAATTGGGCTCCGATGTGGTTGTGACCATTTCTGATAATAAAAGTAAATCGTTGTTTTTATCTTCTATGGGAGCTGATGTACTGCTTTTGATTTTTTCGTGATTGAACCTCGGATCACCTAATGAATTACTGCTGCAATATAACGATAATTGAGTTTCGTTTGTTGTTTTCTTCTCACAAAAATCCATCAACATCTGAAATTCTTGGTTGTAATTATGTTTTGGTTTTCCCTCATATTTCCTCATCTCTTCTTCTAGCATTTCTCCATAAGGTCCTCTTAATTTTTTCTTGTAGTATCGTTTCTGTTGAGGATTAACATCTTCGTTGAATGTCGCTTTTTGTTTGAAATTACTAGGAAGAGTCGAAGAATTGCTAGGAAGTGACAATTCTGAAGATTTCGAAGACTTTTCTCTATTATCTATCAAGTCTGGATCACTTTTATGTGAAGTAACTTTATTGTGGAAAGGCTCGACGATTCGATCTTTGTTCGGTAGAGTTTTGGAAGCATCACCAATTTTAGAAGGGAATGAAAAATTAAGAGGCTTGATAGCTACTTGTCGTTTACTTGTATCTTTTTCTTTTTGGCTTTCACACACTTCTTCATTGATTCGATTTTGGAATAGGGTAGTCTTACTGATCTTAGATGTGGCCCTAGGAAAGGTTCTCACTTCAATTTTGTTTTGTACCATCTCTTTATTAACTTCTTTCAGTGGTGTAGCCAAACTTAGAGCTTTCAACGTTTCACTGTTATGAGTTTTAGGGGGGAGAGTAGGAAGAGTTAAAGGTAAAACCTTTTTCTTCGGTAAAGTACAAGTATTAATTATCAACATGCCCGACTTGGTATCACTTTGTACATCTTCAGATAAAGAATCGTTTCCATTATTCACCTTAGATTTCTCCTCGGTAATCTTTATAGTACTGGGCTTTAACAATTCAGTCAACTCTCTTAATCTCTTATTACATACCCTGTCGACATTCTCACTATTGTTAAGTGGATACACGTTAGAAATGCTTCTGCAGAACGGGGCAGGTTTATCACACTTCGTGTCATAACCTTCGGGGGTTTTTCTCCTTTTGTATTTGTTCAAATCCAAACCGGACAAGATGTCACGAATTTTTAACAATTCCGGATCCTCTCCTTTTGTGCTTTCGTTTCCTAATGTATCTTTGCCCTTCCTACAAAGGGTTAAGTACGAAGGTATATCCGGTCTAAGTCTTACAGGTGACCTATTTGGAACGGGCGAACAGGGCAACGAAGACGGTCCAGGGCTCGAAACTTTAGTAAGTTTGGTCAACTGGAAGTTCGGGTTAAGATTTAACTTAGCTGGTTTGTTGTTAAGCTTACCCTTTTCCATCTGTTGGCTCACTAAATGATGGTCCAGACCATTTCGCAACTCCTCGACTTGCTTAATAATATCGTCTAAGGTGATGTTGCATTCCTGGTGGTTAGAACATGTCTTCCTGCCTGTATCACTAGCATCTCCGAGTACAAAAGTGGAGACCACCTGGCTGGCATCTGCACCGTTCTGTGTAGTGAGGTGCTTGTAGCTGAGCTTAGGATATTTAGCTATTTTTGGAACCCCCTCATCTCTCCACTCTTCAAACAAACTGCCACTGGTAGTAAGTACAGCATCAGGTTTCTTTTGGCTAGTGGTTTGTGTTTCTTTTCCAGTAACAGTGGGTTTGTTCATTAGAGAACAAAGTAATTTATGTTTGTTACGCATAAACGATCTTTATCTCCAAAATTAAGTGGGATGCTATTAGTAAAAAAAAAAAAAAAATAGAAAAGATCATCAACAAACAATCTTGCATGTGATGTTAGAGCTTTTATGCTTAATTATTAAGTGGTTTAAATGTATTTGAGAAAGTAACTCACCACACTGTGTACAGGGGACGACTGCACAAGTCTTCGAACTTAAAAGTGTGACGAAAGATGCTACTTAGTTCTCATATTCGCCGACAGATGGGGAGAATGAAGGACAATAAACTCCAATGGATTTTTAAATTTTAAACTCGATATAAAGTTATTTTTAGTTTCGTTTTAAGTACTTTAGTGGAAAAATTTGTTTAGAATTCGACGAACTTTATTAACTCAAAATTTATTACTTTATTAACTGAGAATTTCGAATTACTTACATTTCTTACATAGAAAAAAACATAATTTAGCATTAAAATCTCATTTAAAACGATATCGTTTAACTTAAAACAACTGTTTAAGCCATTCTATAAAAATATAACACGTTTTGTTTATATTATTACACCAAAATACAGCAAATTTTGCAATTATAATTTTTAACACTTTTTTTAATTTATAAAGCTTTAAAAAATTTGTATAATATTAAATAAAAATAAATTTAAATTATAAACGAAATAATTTTTTATATTTATAGAAAAAAAATTATTTTTTTAAACTGTGTATTTATTTAATTATAATATCGTGTGGCGCCATCTCTTGATTTACGTGATAAATAAAGCCACGTGTACTGTATAATAAAAGCCACGTGTGTAGTGTCATTTGATAACTTTGTATTGTGTACTTAAAACGATTCAACGATAATACAAACATACTGTATTGTAATAAGATCATAGTTTTTAATTATGTTTAACTAATGTTACATGAATGGAATTTCTTTAAACTTTATTAAATTTTTTTCTATGGTGTAAGTAAATTAAATAAAAATATTTAAATATAAATTTAATACATTTACTTAATATATTCCTTAATAGTATTAAGAGCATAGCAGTGGCAGATTACCCAATAGGGACACTAGGAGCTTGTATTATAAAGAAAAAATTGTTATTATTTAAGGATTTTATGCCTTTTTAATACAAAAAAAACAAGTTTTACACGGGGGCCTTATAATAAATTTGTGCCTAGAGCCTCAATAAATCGTAATTCGCTACTGGAGCGTAGCTGATTAGATGCCAAATTTCAAATATCGAAGATCTATAATGCCTAACAACTGAAAAATTGTCAAATACGTAGCTACGACTTTAAACTTAATAATTAATGAATGAGAATATGTAGACTTATAACTGAATTACAGCTACATTGTAAGTATGATACATTAATTAATACGTCTATAGTACGGTCAGGGGCGGCGCTAGATGGTAAGCAGGATAAGCAAACCATCGGAAATACAGCAAAGAGCCACCAGTGTCGAATGATACTCGGTACGCCTCACTAACGAACTATCCACGTGGAGTTTTACACGTGTCTAACACCCGAATAGGTGACAGTTTCAGTAGAAAGATCTCCCGGGAGGTAGACCCCTTTGGCACGTGTCTGACACGTAAGTAGAGGTCAGTTTTCCGTAGAAAGTCCTCTCGGGAGGCACCTCTCCCTTAGCAGATCGCCCATGCGTTGCATTGCCTTATTCAACCAATCACCAGTCAGCGAATAAGGCGTTTACGCGGAAAAATTGAGAAAGATCATCAAAGGGCGCTTTCAGAAGATTTTTGCATTGGGGTGTCTGTGCTCCTGCCGCTACCTACGAATAGGATCACTTGGTTTTCGAAAAGGAATTATATACTCTGAACGATCACTGCTTAATAACGGGCTGGTCCATCTTTCTAGTAAACTTGTAAACGTCAAAGCATAGACTCTACTAGTGCCAAACATCCTCTATTCTTAACTGGACCCATGCCTGCTGGAGTAGTTTTGTCAGAAGGTGCACATTTCGCGGAAGAGTAAGTAACAACCTCACCATACATTCCAGTATATCCCAAACATGTTCAATAGGGTTTCAGTCTGGTGAGTTTGGAGTCCAAGGCAGTTTGTTGAATTCACTGTCGTGTTCCTCAAACCATTCTTAAGTGAGCTTTGTCTGGTAACACGGTATATTATCATGTTGAAACACGACATCATTCTCAGGAAATATAGCCTGAAGATACGGGTACAGATGATCACCTACCAGGTTCCATGATCGTTCACCATTCAAGGATTGTAAGGTGACAACCAATGGGCCTTGTAGGCCTTGCCAAGAGAACGCTCCTTAGACCACGATACCACCGCCATCAGCTTGTGTAACAACAGTGCAACTAGGGGATGTGACTTCATGCTGTTAACACCAGACTCGGACCCTACCATCAGTGTGATTCAGTACAAAACGGGACTCGTCACTTCATACAACCTTCTTCTATATGTTAAAAATCCAATGATACCTTTCCCTCGTCATGCGGGGCATCCTTTGCGATGATACATAGTCAACAGGGGCACTCAACGTCTATTGAACCCCAATCTACGAACGTTGCAAGGTCGTTGTCAAAACACGTCTACCTCGTGCACTGTTGAGTTTGTACTTAATCGGAGATCATAAATAATAACATGAATCATCGCGATTGCATTGATCACACCCGTTCAAATGGTGTGTACTGTACAAACGAACTATAGCAATCTGATCAATCTCTATCCGCAGTCAAGGATCAACGATCAAACTAATTCGAGTGGATGGTAGAATCGTTTAAATCGGATAAAAATGATTAAAAATATACTTTCCGCCAACTAAAAGACATGACAGAAGCGATCTGTATCACGTGTCAAAGTCTGATCTGATCTTGCAGATCGATCCATCTGATAACCTATGAACCCTTGAGTTTTGGGTTGTCGTTCGTCTCGAAATGATTAATACGTTCTTTCGTTGAATTTAATGCAATCGGTATTTATTTTAATTTCCATTTATTGATAGAATTTATTGTTATTTTATAATAAGTTTATTTTGTTACAGTAATTGAACTGTAATCTAATCTCTATTGATGAAAATATGATTTTTAAATAATTCAAATAGCAATTTGTATAAATGATAAACATAAATTAGATTGGGTGAGGAATATTTTAAAGTAAATTAATACTGTATTTTTAGATATTGTTACCGTATTTTTGCGGAATGCCGCATAAAAACGGGTTAGACCACCAGCATTTCCGGTCATTCAGCGAAAATACGGTATAATTTGCAATACTGTATAGACTATTAACGTGAAAGATTGATTTGATGGGATGCAATAATACAACAGATGGACGATATGAACGAGATGACCTTCTGTAGAAAACTGCTCCATATTTAGGTACTTTCTATGGAAAACTGGCCTGTACTTTGGCGCTTTCTATGAGAAATTAGCTCCTGTTTAGGTGTTAAAACACGTGGAGAAATCCCAAAGAAACTTTACGTGTTCAATGTTTTTATCTATTCGTCACTGGTGGGCTATTAAAAAAAGTACCCTAGGCTATAAAAATATATAGTTTTAATGCTACTTAAATACAAATTATTCTTACACGAAGAGCAGTTATATAATTACAGAAAGTATGGCATTTTTATAACGGCGAATACTATAAAAAATAAATTAAAAAAATCTCTGATTTGCATTAAAATTATAACAGTAATACATCAACAAAATTTTCTATTGTGACGTTAAAAATTTTGTTTACTTGTAAGCTTACCTGTTTGTTTTTCGTGCATGAATATGCTTAATTTGCAAGCAGTATTGGCCATTTTATTAGAACTAAGTGACTTGAATTTCGTGTTAAAGGTAAGTTATAAATATTATTATTCATTTTTTATATATATATAATTGATTCGCGCGAAATTTAATAATAGTTGATATAATGTTTTGTATCGTTAATTACAATAGTTTTATATAAATTCGATTATTAACAAATAGTTTTAAAGGGTGTGGTCATGATTCAAAATGGTGACAATTAAACATCATTTTTTTTGCATATATCTAACACATATTTCTATTATTTTGTTTTTTATTACTATCTTTAATCTTTAGAGAAGGGCCTCTCTCACATACGTTAGTTGTGAGAGAGGCCCTTCTCTCGATTAAAGATATAAACGTCATCAATTTGGCGATATTCTGGGTTGAGATTTGACTTGGATAACACTAACTATATAATAGGTAATGTAAGATTTAGGGGTGTGCAGGGCGCAGTGCATCCCCGTCTGGGGATTTTCCGAGCGAAGCCTTACATATCAAGGCATCAGGGATGTTCAGTACCCTTGGGTACCTTAAGCGGTAAAAAATTTTATAACGCATATTCTTTCTTTCCTGCACTCTCCTTTAAAAATTTTTGGATCCGCTATTGCTAACAGGCATCAATTTTGTCTATTTAGGTGGTCCTAGCTGTAATTTGGTCGATTGTTTGTTTTCTTAAGTTACTGCAATGCAACACTTGGGCGATCTGCCTAGGGGGAATGCCTTCAGGAAAGTATTTTTAAGGGTAACTGGCCCCTATTTAGGCGTTACAGAAGTGGAGAAAACACGGAAAACTCCACATTATCCTGGCGAGGTGCGAACCCACGACCGAATTCCCAGTGTTCAAGGAAAGGAACCGCTTGGCCACTGGTGGGCCCCGATCTCTCAGATTACCAAGCCGCAATAATTTTTATATTGCCGCAGAGAAATTTGGGTGTCCTTTTGGATACAAGACAAAATACCTCCGCTTTTTAAAGTAACGTTTGTATTTGAACACACGACAAACGTGTGTCAAGAAGAATATAGAAATTCAATCTTTACTACAAGTTTTGGCATTATTTTCATTATTCCACTCTGTACAGTGGAATGTTTTATCGCATTTTCTAGTTTATAAAACACTGGTTTGTGTGTTTTATAGATTAGGAAATGCGATAAAACATTTCAAACCTCAGTTTAGTTTCATTAAAATTTCAGAATAGATTTATAAAAATCCACACCAATTGCAGGCATAAACTTTGACGTAGATTTAATGTCTTTTTGTTTCTTCTCTATTGAAAGTGGGCTTGCAATGGCAATTGGTTTCAGCTTTGAAAACCCACTCGCTGAATCTGACTGCCAGACTGAATTTTCCAGTGTTTTGTCATTAGCGACTAGTTCTGAAACGACATGGTCACGATCTGATTCTCGTGAAGCACTTTGTACATTGCTTATTGTTTTCTCTTTAGCTTTCTCTAGCAACTTTTTCTTTCGGGTTTACTTCGTTTTGCATCAGAAGCTAATTCATTAATAGATCTGCCTCCTCTATAAAAACCAAGAACGATTCACAAAAATTACTGTTATATGGCAATAATGAATTAACTTTCAAATATACTTCTCAGATACCTCAAGCAACGTATCGAGTCTCCATGACCATCTTCAAGAATGTCGGCTTCCTTCAACGAAACTGAATAGTTATGCTCCATGATGACTCTTTTACGAAAGAAACGATTGCTTACTTTATATAGATAGCACTGTCTGCGCTGATAATATTGTTAAACAAACGCAATATGCATTGGGAGTAACAAAGAAGATGTATTATGCTACGTGTTTTCTGTATTGTAATGTCGTATCTCCCTGGTAAACAAACCCCCCTATAACGTGGTAGATACGTTCCACTTTATAATAATTTCACGTTGTAGGAATGCATGAGTCAATCGCAGCCCGACACGTGTGAAGTTTACGGACTACGGCTGTTTGAAAGGTTTTCTTCCATAAAATTAATCGATTCCTACACTAATTCGATTCAACATTTCCAAAATACGTATATTTTTTGGGAATAATCCGTATAAACTATGCTATAAACAAAAAATTGTAAGATTACTTACCGAGTGTGCACCGTTCGACGTCGCCATTGCTTAAGCTTGTTTTCGTCGCGGAGCAGCGCACCAAACGGCGGCCGCGATTTCTGATAAGTTATTTTTCTGCGAAAACTTCGTTGAACTTTGGAGACATCATTAATATAAATAATTTTTATGGCCGTTGAATAAGAAATGTTTCTTTCACAAGAAATGTATAAAATTACAGTACTGTATTAGACTTACGGTACCTAATTTACATACTGTACAGACGATAGTAAACTCAACTTACTCGCCTAAACTCTCCGTAGCGTGGCGCTGGACGGCGGAAAGTATATATATAATTATAATAAAGTTACAATAAATTAAGTTAATATATAATTATATATACAGTACCTAATTTATATATAATACTGTACAGACGATAGTAAACTGAACTTACTGCCTAAACTCTCTGTAGCGTGTAAGTAGTTCGGCTGCTCGTCTACTATTGGTCCAGATTCGACCAATCCTGTCGCGACACGAGTCGGCGATGACGTTTTACCGCGTTTTACACGTTTCTTTTAGCGTCTTTATACGAATACTGTCGCAATTTTTTCGCCACGTTATAGGAATCTCCGTTATAGAAACCAGCGTTATAGGGGTCTACTGTAATTATATAAAAGCCAATATCGCAAAAATATTATTTATTTCATGATGTTAAGATGTCGAATTCAACATGAACCAAACAAATAAAACCTTACCGTAGAAAATCAGAGAAATTCACGACAATTATGGTAGCAAGACTGTTTCCCAATAATGTCATGCCTCTCCATTAAAAGACAGGCCAATCACGTGATGAAATCCACCAGTTCAATTGGCCATTGGACATACGATAAATTAGCACAAAAGAAATTGGGATTTTAGAGATACCACGGCATTGCAGTCACTCCTTTTGTATTAGCTTTATTGTTATTTCGACTGTTGTCACAGCAATATCTGCTAAATATAATATAATCCCCGGGCGGAACTGATTGCCCACGAAAAATTTGAGGTTGCTCACTTGGATTCGATCCCGGATCCTCATGAAGAAGATGGTCGAATGGACCATCTTCTTCACTGTATGTAGAAGTACAGTGGTACCTCATACTTTCGAACGATGTTTCAGAGTTCGAACTGTGCTTGCACCGTAAATATGCCCTCACACATCATCTCCATATACATTACGAACCTTTTTTACTGTTTTTACGGCGTTGTATCCTTTTCGAAATTCATAAAGAGTTCCATGCCAGACATGCTTTTTATCTGTAGACATTTCGACTCTATTTTATTCAAACAAAATATGAAATTAAAAGTTTAAAAAAAGCTTTTAAAACAAAGAATACAATCAGTAATAACGTGTTAAATTTCACCACTGATGTTAAATGATGACAGCTGTTAAAAATAGGCAGAGACTTTTGTTCAACTGAATATAAGTTTTACTTATTAATTTAACTAAGGAAATCCAAAAAGGGCGTGGAAGCAACAAGGTCTAAAAGGAAGGTTGTAGTATCGATGATTGATATTAAAGAATAATTTATCGCGAAACATGAAAGCAGTTTACGTATGTCTGATTGGCGGCCATGTTTAAGATGCAGAAGTCAACTGTGTGCGACCAGTAAATGAGATTTTTATTTTATTATACATTATTTACGTATTTTATTTATTGTTTTCAAAGTTTTAATTTATTATTAGAGCATACAATTGTCATTTTACAATTACAATTTTACATTTAATAATGTGTATTTGCAGTTTTAAGTATATGGAAATGGTTATTGTTCGAGTTCGGGTAATAAATTAATTCGCTTTCCATTGTTTCTTATGAGAAAAGTTGCTTCGGACTTCGAACGATTCGGAATCCGATCGACTTCCTGGAATTAATAAAGTTTGAAGTACGAGGCAATTCTGTATATTCAAACAGCAGGAATTTTCCATCCTGAATATATTGGATTCTCTTCCTAACCATTATTGTGTGGGCCTCAGGCACTAAGAGGGCTTTTCAATCAACATTAAAAGGGTCCTCTTAGTGTCTATAAACAGAACTTTGATGTAAAAATTTTTAGTTTCGTTAGTTGTAAAGATTTTCAAACGATGTAGAAATTTTATCTCTTACTTAAAGTAACTCTCTTGCTAACTTTTCATCATATAATTTTTTGGCATTTGAAAAATTATAGATAGTTGCAATGATTTCACGAATATGGAAATTCATGGTAGTTCTCATAGCTATGATGCGTGTAACTTCAGCAAGAGAAAAATTTCAACATTCTCCAACATTTCAATATCCTCCAACAATGATGAAACAACCGCCTCATGAGCAACTGTATCAAGTGGTACAGAATGAAGAAGAATATGATAAACCATTCGTTTTAGATTGTGAAGCCGATGGAAATCCTGAACCCGTGTAAGTTTTTATTACATTTTCCAATAAATTTTCAGATATAAATATTTTATTGCCTAGCAAGTGATTTTAATTGTAAGCTATAATTATCAGCAATTGAAATTAGTTCGCATTGTTCATTTAACCTTTAGGCAATATTTCATAAAAATACATTAAAAAAACAGCAAATAAAATTAAAATTTACCATCAAAATTAATATCCCCGGCTTTTTTTTTTCTTTCTCCTTTCTACGACGTCCTTTAATAATAAGTCATAAGCAACACAGAAATTAATCATTTCGAACGAGTTAGTGATTACCGCGAAAAACGTTTTGACTGTCGTCGTTCTAACGTTATAGCGCCATCTTGGAATTATTTTTTCTCTTCGCGAAAGTAAACCGTCACGAATGGCAGTTTCAAAAGAAGATAATAGAGAGATTGCGGCCGTCGTATTCAGCCCAAAACGTGAACGGCGGACCGTCGAGCGCCGTCATCTGGCAGTTCTGGACGGTCGATAATGGCGGTCGCTACGTCTAGCATGGCGAGTAGACGATCGGCTTAAACGTCTTCATTTTTTTTTTTGTGTGTGTTTGGGGTTAAAATTATGATATATTTCATTAAGATAATGATTATTTAAGCAGTTACGAATAATATTGTAAAGAAACAGAAGATTTTAATCCAGAAATTATTTAATTATTCGGTTAGATTTACCTTAGGTATCCAAGATGGCGGCTTTTCCGGTAACCTCGATGGCATGCACGTTTACAAATGAAATTTAGATGGCGCTTATCATACTGACGTATGCAAATTTTCTTCAAAAATTTCCACTCGGAAAGTATGAAGTAGTCCGACCACGTTAATTAAAAATAATTATTTAATGTTATTAAACATCCTATAAATACTTTAAAATAGTTTAATTTGTTTATTTACCTTCGCTGGTAACCCTCGATGTTAAATGTATCCGCCATTTTTTCAACAAATTTCCCGTGAATCAATGCGCGACGTTCACTGAGTCACGTGACGATGTAAACGTGCACCGCAACGATTTCTTCTTGGAGTTAAAACGTAAACCGTGTGCTTCTGCTTGCCGTGTAGAAGTAACGTTTGAACTTGGGCCGCAACCTCTTAATTTACCAGATGCAAAGACAGTATCTACTTCAATGGAAACAGACTATTACAAACTACAAGGAGAAGAAGACTTGCTTCAAAATAATATAAAATATAGGCAGCCAGTGGGGGGCTCTCTTATATATTTCAACTGTTACAAGACCAGTTATAGCAGCGTCAACACACATTCTTAGCAGAAGATGTGAAAATCCAATACAGCGAGATTGGAATGCTATTAAGAGAATTATATACTCTTAAATCAACAAAATATCTGCAACTACAAATTTCATCAACTGAAAAACCTGAGCTAAAGGTCTACTGTGATGCTGATTGGGCTCAAGACAGACACGACAGAAAATCAACATCAAGAAACGTGATATACCTTGGAGAAAATTGCATATCGTGGAAATCAAGGAAACAGAACTGTGTAGCTCTATCCTCAAGAGAAGCCGAATATGTTTCTTTATCAAGTGCTATGCAAGAACTACTGTGGGTTTTATGTCTGACAGAAGAACTTGAGCTAAAACAAAATCTGCCAATCAAGATTATAGAAGATAATCAAGCAACAATAAAACTTTCACAAAGTGAAAAACACAATTCAAGACTGAAACATATAGACACAAAGTATCATCACATCAGAGATCTTCAAAGAAAGAATATAATTGAAATTGTGTATTGTCCAACACAAGAAATGGTTGCTGACATCTTTACAAAGCCCCTGCCAAGACCTCGTTTAGAAATCCATAGATGTGTTCTAAATATGCATTCATCATGTTTGGAGTTAGTGGTGGATGTTAGACATTTGTGTTTAACGACTCCTCAACGATAGTACTTGCCAGATCTCATCCAGTTATTTTAAAATTAATATCCCCATTTTTTTTTAGTTTTTTTTCCCTTGTTCTTTTCTTCGTGCAGTCAACTGCTTTGTGATTTATATGTATAACAATAACTTCAATAATGTATTTTTTGAAGACATTGCTGGTATGTGTAATTTGTCATCCTATCCTGCACTGTGAACGAACGAATTATTGTTAGAATATCGAAACCGAAGTTAATGATAAAAGATCTTAACCCTAACACATACTACAAAAGTTATAATAATTTCTCAATGACTAGTTACTTTCCACCCACCCTATATATTTGCAAATCAAATTTAAACATGGCACTCCAACAAACCGGAATTACCACCATTATTTCTCTGGTGCTTTGAAGATTTAATCGAGAATTACAAGTACAGTACCTACAGCACATTTTGATTTTTTTCAAAGTTTGTCACTATCTGCACATACAGTATTTTGATAGTATTTATATATTTGTTAAACAGTTTCCTGGTTATTTTCGTTATGGTGGTTCATCTAAAATTCAATAGGCTTTTCATGTAACTTAATTTTCTGAGGCAGTATACTTGCTTGGCCATGGAGTTTTAAGAACAAGTGTAGGAAGTCTATCAACAACAAATACAATATTTTGCCTTAAAATGTAGATATATGAGATCTTCAGGTCTGGTACAAGAAAGCTGATGTGGAAACATTTGAGTTCTTGTTGATGACAATCAGATGGCTGAGCTGTTAAGGTACCAGCCTACTGCCGTGGAAAGTCGAGAATGAATCCAGAAGAGTTGAAAAGCACCACGAATTATTCAGGGGTGGTTCATCCGGATATGTTGAGCACTGTCCTTCATCACCTGACCGCCCCATTGTGGGCCTGACAAAATCCACGATGGGCTTGAAAAGAGAACACAGGGCAGAAAGAGAAAACAAATCCCCCAAAATACCCAGTGATATTAATTTTTAGGTGCAGAATCTGGTGTTTTTAGTTAGCTGTTTATTGCCGTTTGTTAAAATTTAGCTGTGTCTGTATAAAGTTTAGCTGTTGTGCAATTTGAAAATTGCAGCCCAACAAATGCTTAAAAGTTCTGCAAGTTTTGTGAACAATCTTTTTACCATTACAAAATAGTTTTTTTTATTTCTCACTTGTCAGTCTTTTCATTCAAAAATGAACCTTTCCTAGCTATCAAGTCAGATTCATCTATAATCTATGGCTTACAAGCATGCAATGGATTGTATTGATCTATAACATAAACCTGTTCAGTAATTAATTTATTGAAATAAAACATTTACTGAATAATTTTTACGTTAATTTAGGTATCGATGGAATAAAAATGGATTAGAATTTGACTATGTATCTTATGATAAACGGATCAGTCAACAGCCGCAAAGAGGAACTCTTGTGTTTACAAAACCTGAAGATATCGACGAAGGCCTTTATCAATGCTTTGCTGAAAACAGTCATGGTACATCAGTTTCAAATTCAGTATTCTTGAGGAGATATGGTAAGTATTTAAAATTATTTTAAATCTTAAAATTACTTTACCAAGGCAAACTTTTTGTAAGGTTTAACTCCTTGAGAAAAGAACAACAGATCTTGAAAAAAGAACCTCGTGTCTTTGAGACACAAACTTTTAAATTGTTCTCTCCCCGATCCTGCATTCTGATTGATTGACAACATCCCTCATCACTTTTCAATTGATCCATCCCTGTCTCCAGGTAAAAATTTTAGACCTTTTGGGCCACGAGAGAGAGAGGTCAACATCAATGTTCAACCCAATGCCAATTGGATAGTATTTACTGAACTTTGAAACCCTCTCTTGTAACTCCAGCATTTTGTGTTTACCTTTCTTGACATCAAAAATTTATATAATCATCTCCAAGAGACATTATTCAATTAAATAAATCATTTCAATCTATCATTGTTTAATTTTCATTTTTTCATCCAAAAGAGTTTAACTTCCTCATCAGACACTTTTAACATTCTAGCATGTGATTTCGAATTTTGTCTAAGACCTCACAAAAAGTCATACAATTAATGCTGAGCACTACTGCGCAACTCTGCAGAAATTGAACAAGCCATGAAATCAAAGCAGTCAGGAATGCGCTCTAGTATAAGGTGATCAGACATCCCACTTTTGGTGGGACAGTCTGATTTTTAACAATTTGTCTCGTGTCCCATGGCTTTTTAAAAAAGTCCCGAGTTAAGCTTTTGCCAATTGTGTCATAAACTTATGTCTTATGCTAAAGATTCGTAAAGATCATTTTGTATCACGTATCAGTACCAAGGTGTGTGTGAAAATTGGAAATAAAGAATGCTGCACCGACAAAACCCTTTGTGTTTGTGGCAAAGGCTGACAGAAAATGGTTTTGGGTGCGCAGCTGCATCAATGGAGAAGCACGCCCCCTGTGTTTCTTTCCTTAACCATCCATAAAAGTACAAGTCAGATGAACAAGGTGCAATAAATCGTGCAAATCTCATGAATCACCCAAAAAGTTCTATAGTAACTGCTTAGATTATTTAGAAGAGTGGACAGTACAGTACATTAGAATGGCATTGAACATTTCCATTGGGTTATACTAAAACAAGAACTTAATTGGAAAGATGTGCAAAAATCATTTGATCACATTAGTCAACATTTTCCAGATAGTAATATTTCTGAAAATGATCTTTTTAATGAGATAGCATTATTTAAAAAATATATTGATAAGGAAAAGGTTAAATCTTGGGTATCGGAAAAAATCTCAACAGAGAACAAATGGTTAGAAATATTCCATCATTTTGAAACAAACTATGTTCTATACAATAATGCATTAAAAACTGTGGAATAAACACTGTCCTTACCAGGAACCAATGCTGCAACTGAACGTGTTTTTTCTACCATAAATAAAGTGTGAACATCTGATAAATCACAATTAAGTGTTGAGACTTTGAAAGCCATATTATTTGTGAAATATAATTTAACAAATTCCAGTTAGACGACAAAGTTAAAGAAGCAGTTTAAGACTGGTTTATGCTGTAGTCAAAGCTGTTCTATGAGAAAGCTATTGATCATCTGGTATCACAGCAGGATAAGTGCTTGCATAATTTTGGTTGGAAAAATAAATGTATACTTAGACCAAATGTTTCATTTTAATTGAATTTCCTTTATAGAAATACCAAGAAAGCTAGTACACTACAATGTGGGGTGGTGATATGGCACACTCTGACAAGATTACACAACTTTGTGAAAGAAGAGGTAGGAAACAATAATAATGAAATAAAGTGTAGAAATAAAGAAAATAGAAAAGATATAAAATAGGTTAGATGATCATAAAAACTCCAAAATGACATTAAAAATTAAAATTCACAAGTTCTGAATAAATACTAGAATAGAATAAATGTCTAGCCTAGCCATTCTTTTTCACACCTTTCCTGAGAAGGACTATGGAGGTGTCATTCTTTATTCTGAGGGTCTGTCCATTTCAATATAAAAATGTTAAAAATCCCTCTTGTGAAATTTATAAAATTTCAATTATTAAAATTATATTACAGTACTCAAGGCATTAAATGAGAAGGATCACTATAAACTCTTCTAATAGACAATAAATTTTAAAAAATATCAATGAATTAGAACAGCCTTGTAGTTGGCTGTTAAGCACATTGTTCACTGCCTTCAAGTTTTACACCATCAGATTGAGAACCATATTAAACAGCATCCCCTGCATTGCTAAGGTCTGTGTATAGCATGAGTCTCATAAGTAAAATGGTTTGGGTGCAATTTTTTTCTATACAGAAATGTCTTCTATATGTCCTGAAATGGCATGTCATACCAAGTTTGGTTGCATTTTGACTACTAAATTTCTCTAGACAGCATCATATAGGGCAGAGATGGGCAACCCGTGGCCTGCAGTAATATTTTTTGTGGTCTGCATCGCATAAAATATGAATAAATATATCGATTTCCCAGCTTAAGGAAGTATGCAACAAAAATTCAAATGTTATTTTCTACAATTCATGTATATGAATAGTTTTTCCGCAATGAATTTAGTAAAAATAAAAACAAAAAGCCGGCTAACAGACACATCGAAACTAATTTAAAGCTAGCAGTGACTAAAATTTAACCAAAATTTCCAATATATTACGTTTACATCAGTTTCAGGAGCTAAATTAAGTATACCTATGCTAATTTATAATTATATATGAATAAAGAATTGTGATTTACCGACGTTTCTCCCCTCTTTTCTCTTGTATGCGGCCTGTGTCAGTTCAAAAGTTTTGAAATGCAGCCCTTACATAGAAAAAGGTTGCCCATCCCTGATATAGTGATACTTTAATTATGATTACCTTATGTATATTTAAATTGTTTTAATGTTCATTCCAGAATTGAATTCATTTCCTGATACTGGCATAATAGAAAAAAAAGTGCTAGAAGGTGCACCATTAAGTTTGATTTGTGATCCCCCTCCTGGCTATCCAAAACCCAAAATACAGTGGTTAATAATATCAAGCAAAGGAACTTTACGCAGTATTCACAGGTTGGTTGATATTTCTTAAAATTTTAAGATTAATTGTATTTTACATTCTGAATATTTCTTTATTATAACATATATACATTGCTTTTATAATAAAAGTATAATATAGTATATTTTTAGAATTATAAAGGAATGAAACAGAGCCAGATGTAAAATCTTTTAATACCTTCTAATGCAGCTAGGACTGGAAAGTTGGCATTTTTTTGCCAAGTCTGACTCAGGAGTTTATATTTCTAGCATGCTGACACACACCAACACTCACTCTTTAGTACTTATCAGGGCTGTGAAGTCGGAGTCAGAGTCGTGGAGTTTTGGTGTTTTAGCCAGAGTCGGAGTCATCAAAAATTCTGCCGACTCCGATTCCTGTTTACTTACCAACTTGTTATATATATGAAACGGAGTCAGAGTCGGATGGTAAGGAAGAGTCGGAGTTGGTAGATTTTTATGCGACTCCACAGCCCTGGTATTTATAGATATTATACACCATTTCATCACTGGCATGTAATTCATTCATTACAATCCTTTATCATTAGACCACTGGTTGTTTAATGATGAGGATTGTAGCTATACTTTTATACTTTATTCAAAAGATGAAAAATTAGAAAAATTTACAATGTCCCATATATTATAGAAATAACCCTGTCAAGTTTCAAAATTTTAGGTTTATGCAAAATGGACACACATCACATACACAGAATTTTGTAAGGAGTTTATTTTACATTTTTTGCTCATAGATTTGTCAAAATGTCAAAAAATGCAAAAGGGAGGATCAAAATAATTATAAAATATAGAGTCAATTAATATAGATTATTAGGTTCTAGAGTGTATAGATTTCACTCACAGTGCTGAGTTGGAATGAACTCTGTTTAAAGCATAAAAATGTCAGAAAGTTTTGGTTCTGGTATTGTATCAGTTCTTTATGAAGAATAATGGATGAAAGTTGCACAAAGGGATAACTGCATCAGTTAAAAAATGATAATCAGTGAATTTATCACCATCATAATAAAAACATGGGCTTACTAGATGCTTGCTGATACAGATAATTTGTCATGATTTCTATAGTTAATTTTAATTTAATAATAACAAATTACAAAGTACTACTGTATATAATAACTAATTTGCATCAAAACTAATAGATAAAATAATAGGATGCATTTTAGGAGCAATATTTAGAATTTCAATGGATGACAATTCTAGCAACAAGTCATCTGCAACTACAAAGTAGTATAAATCAGTTATTAATGAGAGACACACTGATGCAATGAAAGCCCTTATTAAAAACAATTCCATAGTGAAGAGGCACAAGCTGCTTAATATAAATAAATAATGGATTTGATGCAGTGGCTATTGGCAAAATTAGTGGGAAAAATGCTGAATTTTTCATCTTTATTTTATATATCTATTTTAAGCAGAATAAATACAATTTACATTATTTGAATATTAAGAAGAAGAAGTTATTAAAGTTTTATTTCAGCATTTTTTAACAAAACAGAACAGACATAAAAGTATAATTACAGAAATATAAAATATTACAAATACTGGTAATTAACAATTATCATCAAATACAGTTACTGGATATGAATCATGATTGGTCAAAAAGTATCCCAACAATATCAAATGTGTAAACTATATCTTTTTATATTGTAAACTATATAAAAAGATGATATAACCTTATAGAAAAAAAAATCAGTACAGATAAAGACATAAATCATATCCTCTTTACCCAAAACTGGCTTTTGTCCTCTGATGTACAGAATATTGTCCATACAATAACCTAAACTACCTTCTTCAATAATATTGTCAAATAATTTTTATTAATTTGTTCATGTTTGAAAATTACAAATACTTTTAGACTTTGAAACAATAACTGTAAGGAAGTGACATATACTGTCAGAATTTAAGATGATGGGGAGACCCCATTATCAACTAATGTCACCAATTGGGATCAAATTTGGTGTCAAATTAATTGTAAATATCAAACTTTTCTAGCAATAGAGACAGTCTGATTTAATTTAAAATCAAATGGGAAATCAATCGAGTCACACAAGTTAATACTTGAGATCGATTGGAATGTTTGATCAAAGGACCAACTCTATAAAACCCCATGTCTCAATGTCATGAGGAAACATAAAACAGGTCTGCAGACAGTATGCATAGCTTACATGTAAGTGCCTTTTTATTTAACCAGAAATAGTGCTGACAAACATTCTGTTGATTCTTCATCAACCTCACTAGTAACATCAATGTCTCTGTCTATGTCTAACCTTCTTAGAGAGTATATCTTACTTATAGGTGGAAAATCTGGGCACACAACAGATTGCATTTACACTTCAAGTGCATTATTACTGCGTGCACAGTTCAAACTTTGAATCATCATTCAAACTCCAAAGCAAATTTTTGTCAAATTTAGCATTCAAACTTTGAAGCGTTCAAAGTTTGAATGCTAATTCTATTTGAATGCTAATCTAATGCTATTTGAATGCTAATGAGTCATTCGAAGTATGAGGTACCACTATATTACAGTTTTGTTTATTAGTTAATATGAACTTTACATACCACAAAAACAACTCCAATATAAACTCTGGTAATTTTCAAAAATCACAAGAATTTTTGATATTTGTATAATTTTTTTTTTGATATTTACTATGAATGTTCTTGATGATGGGTTACAGGAACTTAAAAGCACTAGGAATAATGAGAAATATAATCCTGAACTGACCTGAGGAAGAACTGCGAGATAGTTCGAAAATGTTTGTCGCATGCTGTATATATCTTATACACATTGTGTGCTGGTAACAGGTTTAGGGAAGTCAGGATTTTACTTCGGTGCTGAAATTAGAGTGAACTTTGGAAGAAATATAAACTCCAGTTTAAGGAATAAATGTTAACTTAGTAAAAAAATATCAGTTAATTAATTAATATTTTCTTGCTTAGCATATATTGTAATAATTGTCAAATTAATTTACTTTGGGAATTACGGTAAATATCTATTAAACAGTATTTTCAGAAATTAGTAAAATGACATATTTAAGTTTTTTGTTTCTAGTTCAAGGCTTTCAGTTGACCCAGAAGGAAATTTACATTTTTCAAAAGTAACTGAAGAAGATGCTTTAACTAATGGATATTATGTTTGTGGCATAACAACAGCTTTTCAAAAAGAATATAAATTAGGCAGCAAATTTCAGTTGAGTATCCAAACTAATGGAGGTAAGCCAGTAGTAATTTTATTATTTAACTATCCTAAAGTTGTACTTTCTTGTAATTTTCTATCTTGGTATAGGGGTATGGGGGTGTAAAAAACGACTAACAAAGGAACACTAGTCTTTTGTTTGACTAGTATCTTATGTAAAAAAAGTGCAAAAAGATGATTCTAAGGAATTATGAACTTGATTTTTTCATACCAGTTAAGACATAATAGTTATAAAATGAAAAAGAATTTATATATATATATATATATATATATATACAGGTATCTCTCGTACGTGGTACTTCTACAACACAGTTTTGCTCTAATATGGTTTGAAAATTGGGGATATCCTCCATACAACACTGACTTCCAGTTTTACTCTAACACAGTTTCGAAAAACCTCTATACAAGATATCACAACTTTTAAGTGTAAACTTCATTATTCGATAATTTTTTTATTTAAGTAAGTACACATATTGTCTCAGATTTGCCCATGGATTTTAGAATATTGAAATCTTTTTATAGATTAATTAATCTTTGTATTTAATTTATTAAAGTTAAAGTTTATTTAAGCATTTTTAGGTAAGTGTTATTGAAGTATTTTTTAAACTGTACATAAGCAATCTTTCATAAAATGACAAACAAAATATGGAGGTATCTCGGTACTTGAAAAATTCAGTATTTGAACATAAATTCTGGAAAAAAGTCATTCACTACTCAACTGAACAAATGCAACCCACTAAAACTAATTTTCAATTAATAACATATTTTTATTTTATTATCTGTAAAAACTTTTTATGATAAAAATAAAAAAATATGAAAATGTTGCTGATACTTCTGATCAAGATCAACAAAAAAACTGAGATGATGACGACACTTTGTAAAAAGAAAATACCCTGGTTTAACTAAAATTAATATTAATGCATAATATAGTACTTTTAATTGTGATTGTTAATTAATTAATGATTGGAAATAAATTAATGATTGTTTTAATAAACATATTTCTCTTAGTAATGAAAAAGAATAGTATACTTTTGCTAACTTCTGGAACTTAACACTATGTTCTGCATTAGTCCTCTGTTTCATATAGCACAGATTTGCATAACACAGCAATTTTTCAGAACATAACTACTGTGTTATACAAGGGATACATGTATATATAAATTAATTCATTCATTTATCCTGTGATGGCATGACCAGTGAGCCAAAAAGAACAACTATGTACAGAAAAAGTTTCTAATGATTTTATTCCAAATACAATACACTCTTGGTAATTTGGCTATTTGTTAGTTTGGCATGTCTAGTAATCTGACACTCTTAGATATTACCGTCACTGTTGCCAAGCCATTGACAAGCTTCCACTAGTTCAAATCCATTTCCTATTAAATTTGAGCACCTTCCCACTAAACATGGTGTGATATTGAGCCCCAGCTTGAACACTTGAGTTTGGGTATGATATTAAAGAATTCAGTATCTTATAACACAATACTCCATAAATATTGATGTAAAAATCAGTTCCCTGATTATCCACCAAAAATACTGTACCTCTCATTAAATTTTCTATAGTTGCTACAATTTAAAATCATTTTTAAAGGATTGATGATTAATTTGAGAACTCTAAAATACAGTAACACATGATCTATATATTGTTTTGATTAATACAATGTACTAATATTATGCAAATAAACATGTGTTTTCTTTCCAAATGATTAAACCATTGAATTCACCTTACTTCCAATAATCCAACACTTCTTGTCCCATTAATATTGCCACTTTTTCAAAATCGTTGACCCAGATGGCAGGTCAGGTTTGTTCGAACAGAAGTTCCTGACGCATGCGCAATGTCATTTTACAATGCGAAGAATAACGTACATGCCGGTTCTAAATCAGTTACAGTTAGGGACTAGGGACTTGTATAGGAGTAACATAAGTAACCTAAATTAAGAAAGAACAGGTACAGCAGATAACTTGCCTCTATTGGAGATGTGTATGATTGTACATGCAAATAAAAAAAAAAAAAGGTCAACAGGTTGTGTGCCATACGTCAGCGTAAACAGACTAACATGGCCGAATTGCAGATGAGTTTCAGTGAGTGTGAGTTGTTTCGCTGTTAAAATAGTGTAAATTTGTAAAAATATTTGCAAGAACTTTGTTTCATCGTAATTTCACAGTTTCTATGAAATTCCCGGACAAAATTAATAGTTCACCCAGACAGTGAGTCAATTCCCAGACTGTCCGGGTGAAAACTGGATGGGTGGTAACACTATGTCCCATATAAGTTATATCAGATTACTAAGATTGTACTGTATTACATTTTCATACATTGATTATATTAATTATTATGATTATTACAATTCATGTTGCACATCACTCTATGCAGTCATTCGCAGAGGATTAAGAAATTTTGCTGCCAGAATTTGCTTTTGTATTTCAAACTGTTCAAATCCTTTTCTTCCAGAATAACCCTATTCATTATACTGTAGGCAGTTTTTATGGTTATTCATATATATACATAATAAATTATATTTATATAATTTATTATGTATATATATGAATAACCATAAAAAGTCAGTATAGCAACTCTTCTTGATATTGTCTATAGATTCTTGAAAATGTTAAGTGAAACAACATAATGAAACCAATTTTACCATAGGCTATATAATATAAACAAGATATAATTTGGTTAATATTATTATAATTGGATTGTGTTTGCAACCTCCAACATTTATTTTCTACCTCTTAGAATGAGTTTTTACTATATATAAAGAAAATTCAATAATGATAATTGTATATGATTACAAATATACTTGTATCTTTCCTCAACAATGTTATAACAAAACAATGTTGGAATACCATGTTAAGTGAGGACTTTCTGTATGTAAAACCCACATAGAAAACCAACCAGATAAACATTATTAATCAAATGATACAGCTAGATTCTTATTAGACTACAATATAGATAATTAATTAATAAGATATCAAGCAAATGAATAAGAAATTACACATTCTCACTAAAATTTTTTCTGCTTATATGCCATTGAAAATGAATTGCTAAATTTTAAAAATTAGTTTTATAAAGATGAAATGTGTAGATACACCAGCATCACTGAAACAATGTTTTTAAAACATTATTAAAACCTAAAAAATAATACAATAACTTACAGACACCTTACAAAACAATGTTCTGGCCCATCTCCATCCTCCTAGAATAGAAATCCTAAAATCATTACTGGATAAAAGTATGAAGAAATATGTTATTCTATAAAACAGTTTACTACTTGAGAAAATTAACAAGACAGAGGAGTGAGTTAACAATGGATGTAATATGGTTATCATTAGAAACAATAGATTAGCATTTTCAAAATAGCCATACATATCTGTAATTATAATGAAAATTTGATTTATGAAAAATAAGAATGAAAAAGTTGAAGCTAAATCATAATTAACTATATCTGTTTGTGATTTTGCAGTTATAAATCCATACGGTCACTCACTAAAACAGCAGTATATTTCACCAGTTGAGAATACTGCATTAGAAGGTCATTCATTTGAACTCCATTGTATTTTTGGTGGAACGTAAGTTATAAAAGTTCTATATACACTTTTTTATTCATTATTTCTATATGAATAATTTATTTTAGGCCAATGCCGCATGTAATATGGACAAAAATAGGTGGAATTATTGACTACCCTAGACATAGTTTTGGTCAGTATGGAAGAACTTTAAGAATTTCATCAGTTACAATTGCTGATAATGGTGTATATGAATGTGCGGTCAGTAATGGAAATGGACGTGGAGTAGCTCATGCAATGAATGTAACTGTTCAATGTAAATATATAACTTTTGTTAAAGATTTATTTAAATATTGAGTAAAATTGAAAAAAAAAATAATAATAAACTTCTTGAAAAATATTTTTTATGAATCATATAAAAGTAACAAAATATATTTATTGGTTCCTGCTTTATTGGAGATGTTAACCTTAAGGATATTTATCTTAATTCTCAAGTACCACCAAGCCTTTCACCACATTATCAGGAATAGAAATTATAGAAGAAATTTTGTAAACAGTGGTTAGAATTTTGCTTTCAACATTGCAAATACATGGGAATTAAGTAAATACTCTTAAGATTCCAATGAAACAGGAAACAGTAGACTTTTGATGATTTAAGAAGTAAGTTTAGTTTTACAAAATATATCTTATGCTAATCTATTTATTCTATTATTTTATTCTTTCATACGAAGAAGACTTTTTCTCTTTGAACAGTAACAGCAAGTACATAGCATACATGCATAATATACATAACATATTTAAATAATATTACTTAGCATACAAATTTAATGTATACAATTAATGTAGGGTGATTTAAAAGGGACTTTACAACTTTGCATATAGAATTTTAATCAGAAGACTTACAAAATCAGTTGAGATATTAATTTACAGTGAAATACTACAAGTTTGTCTCGTATAGTGCCATATAGTACTGAATTCTACCATTGTGAAGTATGCATTTCAAAATGGCTACATTCTTAAAGCACATAATTTCACACCTTATTTCTCCAGCAATTTATTAGCCGTAGATGCTAATCTTTTCAGACATATTTCAAGCTCATCCTCAACCAGGTGATTAAGTATATGATTGCCAACAAAAGTTCAATGAAATCCAATGATGATTAAAGCACTTCTTGCTGTGGCCAAAAATGGAACTTTGTAGTAAAATGAAACTTTTCATTGTTAGAGGAAAATCTTGTCAACAAAGATTTTTATTGTGTTTACAAAATCCTGTACTGGTACATGCATTTAGAAATTAATTGAATGTGTCTCTTTTTAATTTTTGAACATAGAGTTTTTTGTTAATAAATGTAAAGTAGGAAAATTAGGCTTTTGTGTAGGACGTAAGACATTGATCATAATTATAGGACTGTCTCACTGAAAGTAGGATGCATAGCAACCCTACTTACAGTCCACTGAAAGTTTTTTATACAGTTAATTGGGGCCTCTGGCCACTAAGCTTTCCATATCTGGTCTCAATTGTCATCTATCTAACTCTGTTCTCGAGATTAATAAAGGACAGATGGCTGGACAACAGTGGGAATGTATAGGTAGCCAATTATTCTAGAAGCCACTGCCAGTTATATTTTATTTTTTTTGTTCTATTTGAAAAGCTGAGGATGGATTTAATGAGTCAAAAAATGTTATTTTTTAAATAAAACTATTAGTTTCCTTAACTTAGCAGTTATTTGAAATTTTGAAATTACTTCACTATTAATATATTGTTAACAAATTAATAGATTGTGTGACCTATTACAATTCTATTGCTTGTGCTTTAATTACAGATTGATGACACTATTAGTTATAATTACTTTTCTATGCTCTTATTATGTTAATCTTCTATTGAATAAAGTTTTGTAACCTTTCATTATATTTTATACTTTGCTCACATAATCAGTTCCAAAGTTCTAATAGGTCCATTAAAGCAACAGGAAGTGCCAATTAATAAAACTTAACCAATCATCTTTGTTAATTGTCAATGTCAAAGAAAACAATTGATTAGAGTAGTTATTGATGCTCATTGTTGTCTTAAGGTAGTTTAACAAGTTCAGTAGTGAAGAGTGTATGAAAGTCACCAGAAATTCCTATACTACATGTAAACAAAACTTGAGAAAAATTTAAATACAATTTTAAATAGCTTTGAATATAAACATCTATAAACCCAAATTTTAGATTAATGCCAAACATTTGAAGGATTACATTGGGCTATATTAATGCTACTATTAATAATTAAATGTTAAGTACTTTGACCTAGAGGTAGGCGTTAGGTGCCATCTCTTGATAAATTTAATAACTTGATTAAGATAATATTTAATAATAAATTCTGAAAGAAAAGAATTTGCCCAAAGTGGGACTCGAACCCACAACTCCTGCTTGTTATAAGGGTGTATTGACAGTTACACTATATAAACCTCTGTCTGATTAAATTAATTATTAAATATTAATTCGTTTATAATTATTAAATTTATCAAGAGATAGTACTTAATGCCTACCTTTAGGCCAAATTACTTGACATTTAATTAGCAATTAGTAGCATTAATATAGCCCAATGTAATCCTGCAACTGTCTGGCATTATATAGCTTATTTATATACTTTCAATATTGGTAATTTACATTCAATAGGGTCAGTTACATTCAAAAAGATATGTATGAATAGTTATTCCATTTGAATTGTCAGCATATATAATTTCATGGATGTGAAGAAGGGATAAAAAGTCCCAAAAAGTGCTTAATCCTAATAAATATCCTAACTCCTTTAACTGCTTTCAAGTTTCTTTTCTTACGTTAGTAATTTAATTTGATTTTTAAATTATTTGCATTATCTTCAAATTATATAATAGTAAAAACCCAACTACTTGAAATTGGGTATACTTAATAAACAAAATGAATAAAACCAATTTCCAGCATATATTTATAAGAAAGCAAACATTTTTGAGCATGTTAAATGGGCATCTTAAGGCTAACTAACCTTTCAGCTGTTAAAACAAGTGGATTGCTCTCTATGCTTTAAGAGGAGTGACATAAGAAAGAGACAGGAGAGAGAGTATTGTAAGATTAACAATTGTAGATTGACTTCCTTGCAGAGGGAAGGAATCTACATCTTGAAAATTTATACTGGCATTTATTCTCATAGCTTTGTAAATCTGTAACTGTTTGCTTTTAAACATTTGCTTTCTTATAAATTTATGCTGGAAATTGATTACATTTGTTTTGTTTATATAGTAAATAACTTTTAAGCATTGTCAGAATAATATATTTTGACAGAGCCAGATCTTCTGTGAAGTTGATGAAGTATCCCCTTTAGCTTTAATCTTTACAGTGACTTTATTTCTGAAATATTGTATGATATTAATGTAAATATTTAAATTAAACAATGTATTTCGTTTTTTGTTGTACAAATTTTCAGGAAGAAAAGGATGGATCCATTGTGGTGTTTAGCACGACTGGAATAATGACAATGGTATAGTACAAAAGAACAAAACTTTATTCCACGTCTGAACAGATAAAAATTCAGGTCACAACTCTGATACAGCTCCTGAATGTTGTCTTCATTTATGTGGTTGTATCTTATGTTACAAAATTGTACAACCACTACGTGGAGATTACACATATTACACTTGCGACACATACAAAAGAAAAGGACTTTTATCGTGTCTTAAATCTAAATCCTTAACCTAATTAATACTAAACAGAGAAAACAGGTAGATACAGTAAGATTAAGAAATGAAAGAAGAGTTTACAGGGAAGAGGATACCCATAGCTCCACGTGTCTCTCGTTTGAGGCAACTTGAATCCAATCCCAGTGTTCTTACAAATATGTCTCTGGATATCTCGTTCTCAATAAGAACCTTGGAGTTCTGAAGAATCTCTACACTTTGCAATTCTATTCTTGATCTGATTCTCTATGTACTAACCTCCTATATTTAAGGTCACACTCTATCACTCTTGATACTACCCTAACGACCTGGAGCTCTTCTTGAACATGTCTTACTTTGATGCCTTGCCAAAAAGGTGTCTTAACCACTTGGGCTTTCTCCTTAGGGCTCTCTTCTCCCTATTGTTTGTTGCCCATACCCTCAAAAGTAGGGTGGGTTAGAATGTTCTAGAAGCAGGGAAACAAAAGAAACAAAGAACAAAGGGAAATAGATAGAATTGAGTGGGAAAATATAATGATAAAAAAATAAAATAAAACTATACATTGAATATGGCATTCTGCCAAACATTTTAAACTTTTCTACTTTATGCCTTGAAATCTATGGATTGGCTCTAGTTTAAAATTCAAATATATATTTATTTTAACTGTTCTAGAATACAATATTTTCCATTTTTAAGCAATATTTTTCATAACATTAAGTAAATCAAAAGTTTATAAATGTTAGAACCCAGGGCTATCGAGAGAAGGAGCTGGGGATTTCTCTCCAAGCATGGAAAAAAACTTGCCTTGTAGTGGTTCCTACCTCTATAAATTCATGTTATTTTTACTAACAAAAAAGTAAAATCTTTAAGACTGCTTTTTATTAATAAAGAAACATTCTACCTATTTCATTTGTTCAAAAAAAGGAACCCACTAATGGGCAGAAGAGGCCTGCTCTATGTAGACCCTTGGCGCCATACAAGTTCTCGATGACCCTGTTTGAACTATTGAATATTTCATAGTTAGGCAATCAGTTTTTAAAAATTCAGCTATATTTTATTAAATTAATAATTTTTTTTTTTTTTTAATATTTTAAAACATTTAGCCGAACCTTCTTGGATTGAAGCACCAAATAACACACATCTTAGTGTAGGTGAATCTGTGAAGTTCGTGTGCAAAGCAACGGGTATTCCAGAACCGAAACTTGAATGGTTTGTAAATGGAGAGCCAATAGAGAGTAAGATATTACGAATGTATCTTTTGACAATGAATTTTAAATTCAGACATAATTTATTAGGAATGAATTATTTAATTCTGTGGTTTCCAACTTATTTTAGTCACAGAACCCTTTTCACCTTGGTAAAAAGTTTTGAAACTTTATAATTTTTACTGATTATAAATAAATCAAAACTTAATTAACATAAAAGAAAATAGATTAATAATGGAAAAGCAAATAATATGAATTAAATAAAACTGATAATTAATTTAAAGGACTAATTTTTATAGATGATTTTATCAGTTGATGTGGTGTGAGCTCGACTAGTGGGAGAATTAAATGCATAGGATTTTTTCACAAAATGAACACTGAAATATTCAAAAATTGTTACACTGGGCAACACTTCCTCTGATAGGAATGAAGACTTTAGTTTTTAAATACAAAAAATTTAATATACAGGAAAGAATCATATACATCATACATGATTCAATTCTCCCACCATTAGACTCAATGGGTTTTATTTTCCACAAATGTGAGCTGTGTAGGTTCCATTTTCTTCTATGCATTTGTAGCTAGAACTATTTTAAGATGACCAAGACAAAACCTTTCTCATTTGTTTCTAGCCGTTTATACACTAATACGAACGTTTTCAGCCTTGTTAATAAGCCTTCTTCAGGTACACTGTGGTCTGTCAGAGCGTTGGTTGTTAGAAATTTAAACGGTGTCGATGTTTACATAGGTATCGTATTACCAGTGACGTCATCGATGATGATAAGGTATAGACGATACAGAGGGCATTAAATTTAGATACAGAGAGCTAAGTAAAGAAGATGGACTATCATTTGGTGCATCTTCTTTACTTAGCGCCTTTATTTCCCAACTTTAGCAATTATCTCATCATGAACTATCTGCACACCTTTCATTTTTACCAAGAAAAAATTTAACGCCCTCTGTATCGTCTATACCTTATCATCATTGATGACATCACTGGTAAGACGATACCTATGTAAACATTGACATTGTTTAAATTTCTATCAACTGATGCTCTAACAGACCACAGTGTACCTGAAGAAGGCTTATTAAGAAGGCCGAAAACGTTCGTACTCGTGTATAAACGGCTAGAAACAAGTGAGAAAGGTTTTGTCTTGGTCTTCCATTTTCTTGTGAAGTATTAATAATTTTTGAAACTATTTAGATAAATTTTTCATATTTTAAACTATTATATACAGTATATTTTTCTTCACTATAAAATAAATGTAATTTTTGAAATGAATAAAGCATTAATTTGGTGTGTTTGACCATGTCATAGATGAGTTGCAGCTTTCTATATAAATAGATATAAAATTTTGAGAAAAATTTTTGGATGATAAAGTAAAATTGATTGATGGAGATAATAAATTAAAGATAATTCAATATATTATGTTAACACTTGTGTATATTTACAGTATTGTTCTTAACATGTGAATCAGAGATTAAGGTATAGACAGAGGAAAAAAAATACATTTCTTTGTTTTTTCTGACTTTTTTTATTATGGAAAATTAACAAGACTCGCTATTGTATAAAATTTTAGGTAGTACTGATCGATGTTTCTTGATAGTGACAAATCAAACTAATATACTGATCATTACTATTGACAACACGTAATTAGGTCAGTTTAATTTTGATATTACAGCAATGACTAAATTAATCATAAAATAATCATTGATATTTCAAAATTTTCAATTTTTCAGTTGTATGATACTAAAATTATTTAACAATAAATTTTTATTGAAAAGAAAAGAAGAAAATTGTCTGTGTCACTTTCCTATAAGCATTCAGAAGCATAGGCTTACAGTCAGCTGCGGTCATAGCAAACGCGAGGTCCGATTGGAAACATTTTTGCAGGGACCTTACCTTTATATTTTGCATCACATAATGTTTAAGCAAGCCCTTTGTGGATTTTCAAATGTATTTTTTTGTAGTTGAAAATTGTATGATAAATCTATGAGCATATGGTCCTTTTGAGCATGGGTCTGATTCAGACAAATTGATTCAATCAGCCTTTGACCACCCTACTTATAGTTGTGACAAGTTTTATTTGTTTATGTAAATGGAGTTTCTACCTTTATTCTTTTGTATCCTATCAAGCTTAATGATTTTCAAAAAGCCTATGAAAAAGAATTTGGCTAACTGCTAAAGTATGAGCTCATATCATTTAAATAGGCAAATGATTTACTACAAGAGTTTGGCTCAAATTTTTATAAATAAATAAATATGTAATATCCAATATTAAAGAAATATATAAACTTCTAGTTGTTTTGTTTTACCTTATCAATCCACCACACAATCAATTTTACCTTTAAAATCAATCCACTTTGAATCAATAATTTTGTTGTTATAATACAGTACATTTTGATGAAATGAAAATTAGGCATTGTGTTTTAAATTATCTATATATATATATATAAATGAAAATTTTGTTTGTTTGTTTACTACACACTCCTAGGTTATTTGACCAATTGGTATGGAACTCGGCAGTTACGTTCACAGATGGTGTCATATATCCCAGCCCAAAATATTGATTGGATTTGTATAAATTGATTAATTTCTATCTATATTCATCTTGCTTGTTTTACAAAAAAAGGATATAATTTAAAAAATATATATTATATTCACTTAATTATTGTGACAATGATATAGCATGAAATAGATGTGCTATATCATTACTGCGACACAGCAGTTGCTTGCGTGGGATCAAAAGTGTTACCTTGTGAAAAGTCTACAAGATTTAATTTTTCACATCTAATAACTTGGGTTTTTTCATTTCTGAATGATACTTTCATAATTCTAAAAAGTGCCCTTCAGTAGCCGAGTGGATAAAACTACCGAACACAAGTAGGTAGTTAGTTGTGGGTTTGGGCATTGCCAATGGACTGGTTACATGGAGTTTTCTGGGTTTTCTTCACGTTAGTAGCACCTAAATAGGATTCAGCTTCCCATAAAAGTCTTCCTGGGATGCATTCCACAATAGATTGCTCACATGTTGCATTGCCATAACCAAATAAACCAAACTAATTCTAACAAGCGATTATTGTGACATCGTCACAATACTGGACTGAAATTTTCCATCACAATGTTGTTAATTCTTTTAGTGGTGTTGTGCCCCTGTACATCATACTTTTTCTGTTAGCAATAGAGTTGTGTCAGTTATCTATCTAACACTGTAGAGTTGAAAATTTTGAAATGAAGTAATGTGACTTCTCATGTAAACCAGAAGTTCATATATAGTTAATAATCTGGGCCTCTTGTCCCTAAGTTTTTTATATCTGGTCTTGACTTTTCTCTATCTGAGTCCTTTCTCGAGATTAAGGAAGAATAGACAGACAACAGTCGGAATTTATCGGTCTACAATTTTTCAAATTGCAAACCAATAAGTTTTCTATAAATGTGATATGGGCTTAAGGGGTTAAGAAACTAGGAAAATATTAACATTGTTGGCATTATTATTTTACTTGAAATATTACTACAAGTGCTTCCAACAAATTTCAGATTGTCTTCTTTGGGTATAGAATAATAGAACCTTACAATTTAAAATATATGTTAATGTGTTCCAAATAGCAAGTTTAAAATGTATTCCATAAAATGTATACATTGAAAAAACTATATAGTAGTGTTGTTATGTAAAGTGACTCCCATATGAAAACAACCCTGTGATCTGAGCACCATTGAAGTAGGATGGGATTAGCCCATAATACATTGCAACTATTTTCTAAACATTTCTAGCAAGTTCAGTAATGGTTCTGCAACTTTTGATATCATCTTGATATTTTTGAAAGTGGCAAGCCAATTTTCTAGTTCCAGAACTAGAAAATTGGCTTGCCCTGATATAAAATATTTTTGCTCCTGTTTGTGTCTGCAGTAAAGGGACCATGTACACTCCTGACTTCTCCAAAAAAGGTAAAATTATCTCTATCATTACATAATAATTTGCACAGGGATATTTAAGAGAACATACTTTCCATGTAGTTTATACAGTCTGTTGCAAAAATATAAACACTATTATCACATAAAAGCAACTATTCTTGCATTTTTACATTTTTAATGAGATCTTTTGGATGTTAAAGTTAGCAACTTAGATCACATGCAGGCCATCCCAACCTGTCTAACATGGATCACTTTTCATATATTAATTGTAGACCAGTATTAATTAGTACTCGCTGATCACCCTCTCTTCTAGGAGGAGATTCATTACTACTTTTGGTCAAATTACTTTAACCTCCTTCCACAACAGTCCCTTCTTTCTGAGATGGCCAGATGGCCGAGCAGTCAAAGTAGCAGCCTACTGATCTGGGAGACCCAGGATTGAATCCGGAAAAGTCGAAAAATCCTCAGGAATTTTTCTGTTTGGATATGTTGAGCCTCCATTCCTCACCACCCAGCCACCCATTGTGGGCTTGGACAAACCCATAATGGATTTGCAGAAAGAGACCCTCTTAGTGCCCACAGGACAAAAAGAGTTAAAAAAAAAAGCCCTTTCTATTGGACCGGTGGTATGGTGACATTTAAATAGGAAAATTACATAATACAAGGTTACCAGCCTGCACAAAATATGTTTTAAGTGTTTTTCGAGGGTGTCAACATTAAATATTTGGTATGTTTTTTTGCAAAATTTGATTGGTTGGAAGATTACAATTTGATATTCAGCTGTGAATGGTACAGTTTCTTAGAGTAACCATTAGGAAAACATATGATATCTTAAATATTTTAAGATATGATATCTTAAATATGATATCTTAAATATTTTAAGATATATATTTTTAATGGTATCTACTTGACCAATGAAATTGTGCCATTTCATACCATCCAAGTATTGCAATAAATGTGTATATGTATAAAACCAATCTAATACATTTAAAAAATTCTTAAAATTGTGTATAGTAGAGGAATAAAAAATTTTTTAAATGTGTTAGATTGGTCACTCGGTGTGATAAACCCTTCGTAAGGTAACCTTTGTAGTTATATAAATCAAGTACTATAATATAATATAATAGAAGGGTTAGAAGTACAAAGTAATCTAATATTCTTAATCTTTGTTTTATTATTTTTTGCTTGGGCAATATTGATATTAATATATTTTTAATTTTCACATAGAAGATGATGGTTTTGCTTTACAAATATTAGTTTTTGTTTAATTTTAGAAGCTTTACCAAATCCAAGAAGAACTATTCAAGGAGATACTTTAAGTATTGAAAAGCTACAAAAATTTGACACTGCTGTGTATCAGTGCAATGCCTCAAATATTTATGGCTATGTATTTAGAGATTTTTATTTGAATGTTGCAGGTAAGTAATTTATGATTTATTATATTAGATATATATAAAAGTAATAATTAGATGAGTAAATTACCTATAAATATGATTTTCGTAGCATATATGTGTAAGGCTTGCCAACTGTGTGCGATTGTCGGACGGTTGAGAGGTCGTGACAATCAGGTGTGGACATGAAATATTCATTTAGATAGTCTTATCATTCTTTTTACTGTTTAATTAATTATTAATGGTTTTCTTACAAAAATTTCTAATTCTCTATTGACACAATTCTCAAGGAGAGAGTCCAGTAAAGTCCCAAATATTCTGTAGTGTCTTCCTTGGTCTCTCGTTTATGGTCTGCAGGATTGACAGCCTCAGGGTGTAGCCTTGGAAAACATGGTCCTTGTGGTAAGGATGAATCTTGAAGAGTGCAAACAACTCCAGGAGAGCAAACGTATCTTGGAGATAGATGAAAGGACTAACAGTTGATTTGCACGTAAAAACAAAATTTTGGATCAAAGAACATCAAGTCCTTGAAACACGCATTTTTATAGGTTTCTCTCTTCAATTCCACATTCTGATTGGTCTTACCCATCTCCCGGTGACAATTTGAAACCTTTCAGGGTGTGGGAGAGTCATTTCCAAGACTTTTTAACCCAATTCCTGTTCACCTAAGATTCCTTCAAACTATTGTTTAAGCTAGACTTTAAGTCGTGCTTTGTTTTCATTTTGAAAGGTGAGAGCTTAACTGTCTCACCAGATTTCAATCATTCAAAACATATCATTTCGATTTCCATTCGGGACCTCGCGTATGAAGATTAATAAAACACTTCTAAATTTCTAAATGAACTGCTGAATTATTATCAGACTATTATAAGGCTAGCAAATAATTAGTTACAAATTAATTTGGATAGAGATAGGTAGGTAGTTACACTGCCATCTCTATTAATTTAGAATATTACAAAAGAAAAATATTAGCCTGAAGTGGGTCTCAAATCTTCAATTCTTCCTTGTTGTGTAGTTGAATTTACAGATATGCCATCTGGATCCCCATCCAATTCTTTCTTCCAGTATTATTAATTTATTTATTTATTTACATACAACTACGTTACTACGCCCCTAGTTTTTGCACTGTTACTCACAGTGCAAAAAACAAAAACTAGGGGCTGCTTTAGCACCCACACTCTTCCTGTCAGTCAGTCAACTTTTGCTCTATCTAAGTATGTAAGTATGGTGTTTATATATATATAGGCTTACCAGACGTCCCGTTTTGACCGGGATTGTCCCAGTTTGACTATGTTGTCCCAGCGTCCCGGCCAGTTTGTCATTTTGTCCCGGTTATTTGATAAAATTTTAAAGTGCCGAATATACAAGAAGTAAAAATAGTGCAGCCTCGAGTAAAATGGCGATTTGGCACTTACCCCTCTGTTACACTCACTGTTGTCAATCTAAATATTTCGTATCTAGATCGTACTTTTAATGTTGTCTATATGTTTTCCTCAAAAATTTATAGCATATGGCCTAATGAATTTAGATGTTTTATTTTGTCATTCAGATATTTTTTCACAGAATTTATAATAGCACGTAGTCAATGACATCTAGATATTTTTATTTCATTTTTTTTTTAGATATTTTGTTTCAATTAGAGTTGGCAAGACTGAAACTTACACTGGCCACGTCATTGCTGTGCATGTCATCTCTTAGTCGAGTTCAAATTGCTGATCGGCATTTGCAATTATTTCGTACAGTATCTGCGCATTCTTTTATTCAGCGTTTGCAGCCCTTTTAGCGCATGTGTTCAATTATTAAGCCTACTGTCAGCGCGCTTAAGGTGCTCTTTCAGCGCACTAGCAGCACCTCTCGATTACGCTAAAAATAGTGCTTACAAGATGGAAGCATCCATGAGAAAGTATCTTTTTCGACTACCAAATAATAATCAGTTTTTTGCTCTTTTAAATAAGCAGATTTTTAATCGTGACATACGAAAATGGCTTTTAAAGATTTCATTCGAATACTGTGGTACGATATTGTGAACGTAACCAACGATTTTTGCACGCTTTCTTCGTTGTTGGGAATCAGTCATAGCCAATGCCATAAATAAATCATCATTTCCTTGTTTTCTTATAAATAACATCGAACTTAATGGCCTTTCTTCTAATATGCGCGTAAATATAGAAGAAAGAAAAACATTGTTTATATCAGCCATTTTGAGATAGCTCTTTCTCCGGCAAAAGTGTTTTCAACCGTCAACAGCGAAAACGTCATTTCCGGCAGCAACTGCTCAGCGCACTGCTGAATGAAAGAATGCGCGGTATATTAAATTCATTTAATCTCTAAAATGCCAAAAAGAAACCATGTGTTTATTGATGATTGAAAAAAAAGTTCTATGATCGTATTGACAAAGTGAAATATGATCTGTGCTTTTCATAATTTTCAGTAACTCATGGTGAGCATCAAACATTTAAAATCATTTGAAATGTGTGAAACCTAAGGCAAGCAATAGGAACTTCCTCAAATGTATTGCCATATTTTAAATGTACCGATTTAAACGACAAAGAATTTTTAAAATAAATATTAATAATAAGATATGTTTAGTTCAGTTATTAAAAATTGCTTTTAACTCGTTGTTTTTGTTAACAAACTACTTTATTTAGCCTTTTCAATCATAGATACTTATCCTAGTAAGCTAATTTTCTGTTGCGAGTATTTTCTCAAAATTGTCCCGGTTTGAGAAGAAAATATTATGGTAAGCCTATATATATACATACACCATGCTTGCTGAGAATGTGTATGTATGTATCTTAAATGTATATAACATAACCAACTTAATACATTAAAGTTAACAAAAAGCTGCCAAATTATTATTAGGATGTTATAAGAATAGTAAATAATTAGCTATAAATCAATATATCTAGAGGTAGACAGTTATATCACTATCTTATAGTAAATTTAATAATTAAAAATAAATAAATTTTAATTTTTAATGTAGAATATCTGGAAGAAATAGCTTGATGATAATTCAGAAATTTGTTCGCAAGCTTTAATGTATCAGGTTGGTTGTTGTTTATATATAGATAAACACTTCTAAATTATCATAAATAAATTTATACATCGAATCAACTGAAGAAGGAGTAGATTAGAGAACATTAAGAATTCTTTAATGTTAGTGACATCTATCAACATCATAATAAATCAATATGGCATACAGTGTTGTAACTAGACAGATGAACCCGCACAGGGCCCACTTGGAAGAGGGGCCCAAAATGCATGTATTTGTTTTATTATTTTCTCAAAATAATTAATTAAGAGGCCTAAATACAAATTCTTGCACAGCTCACAGGAATGGCTAGTTACAGCATAGCTTCAGAAAAGAAATAGATAGCAAAAGTAATGTTATCTTTAGAATTTTTGTTGTTATCAAGAAAACAGAAGATTTGATTAAGTTCCAATATTTAAAAATTCAATAACCATTTTCTGTTAATAATTATAATGTAATTAAAATTTTAGATGTACCTCCAACAATAACAGTGCCTCCAGAACCACTTGTTAAAGCAGTGATTTCTTCAACAGTAGTATTACGTTGTGAAGTATTTGGTGCTCCTCAACCTGATATTAAATGGAGTAAAAATGGACGTGAATTAACAGGAGGAAAATATCAAGTAAAGTTTTATTTTTTGATATTTGACGTGTCATTTTATAATGTTACTAAAACTGATTTTTATAGGATTTTTGATATTAAAATAAACAAGTAAAATGGCTTTGAGACTATGTCTCAGAGAGCATGAGCAACCCACGCACAAATCTCGCATTCGCGCCTATTTGTAGAAACAGTCTCAGCATTTTGTATTTTATTTTGACCCAGTTCTTGGTCCCCTGACTACCTATAAGTCTGGTTTGTTTTATGTGCTCGTGATTTGGACACTAAATACTCTGTGCTGAATTGCAACTCCTGACATGTACTCCTTAATATCTCTAAGGTGTGTAGCCATTGACAGCAGCGTGATTTTAAAAACGAGACATAGTCTCGTCAATAAACATTTGAATAATGTAATTTTATACATCTCATACAATACAATTTTAATGCATTTATTTCATTAAAAAGATTATTGTTTAAACAAAATTAGATACATTCAAAAAAGTCAATCTAAGTACTTTTCCAACAGTAGTGTAGATGATTTATGAATGTTTTTGACCATATTCACTAGTCTGCTTCTGGTCTAACTGGAACTTTTGCTTTTTAAAAAAGGAATGCCTTTTGAAATCTTTTAAAATTATATAATTGCCTTAGTATGTTTGATGATGTATGTTCCAAAATTAAAATTAATGATCACTATTGGTTGAAATCAATTTCTTAATAAGATTTATAAAATTATTTAGCTATTAGATTTTGGCTTTATTCTCCCACTTATTGTCATAAAATATTTGATCAATTACTACAATGCAACAGGACAAGCTGCATAAAGCCATAAAGAATAAGCAACCACGCATTAACATGCATGGTCGCTTATTCTTTATGGTTTCACATGGTGTGATTTTTTTGCACGACAATGCTCAACCACATGTTGCGAACACTGTGCAGAATGCTTTAACACAAAAAGGTTGGGAGGTTCTGTACCATTCTTCCTAAAGCCCCAATCTGTCATCATGTGACTTTCATTTGTTCAGACCTTTAAAAAAACTTTTAAGTGGCAATGCTTTAACTCTGATGCAGAAGTCAATGAAGCAGCCACTCAATTGGCTTAAGGCTCAACCAACATCATTCTTTGTGGACAATATCCATTGTTTTCCGAAGCAGTGGGATGCGTGTCTGAATGTCTATGGTGACTTTTTTTACAAACAAAAGTGCATTCTGGCTTTCTCATATATTGCTTTGTTTAATTATGTCATGCCAACACATACACTGTTTCATTCGTCTTAATAAATTTACGTAAAAGGATTTCAATCCTTGTATATATATATGATAGATGGATATATTATATTTAATTATTTAATTTTATTTCACTTTCATTTTAGGTTATTGGTAAGGGAAGCCTTCAAATTACGAATGTATTAGTTTCAGATCAAGGAACTTATACATGTATAGCAAGAAATAAATTTGGTGAAATGAAACGACATGGGAAATTAGAAGTAAAAGGTAAACTAACTGAGTATAATACTTGATGATACCAGAATTAATCAAAAACTGAATTTAAGTTTAGTTAGTGCTTTTATTAGTCTTTTTTTTCTTATTCAAGACATTTTAAAAATTACATTAACAGAATGATAAAGAAGTTCAGTTGTACAGATTTTTGTAGAAATTTTTTGAAACATTAATACTTAGTATATAATTATGGTACAGTTAGATGCATTAAATTTTATAAAATGAAAGGATATGGGTATGTTCCATTTGTTTTGTAGTTTATGCAAAAGTAAGATTAAGGAACTGCTATAATATCCATTAAACTGTTTTAGTAATAATATGGCAATATACTAGATTTTGATATCGTTGTTTACTATAACTATTTTACAACTTTCAGTAACTTTAAATTATAGAACTCTCCTTTACAAAACAAATGGAACATATCCACATCTTTTCATTGTCTAAAATTTAATGCATCTTACTATACAGCCTTAATCTATTAATGTATAAATAAAATAGTCATTTCTGATCTTAATTATACATTGAAATAGGAAATCAAATAAAACCAAACTTGATTGTATTTTTTATATTTATTTGTTGTATAATTTCTTTATTTAATAAACATTAAATCTAATTTAATTTAAAATTTTCTAATTCTATAAATTAGAAAAATTTAAAAATAGAAAAAATTATCAGAGCTCTAGACCATGTTCACAGGAATAAAAAAGTCATAGGAACAAAGGGCCTACATCTGACCTTTCGTGAGAATATCTTAACTGAATTGCTCATTGAACACACAATACACTTAATGGATTGCACAGCACAACTTTGATTGTACATTGGAAGTAGTGAGTGCAATAGCATTTCTCATATGTTATGAGCTTTTAGCTACTTATAGTAAAGTGGAAAACAGTTAGTTGAATTATACATTGTTTTGAAAAATAGTTCAACGTTCAGTGTCATAATTGCCATCTCTCCTTATAAGCACTATACATGTAATCAATATTCGACAAAAAAATACAAAATCACATGAAAGTATACATTTGCATCTGTGTTGACCAGTCATCGTCAGGCTAACTGACCTTCACAGTTTGAATGTGCGTATTTAAATCTCTCTGTATTATATGATTGTACAACTATAACCTCTTTTCTTGTATTTACTTAGACAATGCCACACTTCAGTTCCTTTTGTCCTTTCATTGTTGATTTTATGTATTTTAGTCACACAAGTCATTCATTGCAGCATTCCTAATTCAGTCAAATTCATTTTCCTTTTCCTGAGACACTTTTATGTATGTACCATGTTTCAGTATCATAAATCATTGTTGGCTTGACAAGTATCTTATACACTGTTTTCCTTTCATCCTTGAATTTATCCTGTTATCCCCTAATACATTAGATATTTCTTTCTGATTTCTCAAACCTACCTTCATCTAATAATTTATTTATTTAGTTGTCCATTCCATTATATAGAAACCCAAGTACAGTAGAGTCTCTGTCACTCGCAATTCTGACACATCTAGTAACTGGATGTTCTGTAGGGAGATGCACATGAAATTTTCATGTTACCACTTATCAATGTATGAGACAGAGAGAGATTGAGATATTTGTATGTGGTCAGTTGCTAGTTGTTTGTTTCACAGGCAGTTGGCAAAACAGTCACAATCATGATTAATATAGTAAACTAACCTGTGAACCAAGTGCATTTTTTTTTTACTGTGCAGTACATACATATATAGAAATTTCAGTAATCTGACAATAGCTGAAATATGTTTGATTACAGAGACTCTAGTATATTTAAATTCTCTAATTCTGTTTAGTTTTTCACTGAGTAACTACCAAAATTTAAATTTTTCTGCATTCTGGTATATAGTTTAACATCATATTAAATTTATACTTTTGCTATAATTAAAAAATAATTTACTTTTGTATAGATATTGATATATGTATTTCTATGTTTTTCTAGGTAAAACAAGAATTATTCAATTTCCAGAAAATTTTGAAGTAGCAGCAGGAAAATCTGCAACATTTAGATGCAATGCAGAGGCTGATTCTTCATTGGAAATGAAGATAACATGGTTGTTTAATGGCCTACCAATTGATTTTGATTTAGATTCCAGAATGATTCAGACAGTTGATAATTCATTAACAATAGCAAAAACAATTGAATTAGATTCTGGAAAATACAAATGTTTAGCTCAAACAGAATTAGATCAAGATGAAGCTGTAGCAAGTCTAACAGTTCAAGGTAAACATATTAATTCTCAAATATGCAAGTTTATATATATATATATATATATATAAATACTGTAAATNAGTATATTTAAATTCTCTAATTCTGTTTAGTTTTTCACTGAGTAACTACCAAAATTTAAATTTTTCTGCATTCTGGTATATAGTTTAACATCATATTAAATTTATACTTTTGCTATAATTAAAAAATAATTTACTTTTGTATAGATATTGATATATGTATTTCTATGTTTTTCTAGGTAAAACAAGAATTATTCAATTTCCAGAAAATTTTGAAGTAGCAGCAGGAAAATCTGCAACATTTAGATGCAATGCAGAGGCTGATTCTTCATTGGAAATGAAGATAACATGGTTGTTTAATGGCCTACCAATTGATTTTGATTTAGATTCCAGAATGATTCAGACAGTTGATAATTCATTAACAATAGCAAAAACAATTGAATTAGATTCTGGAAAATACAAATGTTTAGCTCAAACAGAATTAGATCAAGATGAAGCTGTAGCAAGTCTAACAGTTCAAGGTAAACATATTAATTCTCAAATATGCAAGTTTATATATATATATATATATATATAAGTACTATTACCAAAGTTTTATTTTGCTTCTTTCTGTTAATTTCTGTAGAGAGAGGGGGGAAATAGCCTGCTCTCGGAACTGTTCCTTTTATATATATATTTTTAAAACTTTTAGAGTCCAAGGCTAGAATGATCTTGTCTAGGCTGACTGAAGATAGCCTCAGAACAAAGGGCTCATTCCAAGTCAGCTCTTAAGTTAAATGGTATAAAGAATTACACTTTATAATGGCAAGAATTGTCAAAAACAAAAATAATAAAAAAGTCATCACTATCAAAACAGATTTTTCATATAATTATTTGAGTAAATTGAATCTGTATTTATCAGTGCATAATTTGCTATTATTAATCCAATTTTATCTAATAAATTCCATTTTTTTTATATATGGTCATATTATTTTTATCTTGCAGTCACTATATGTGTTTTAATGCACCTTAATATAGACCAGATTTGGCTAAATTGGGTATAATTAGATGCTACTGGTTGAAAACTCTTCTAATAAATCCTTACTTTTCGCTTCCTTAACAAGCAGATTGAATTTTTATTTTATTTATTTACATTATTTATTTCTTCAAATATATTCAAGTTTTGTTTACCCAACAATTATAATTGTATATTCTGAAACTGAAGCTTTTGCAGGTTCTTTGTAGAAAATGTGCATGTGTATATAATTTATATAAAATTAAATACACACACAAAAATTTTTTTTGATAGTCTTTATATATATGAGATAACTGTAACTAATAATTAACTTAATAAACTTGTAAATTTAGCTTTTAAATAAATTTATATGCTTTATGAAATAAGATATTAAAATAATTAATAACCAATGATATTAAAATAAAGTTTATACAAAATTTGATGTGATTATATAGAGTAGTCAACAAAACAAATTTTTGCAACTACTTATATATATATATAGATGTGTGTGTGTAAGTTTTACATTGAAAAATGTTCTAAAACAGATATCAAAATAAATAAATTTAATAATAATGTAATACACGTATTATGAGTAGTTGATACTTTAAAATAGTCAATTTTCAAGTGTTTAAATTTTTTATCTAAAAATTGTTAAGAATGTAAAATCAAATATAAAAGTATATACAGTATAACATTAAGTTTACATTTTATTTTTGTTAACTTCCACAAGTACTAAACATATCAGAATACATTTTAATACAAAATGTTATAATAATAATTGATATTCTTAAAATAATAATAATAATAATAATGAAAACATCTGAATAGTAATATAATATTCACCAAAATATCTTTAAATGTAAAAAAATTATTTTGATCATTAATAATTTCTATACATTTTATCAAAGAAATGAATTAAAATTGGTAATATTGCAGCTTTCCTAAAATTTATAATAAATATTTTAAATATTGTCAATGTGATAAAATTGTAAATTTGAAGAAATTTAATAATATTTTCAAGAGTTTGCATTTATACTGAAATAATACTAATGTTTTTATAATATTTTGATTAAAAATCTACTTTAATTCATCAACAATCACAATGATTATTTTTAATTTTATTTAGTAGAAGATTAACTAATATATTTTTCAACATTTTAAAAAGTATTTTAAAGAATCATTAAGTATTTTTATTTGCAAACAATATTAATTTAGTTTTATTCTAAAAAAAATAAATTTATTAAATATTATATTATAATTATAATGTAAATTTAATGAAATAATATATTTTTAAAATAAAAAANGCTTTTTCCATAAAAAAAAGAGAAGGATATGCAACAATTTTGGAGGTTTTTGCATCAATTCCTGAAGTGAAGGAACAGTGGCAGCAGGCTAAGATTGTCTGTGCAGTATGCTACATAAAGGATTTAAGAAATTTTGAAATGATAGAGATACACAAGTCAACTACACAGATCAAATGGGTCAGTTTTCAAGAGGCAGAAAATATTTCTAACATGTGGAAATCATTACTTGAATTGGTTTAGATGGGATATTATCGGTGAGGTCCACACTCAGTAGTGCTACTAAGCAGCCCTGATGGGAGGGAGGAAGATGCTGTAGCAACAGTCTGGACCCTTATAAAGGGTCTGAGAGCTTAATTTTTTAAGTAAATGATTTTGTTTCTTTGCAAGGACATACCACTGTGGTGTGTGGAAGAGGGAATATGGACAAATCTCCTCAAATAAAAAGCTTGGCAGGTTGGATCCATTTGGATTGGTGCAGGTGGAGAAATGTGGTTAAGGAGGGCTGTGGGGTTCTTGATGTCTCTCCACAAGGCTGATACTAAGTTTATATTTATTTAATCTTTAAATATCTATATAGTTGTATCAATTTGAGTATTTTATTTTTATTTTGTTCTGTAACTGTCAGTCTAAAACTTTTGTAATGTTCTATTTAATAGTCTATTTATATTTATAATGTTTAAGTTATTTCAGTTAGAACAGTGTTTCTCAACCTTTAACGAATTGTCGCCCCCTTCAATAAAACCGTTACATAGTATCGCCCCTTCACTTCAAAATTCCAATGCTGAGGGCCAAGGCTAACGCCAAATTCGTACTGCATTGAATAGACTAGTGATTAGTATAATGTTATTTGTTTAATTATTGTACGATATAACGAATAAAATATCTAATTATTCTTAATATAATGTTTTACTTTATCACCCAGAAAATTGTTTTTTGCCCCCAAAATATAAATTGTTACTAATTGCCCTCAACATGGAAAAACGCCCCTGTTGAGAAACACTGTGTTAGAATGTACAGTCTACAAATTCATCTTTTTCATTCTAAATGTGATGTTTTATTTTGAGATTTCCCGAGAAATGTCCAAAAATGTTTGCTATTAAAATGATTTTTGTTGCTGGAAAATTAAGGTGTGTTGATATTTTGAATTTCCTTGATTTGATCAAAAGTTATAAATTTATTCCTTCTACTTCTTAGCTTTTATCCTAACTTTCTCAATTTCTTTGTTTCCTCATCTCTTTCAGATATCCTCTCCTCTCAAAAATGTGCACTCATTCAGTTTGACCTTCAATTGAATTTTTCTGCATCATCGTGAACTAATCTGTTAGTGTCTGAAAATGTATTCATAAAAAAAGTAATAAAATAAAAAAGTTAATTTAGTTAAACTTAATTATACAGAAACCATATTAATTTCAATGCATTCCCCAAATAAGAATCCTAATTAAAATTCAAAAATTGAAATCACTATGTCCAACATACAGTTTAAAAATATAATTAAGTAAGCAACTTTAATTCTTCTTTCAGATCTGTAGATTATTATTTTAATATTTATAGGAATAATTGTTTAATGTATACAGGTATTCCTCGTATAACACAGTAGTTACTTACGTTCCAAAAAAGTGCTGTGTTATACGAATCTGTACTATACGAAACAAAAGACTAATGCAAAAATTAGTGTTACGTTCTAAAAGTTAGCAAAAGTATACTATTCTTTTCCATCAATAAGAGAAATATGTTTATTAAAGCAATTAATAATTAACTAACAATCACAATTAAAACTATTGTATTACACATTAATATTAATTTTAGTTAAACGAGGGAGTTTTCTTTTTACAAAGTATTGCCATCTTCTCAGCTTTTTTGTTGATCTTGGTCAGAAATATCAGCAACACCTTTTTTTTTTATTTTTACCATAAAATTTTTTATGGATGACAAAATAAAAATAAAAGTATGTTATTAATTGAAAATTTGTTCTAGTGGGTTGCATTTGTTCAGTCGAGTACTGAGTGATTTTTCTCCAGAATTGTGTTCAAATACTGAATCGTTGGAGTTGGGAACAATATGACAGTATTGGTGGGAAGTACTTGATCTTTAGAGTATTCCCTGTGCAGGAACAAAACAAAAAAGAAACTTCAAAGAAATAAATCATACACTCCAATGCAAGGAACTTAAAGTTCATTCTAGTCCTTCTGATCACTACTTTGTCCCTTTGCTATAACACACACCAAAAGAAAGGACAACACACAAAAATAAACAATCTCACGACTCTATTGTGGTGTTCGGAGTGAGAGGTACTGTACACGATCCCGCGAGCGAAATGGTACAAAAAGAAAAGAATCTTAACACAAAGTATTATTTTTCTCACTGAACAGGTTCGTTTATTGGATCCCAACTTTACAATTTCCCGAATTTTATACGTATACAGGCGCTCAATGGTACACCTCAAAAACAGTTATCTTGCACCCATGCGACAATCTGACGAGGACTGTAATTACTTACACACTAACTTATGCTAACTTACACTAACTTATAACTAAAGATGGAAGAATAGAGGATATAGAGATAGACAAGGAAAGAAGTAGAAATACCCGGGTTTCTTGTGATGAGCCCTTGGTTGGAGAACACTTCGGACTAAGAGGCCTTCCCTCGATGATCTCTCTCTGCACTTTCTAGTCTTAGGTCACTTCTTACTTGTAGACCTGTCGTCTACAGTCTTTATCTTTCGGATTGAGTCGTCTTCCCTAGAGGATCTCTCTCTGTACTTTCTCGTCTTTGATCACCTCTCACTTGTAGACTTTTTGTCTACAGTCCTCCTTTTTTCAGATTGCTTCGTCTCAGATCACTTCTCACTTGTAGGAGCACCTCTCTGTTACCTCCTACCTACTCAAGATCTCCACTCAATCTGGTACCCTTTCTCTCCGTTTTGCTTCCGGGCCTCACTTCCTTTTTCTTTGTTCTTTATTTCTATGAAGAGGGTAATCCTCCCCCAAGGGCAAAAGGGGTTTAGACAAAGAAAGTTCTAGGAAGGATTTAGACAAAGAAAGAGGAAACTCTAATACTAATACAATATAAAATATAGGGAATATATCATATCATGGCTGACGGCCACACTATCATCTACACATCTTCTCTCCTCTTTCTTTCTTCCGAAAAGTCTCACTTCTTCCATTGAGCATGCACAATCTTCCTCCTTGATCAGGGTTTTTTTTTTGGTTGTTATCAAGAATGCCCATCCCTTCTTTACCCTGTGGCCCACCCAAGGAACTGTTTACGCAATAGAACACATGATCTTCAAACCACATATCTCCCCTCCTCCCATTCACTTTTACAACAACAAACAGAAAACTTTTATGCTATGAGAGCCCATCCCTCCTTTACTCCGTGAACCACCTAAGGGACTGGTTATGAGCTGGTTACGCAACAGAACACGTAGTCTTCAGACCACAGTATCTTGGTTTGAGTACCAAGTTACTGCCATATTTCATTCATCATTTTTATGAATGATTACTTACCTGTGGTTAAAAAAGTTTAATAACACTTACCTAAAAATGTTAAAATAAACTTTATTAAATATGACGATTAATCTATAAAACCAAAACACTGTGACAGTCTTAAATTCTAATGTCTGAAAGCAACATCAACAATACCTTGTTGATAGGAAAGCTGGGACAAGGAAGAAAAATACTATCAGTTTTCATTAAAGTAAACCTGACAAAGGGGACAAAACAAATTGAAAATTTTAATATTGTAAAATCTATGGGAAAATTTGATTTGACATGTATATAATTACTTGAATAAAAAAAAATATCGTATAACAGAGTTGCACTTAAAAGTCGTGAAATTTTATATGGACGATTTCCCAAATTCTTGAACCATGTAAGAGTGAAACCAGAAACCATGTTGTATGGGGGATATTTCCAGTTTCCAACCATGTTAGAGCAAAACCATGTTGTAGAAGTGCCGTGTTGTATGAGGGATACTTGTATTTTATTATGTGAGGTCTGTATGGTTCTTGTTAAGGTCTGACATTGAAACATTCACAAAAAGCAAAACTTACACCAGAGAGAAATTTAGGCCAGAACAGAATGAACAAAATATACGTATGTGAGTGTTTGGCATGAAGACCATGTCATTTGATAAGACCATTTATTGTGAAGGAGAGACTCTTACATGATCCTTGGTCGTTTGGAAACAAAAATCCATGAAGTTCAATTCTCTGAGTTTGATCAGTTTAGTATCCACACAGGGTTCATCAGAAAGAAGTGACAGGTTTTGAACCTACAGAGTAGAGGAGGACAGTTATTTTCATTGAAAAGGCACAAGCACACACATTCAGCAAATGGAAGAGAAGTTGGTGGCAGTGAGGAGTACAGCAGCAGCATGGAATTAATCAAAGACCGACAATGGATCAGACAGAAATGGATCAAGAAAGCTTCTGGTCCTTGAAATGCAGGTTTTTATATGATTTTCCTTTCAGTCTTATATCTTCATTGATCTTGGTCACTTCTCCTCACTTCCCAATTGGACACTCGCTTGTTTTTAGGAGTAATTCAAGACTGACTCAGGCTGCAGGAAAGGTTGATGTCATCATTTAATTTGATTCCAGTTTCTGATCCTCACTGGAGATATTTACTAATCTTGGGACATTTATTATTTAAGTTAAGAATTGTGTACTTTTATTTGCAAGGTGTCAGTCATTTAAAATTCTGGTGGCAAGCAAATTATTAACAGGGATTGATTTTTTTTCTTTTCCACTTCAGATCCTTTGTTTTGGGAGGTTTCAGAGAGGGTTCAGACCATGTCTGGGACCTCACAATTAAAAATCAAGTCAGGAACTTGTAAACTCTGCAAGGCATGTGGTCTGCGGTTTCAGACAAACGAGGAATAGAACAAAGGGAAGGATAATGAACAGTCGGTGGAAACGTGTAACTAGACAAACAAAAGTTTATTTTAGTCGAAAAACGCGGTACAATATTAATACCAAGATACAGTTCAATACCGGAAACAGATAGTGTAACAATAACAAAATTGCTTGATATTCCCCCTTCCAAATTTCCTTCCTCACACGAGGCCCTGCTTTGCCTGACAAGTAATATAAATCCTACAGATAAAAAAAAAGGAATTTTACAAATAAATTTTGGGAAACAGAGTACCTAAGGGACTTGCAAAATTTCTTCTGTAATGGTACAATCGTTGGCTTCGATGGAAACAGGTTTTCTTTTCGCACCGCAACTTCTTGATCTCTATCAACAGTCGACTCTCTTCTTGGTTACGTATTTTCTCTCCTTTCATCCAAGGCGCATTCTCTCAAACAGGAAAACCAAAGTCCTTCTTTATCCATTACATACGCTTTTATATCTCCCTCCAACTACATCACTCTGTGATAAATTATTTTATTGATAATATGATAAATTGTTATATTTAGATTTAATTACATTAATTGTATGAAAAAATTATTCCTAATGAAGATGGTTAGCTATTTTGAATATTAATGATTAATGTTTAGTGATTTAAAAAATATTAAATTTTATTTTATATTACTACCGTTTTAGATTACAATGTCACCTTGGGCTAACTATACATTTCGTGTACTAGCAAGAAATAAAATTGGGATTAGTTTGCCCAGTGACGCTTCTGACGTATGTCAAACGCCAACAGATGTGCCATATAAAAATCCAGATGGAGTAGAAGGTTTTGGTACAGAACCTAACAATTTGGTTATATCGTGGACTGTAAGTAATATTTTAATATTTATTTCATTTAGTAAGATAAATGAGTAAACAGTTTTAATTATTTGTATTTTTGTACATTATAATAATTTCAAGTGGATGACTTGCTGATGTGTATTAATCCTCAGCAGTGTATACTAACCATACATCTTTGATATGATCATTGAAAACATGATACTGGTATGCAGTTTAGAAGATATTTGAAACATTTTATTTTTATTTTGTTTCTTCCATTTTAATTCTATTGACCATTCATTACAAATATAATTATAAAATAAGTGAAATGGAAAAAATAATATTTGAGATGGAACCAGTGGTTTAACTACTGGGATGATTGGGTGACAAAAAATCAATTCTAGCTGCTGTTTAATGATGAATGTAAAAAGTTATTTTTTATAACTTGTTATTATTACTACACCTACATAATAGGAGTAGTATACTACTTGGCCCCATGATGTTAAATCATTCAGTCCCAATAATTGAGTTATGCTACTGAATGGAACCTTCCTAAATTGCATAAGTGTTAAAAATACAAATGTCTGCTGAATGCATAAATATTTTTTATTGTTTTGTCTCATTTCTATTTTATTTATCAAATAATAATAATAACAAGTTGCAAAACAAATATATCAAGACATACAAATGCTAGATTACACAGAAAATCAGATGAAAAATTATCTCAACAATAGTCATAAAACATAAAAACGTACATAGCATAGCAGACACCAATGAGAATACAAACACAACATTTACAAATAGTGAGACTACAAACACAGAATTATTTAATACACTTACAAATTTATTACAAGGAATACTCACTTAATATACAGGTTTAGACCCCACACAGAAACTGTAAAGACACAAAATACATACATCAAAATGGATGGAGAAACTACACTATCTAAATACATACATATTACCAAAACATATTGAACCAGAATCAACACTCAGAAATGCATACATTAGTGTGTTCTGGTGTGGTCATTGTAGTTCAATCTCAAGCAGACACACTATCATAAGCCAGCCTAGTAAAGAAGACCAGAAACACAAGCAAATTACATTAGAAAACATTTAGTCAGGCTGGTAAAATACACTAAAAACAACATAGCATCAAACTTAATAAAAGAGGTTTAGAAAATATTTAGGAAAATTAAAACATACACAGCATGTATAACACAATATGCACATACAGAAATACATTAACATCTTCAAACAAGATACTGTTGAGTTATTATTATGTAACCTCAATTGGTATGGCAAACCATTAACCTTATTAAGCATGCTGGAAGATCAATAGTTAATCTATTGATTTTTCAGCACGCTTAGTTCATTATGTAAAAATAAAATGAACTAGTTAAGTAAATTAAATTGAATAAATAAGAACTTTTAATGAAAAATGTTAATAAAATTTAATAATATGTCAGTTTGTGGTGATAATATCATAAAGAAAAAAATAAAATTAAATAATATTCACTATTTTAGAATAAATTTAATTGTTTTATGCCCATGAATTTTTTCATTTGTAGTCTAACTTTTCATCTCCATTAATGTGTATAAAATTTTTCAGCCAATGCCGCCAATTGATCACAATGCACCAGAATTTTTTTATAAAGTATTTTGGAAACGTGATGATGATTTGGAAGGTAATTGGGAATTTGTAAAGATAACAGACTGGAAACAAAATAGACATATTGTTTACAATCAGCCTACATTTAAACGTTATCGGATTAAAGTTGAAGCACACAATTATATAGGACAGGCAAATGACGTAGCGACTGAAGTAATTGGATTTTCTGGAGAAGATGGTAAATTTATTTCTGAATTTAATTATGAAATGTTTGAAAATATTTATTGAATTTTTTATAATAATATTAATTGTATTGAATAAATTAGATTCAAGATTAAAATCTAACAACTATAAAGACTGCTACCTATTTAATATTGATGATTTTTTACTCCATATACTTGCCATTTACAAAATGATTTATATTGAATCAGTTTTGTTATTCTCTGTCTCTAATATGTTCAGAATGTATTATAAAATTATTTATTTTCTGAATAGATGTTGTGGAGGTAATTTCAAACAGAACTTTTCCAATTCACGTAAACATGGTATTGCCTTCCGTTTTTATCAGGGCTGTGGAGTCGGAGTCAGAGTTGTGGAGTTTTGATGTTTTAGCCAGAGTCGGAGTCGGATGGTAAGGAAGAGTCGGAGTCGGAGTTGGAGTCGGTAGATTTTTACGTGACTTCCACAGCCCTGGCAGGGCTGTTGAGTCGGAGTCGTGGAGTTTTGGTATTTTAGCCGGAGTCGGAGTCGGATGATAAGGAAAAGTTGGAGTCGGAGTTGGAGTCGGTAGATTTTTACGCGACTCCACAGCCCTGGTTTTTATATTAATTTAAAACCAATTGATGCCATTTTTTTATTGCATTGTTTATCTTAAATTCATGAAGAAACTATGAATGATATGTGATGACTATTAAAGTTGAACTTAGCCACTGTAGTTAATCTATTTCCACTGCTAAATATATATTACTTACTTCATGTAATGACTTGTTTTATATCTCACTTATTTAAAAAAAAAAAAAAAAAATGAACATTCTTTTGTTTGGCTCATTCATTCAATTATCATCACTTATGCTGAAAATATTTGAATTTTATATCCTTAATTGAAGTAGAGCATTAGTGAAGCCTTTTTTATGTGGCTTGCAGAATTGTGTTCATTCTCAAAATCTGTTGGATAGATTTTGTTTAAACTTTTCCATTTTTCGTTAATTGTGATGCGGAATCCAAACATGCAATAAAAAATGGGGGTCCATCATTGTTTTTGAGTTATTTCATGAGTGTGCGTGACAAAGTGATATCATACAAATAGTGCGACTTTGTCATGTGATGTTTCGCGGTCACTAGCATGTCTTTTATGGGTTTATAGAATTGAGTTTGGATGTTAGATTTAGAATGATTATAGAATGATTTGGAAGATTAATTCAATGGTTAGGACTAATAATATAATATTACCCTTTATGGAAGCAAAACTTGTATTACAAGGGATAATCAAAAACTAAGGTTACAAAGCCTGCAGTGAAAAGTGTATATTTTATTTCATAAAACCAATATGAGGGTGGCCCCAGAAGAACTGCCACGCTGTTGAAGCAGTTTCGCTCAGAACAGCATGACCACCCTCCCTACAGCCCGGATCTTGCTTTAAGCAACTTTCACCTGTTTCCTCACTTGAAGGAGAACCTCGCAGGACGACGATTTACTTCAGATGAGAAAGTGAAACACTTTGCAACAACTTGGCTGAATATGAAAGGACAGGATTTTTTCCAGGAGGGAATTTTCAAACTCATCACACGAAGTGACAAGTGCCTAAACTGATATGGAGACTGTCGAAAAATAACCTAATGTATGTATGTACTATCAGTTGGCTGTATTGGTTGTATGAAATAAAATGTACACTTTTCACTACAGACTTTGTAACCTTAGTTTTTGATCATCCCTTGTATGACTCACAATGTAAAATATATTTTACATTTCCATATTTTACATATGATAATTTAGTTTCATATGAAAGCGGTTGTAATTATTTGTGAACAGATGTAGTCTTCTGCAACCAAAATTTTTTAAAATCAAAAATGATTTTTTCTTTCATTCCATAAAACTCTCATACTAAGGACTGTTAAAACTTGTACATAAACCAAAAATTCTCATGTTGATGACAATTTCTGTAATTCTGAAAGCTCTGATTCAGTGGTTTTTTCCTGTTTAAATGTTGCCAATTCTTTTTAACTTTTAGAATTTACATTACCTTATAACATTACAATGTTAGATTATTGGAAAAACAAATTTTGTTTTAATTTCAATAAATATAATATAGTAACAAGAGCACAAATTTTAAATTGCTTATTTCACCCTTCTACAAAAACCTTATTTGTTCTTTCCCAAAAAACTGCAAATAAAAATATCACTTTACTTAATTACTTTAAATCTCATTTATAAGCCATTTCCAAGCATTTGGTAATATTTAAAACCTCTTTGCCATTAATTACTTCCAATCTCAAACTCATTTAATATATCCATGCAGGGCTATCAGGAAGGAAGGGCGCAAGGAAAACTTCTCATCTGTAGAAAAGTTAGGACCCTTAGTGGTTTCTTTTCCTGTAAATGAATGTTATTTTTACTAATAAAAACATAAAACTTTTAAGACGTCATTTATTAATAAACAATCATTCTGTATTTTTTCATTTAAAAAAAAAAAAAATAAAAAGAAAAGGAAGTGCAGTCTAACTCCCAGACCCCATACCAAGCTTTAAATAGCCCTATATCTATGTTTTCTCTGCAATCTCCAAATCCCTTCTTTCCTATCTCTCTTCTAACATTTAGTAGTTAGGGGTGTAGTGTCATCTGTTTTAGATTATGGAGCATCCAGATGTTATGTAAATAAAATGAGGTGACAGCTATGAGCTGATTCATGTGCGTATCTCCTGACAATGGGCTTGATTGTCTGAAAATACTTGAGAAAATATTCAAATGAGCTTCAATAAAGTAGATTTTTGTCATTATGCACTTTTATATTTGGTTAATGTTATTAATTGAATTAATTACTTATTAAATGACAAACATCATAATTAAAATATCTGTTGATTTCATTTTCAGTACCAGAAGAAGCACCTCAAATTATTAATTGTACATACATAAAGGATATTGATGCTACCTATGTTGCTTGGAATCCTGTCCCAGAAAGTTCAGTTCGTGGAAATTTCAAAGGTTATAAGGTATATTAAGTATTAATGATAGTAAATTAGTTTTTCTATTAGCTGTAAATGTACAGAAATTGAATAGCTTTAATTAATTATTAAGATGCTAATTAGTATATATGAAAAGTGCTAGAGGTAGTCTTGTATACATAACAAAGACCAATAGTAACAACTTTAAACATTTATCAATTTAATTTAAAACTTACATATTTAATCAAAATTGTCTCCGCCAACATTAATACACTTTTTTTGTTGCAATAGAAATGCATTAATGCCAATTCGCTACAGATCATGAGAATGAGAAGCCAAAAAGTCATTAAAGGTACTTTTGATTGTATCCTCTTCCTTGACAAAAACTGTCCAAATGTATATATATAAAAAAAAAGTGAGTCTGTTGGCAAAATGTCCAGAGAGTAAGGTGGATGGAGAAGAATTTCATTTGACTACTTTTATTTTTGTGTTAAATAATTAAAGAACTATAGACCTCCAAATGATGCTCTTTATCTCTCTCAATGAGTTCGTGTGGTACCACTTGATGAGCTTCTTGACTTCCCCTAATATGTGTGATGTTCACGTGAAATGTACATAGACTGACAAAGGAAATGTGACAAGATAATACTTTATTTTGTGGATTTGAACAAGTTCTTTATGGATTCCAACTCAGAAATCAACAATTACAACTTGGCTTCTAATAATGATTTAATAAGCTTTTAGTGGAATGTCTGACAACTGATGTTCTGACAAACAGTGCTACATCAGCATTTGCAGACTAATTTTGTCAAAATAATACAAATGAATAGTAAAAATGATGTCAATAACATAACCATGGAAATGGCTATATTGCTTCATCAGAGCTCACCGTATTCATAACCCAATGAGTGTGATGCGCATCAGTCACTGTACTGATGAACTTGTTGGTGAATATTGGAACACATTGCAGTTCAGTTCACTGATGCCTTGTTCAATGCATGCTGGAATATATCCATTCTTGGGCTGCAATTTTCAAAAATTGCAATTTTCAAAAATTGCAGACCTATAAATTCCTGCTGGCATCCATCTGTCCTACCTTAATCTTGAGAACAGAATTAATAGATGAAAGTCAAGATCAGATAAGGAAAGCTTAGGTGAGGAAGGTACTGATTAACTGTATATGAACTACCAGTTTGTACCAAAAGTCATTAGTTGAATTCAAAAATGTTCTCCTGAACATAATTAGATAGATGACCTGCATGACTCTATTGTTAACAGGAAAATTATGATGTACAGGGGCAAGACAGTACTAAAATTGAGAGCATTGCAGAGCCCACTCTAGGAGTGGACAACCCGGACATTTGTCCAGGGCAGCAAATCTAAAGGGCGTCATTTTGGTTGTGAATGTGACAAAATATAAGTTAAATACTTAATTAATCGAAATTTATATTTGTTGATTTTTTTCTGTGGCTAAAATTACCATGCAATTTATATTTCGTATTTATTACTTTTGCCTAAAACTAAGAAAATATTTGCATTCTTTAATTCTGAAAAAACAACCATAAAAGAGGACTTTTGGGCAAAAAGGAAAGCATAAGCAACAATATTAAATTTTGTCCCAAACCTTAGGGTGCGACTATACGACGTGAGCAAGCGACTTTTCTGAGAGAGCGAGAATATGTGGTGAGAAGAGGTGATGACATTTCTCGCTGTTTTTGTTTCTTGCTTTCGTTTATACGACCACACANCTGGTATCAGCATCTCTGAAACGACAACTCTTTTAGGATTTTCTCACCCAATAGTATTTCAGGTGTATAGAGAGTGGCAGTTGAGAAAAAAAAACTTCAAGCAATAAGGACAATTCTGGTCAAAAAAGGCTGGTGAATGATAGGTGAGAGATGATTAGTGCATAAGAAGGATAACAACGAAAGCATAAGCAACAATATTAAATTTTGTCCCAAACCTTAGGGTGCGACTATACGACGTGAGCAAGCGACTTTTCTGAGAGAGCGAGAATATGTGGTGAGAAGAGGTGATGACATTTCTCGCTGTTTTTGTTTCTTGCTTTCGTTTATACGACCACACAGATGCGAGTGAATGAGAGAAAGTGGCATGGAGTTGATGAGTTACATGTTCCCGTCAAACTTGTTGAGTAGAAGCCTGACAAATAAAACACAAAATGGTTCGACATCGACACTTATTACTAGCAAAAGAAAAGTTGTTACTATTAGGATTACTTCATGAAGAAGTAAAAAGAAAATGAAGATACAGTGTTCATTCCCTCTGGAAACAGTGAAAGGCTAAAGGACATTATCATAATTTAGTAAGAAAACAGATTGCAATTCCTGTGATCAGGAAGACGCTTATCCCATATTTCTAGATGTAAATAAACATTATTAATCAATTTTTTTTAATGGCTGGTCCGCCATCTTGCTCGCTGGAAGAAGCCATTTTGTACTCCTTTACGAAGGTGCATGCGCACTGTTCAGTGAGAACTGGCAAGACGCAAGAAATATCAAACACTGTCAGATATGTGTGAGAACCAGAAATTCGCTGTAGCCAGCGAGATTTCTCACTTCTCGCTTGTGCATGGTTTTCTTTTGCGAGAACTATATCGCTCGCTACTAAATTTGCGTCTGCATAGTCACACCCTTATACCCCGTTCGCACACAATCCACGACTCACTTCGATCTCGATTTACCCACAATCTGGATTGTGACTGTCGCCAGTGGAACGTCGTGCTTCGCACAGATAACTCGCTTGAGAAGAACCCGGCTATTACACGCGATGATAAAATTGACATAACTACGCGGTAAGTCACGAACACCAACAAACAAAATGGAAGTTTTGGTTAGAAATAAATACTTTTTCTTGCCGTATATCTAATAATAAACAGATGTCATTGTCTCTCCAGATGTCTTTTTTATTTTTCTGTCGATAACCGGACACGTGTTCAGCAGCCATCTTGTATTTTCTCGCGCACGTGTGATTGTGGGATCTCTCTTATAACTGGATCTAGTTTCGAGAACTCTCTCCAGTCGATTGCGATTTAGCCTCGTTTCAGTCTAGATTGAAACGGTCGAGAGCGTTCGCACCGCGGAACTCTCTCCGACTTAAGCCACAATCTAGATCGAAATGCTCGGTGCGAACGGGGTATTAGTGTCACCTTAAGAATACTGCCGATTATATCAATAACTGTAGCTAGTGGGGGAAAGGAGTTTCTCTAAATAAAAATTAATTAAAAACTTTTTACGTTCCACTACCATGCAAAATCATCTTAATAGTTTGGCCATTTTGGCGATTGCGCATGAAACTGCTGATCAAGTAAACTTAAAAGAGTTAATAAAAAAGTTTGCAGAACTAAAAGTGAGAAAAAGTTTCTTTTGATTTTAGTATACTTGATGTACTTTTGTTTAGTTTTTATAGGATATAAGTTTTTTTTGTTTGATTGTACAATAATACATTTTTGTAATATCATTAAAAATGCATCTAGTTAACAATTTGTAACTAGGTACAGGTGTATTTTAATTTTTACTGTTTTGTACTTCTTGATTGTTAACTTTATATTACATGTTTCTCTCTAAATAAAATTTAAGGGGCAGCAATTTGTCTTTTTGTCCGGGGCAACATAAATGCTTGAGCAGGTGCTGGAGCATTGTGACAAAAAAATTGCAGCCCAGCATGTGACAATGACACAATAAATAATTACTCTTTTTTGTTTAAATATTTGCTACATAATTTACTCTATAGAAATATGTAATATTTCACACACACTGAAAGAAAAGTAAAAATTATACATGTTTCTAATTTGCAAAATAAAAGTCAATTTGTGTACCATATTGTAAATTTGATTTTACTCCAGAATTTCCTCAACACTCTTTATATCCACCGGTCTAATTACCAAAACTCAGCCATAAGTCCTGCTGTTGTACAGCTTATGAGCAAGCCTTTTCTATCTAAAATATTTTCTGTAAATTGAAAATATGACTTATGAATAATCAGATGACCTAAGTTGGAAATGTTAAAGTCCATCTTAGTAGATTTTCTTCTGTCTAGTAACAATTCTGTTAAGCACAAAAAGGTTGGTTGTTACCTCACTGTTGAATAGACCTTCAAACTGAAAGGTTGTTAGCTAGTCTCCTAGCTTTATTTCCACTAACTTGTCTACCAATTCCTTGCTGTTCTTCACTATTCCTCCATAATTCCACAGCTTTTTACTAAAGAAGTTTTCCAGCTTTCTACCCAAAAGTGGGTGAGTAGCACTCTTCCACTATTGATTTTGCAATCTGTTGATCCTTTATACATTTGTACTTATTCAGATAACCAGGTTTTAAGCAGTGCAGGCTCGAGGCAAAACTGATTTTTGTCACCCCTATTTTCAGAATGGTTGCCAATAAAAAACACTCCTCCTATATAAACTATTTATAAACAAATGTAATGAACATTTATTGTATATGGCTTATAATTTTAATTTATGTTCTTCTTCGTTTAAACATTTCAACCACTCATTTGCCACCCCTATTACTTTGCTGTTTGAGGTAGTTGCCACATCACCTCACTCATCAAGCCAGCGCTATGTCAAAGAATTCACATTATCTGTTTTCTTCAAATAATCTGATGTTTTCTCTCTTGTTAGAATTCTTTTCAGATCTGTTTGAATCATTTCTTGATTCCTCACAATGCATTTCCTTCACATACTTTTTGCAAATTAGAGATACAGAAAAAAGAATGCTGAAAAGATTCCAGAGTAAAATCAATTATATAATAAGATATGATGATGATTTGTTAACAATATTAAAAGAATAACTTTATAATATTGTAAAAAATTATATCTTTGTGGATATCAAAAATTTATTAACATGGAAACAATAAATCTAAAATGAAATGGAATATAATGAAATGTTTTATTTATTTTTTAGATACAAGTTTTGGCATATGTGGGAGATATAAAATATATAAAGGAAGAAATAGTAAGTCATGATCAGAATGAAACTCTACTGAACGTTCTTCATCCAAACACAGAAAATAAAATTGTTGTATTTGTTTTCAATGGAAGATATAATGGACCTCAATCAGAAGCATTCATTGTTGCACCAGAAGGAAGTAAGTCTAAATCAGTGATTCTCAACTGGGGTCCATGTAACATTACTGGGGATCCACAGAAAAAAAATACTGAATTGGGGTTCACGGTGATATTTTAATAGTTTATAGGGTAATTCTACTTCAGAACAGTTGTTTTACTGAGAATTAAATTTCTACAGTATTATCAATTTCTTTATTTACTCATTTCTTGCATAAGAGTTAAAATATAAATTATTTAAAATATTGCATACATATACGACATACACTGAGTGGCCAAAAAATTAGCGTTATCCCTTATTTGAAAGTAAATCAGTCTGACAGTGATGTAGAGTGATGTAACAATGCAGAGTTGCTTATATAAGATATGCTCAGCTTTAAATGACATAGTTATCTTGGAAGTTAATGTCAAAATGGGTAAGACAAAAGATTTAAATGACTTTGAATGAGGAATGATCATTGGTGCAAGAAGAGCTGGTATCAGCATCTCTGAAACGACAACTCTTTTAGGATTTTCTCACCCAATAGTATTTCAGGTGTATAGAGAGTGGCAGTTGAGAAAAAAAAACTTCAAGCAATAAGGACAATTCTGGTCAAAAAAGGCTGGTGAATGATAGGTGAGAGATGATTAGTGCATAAGAAGGATAACAACATGACAAATTACAGCTGAATTCAATGCAGGTGCATCACAAAGCATATCTCAATGCACAACAAAACACACTTTGCAAAGGATGGGCCTTAGCAGCAGGAGACCATCAAGAGTGCTTTTGGTATCACAGAAAAATATGAAAAGCCACCTCACCTGTTATGGACTCAGGAATAATGAAATTGGTCACTTGAGGACTGGAAAAAAGTAGCCTGGTCCGATAAATCTCATTTCCTGCTCCATTATGCAGATGGCAGGATCAGAATATGGCACAAACAGCACAAATTTATGGACCCTCTGCTGCCAAATGACAACTCTTCAGGCTGGTGGCGGTGGAATTATGATGTGGGGAATGTTTTCTTGGAATACACAGGGTTCCTTGATATTTGTGGACAAATCTATGAATAGAACAGCTTACTTCAACATTGTTGTCGATCACATACACTTATTTATGGCTGTAGTGTTCCCTGATGGAGATGATCACTTTCAGCAGGACAATGCACCTTGTCACCATGCTTGATTGGTCTCAAATTGGTTTGAGGAACATCAATCATAGTTTAACCAGCTTCCATGGCCAGCTCAGTCCCTTGACCTCAATCCTACAGAGCATTTGTGGGACGAGGTTGAAAGATCACTTCAAAGCTTGGAAACACACCATCCAATCTGACCCAACTTAGAGCTGCCATTATGTTAGCATGGGTCAACTTTCCTCAGCAATGGTATCAGCAACTTGTTGAGTCCATACCAAGAAGAATATCGGCTGTGATCAACTAAAGGTGGACCAACTCATTATTAGAGGGTGTGTCTAACTTTTTGGCCACTCAGTGTATATATCTTAGTGACAAAGGTCAAAGAGAGATTATAAAGCCGGGATTTGTTTGGAGAATCTTATACCATCAGCGTCATTTTGAACATTTTGCCTCAGTTCCAGATGTTGAAGATTAAGGAGGGAGGCTATAAACCTCCCTCCAGTATAAAGGTAATCAGTTTATTTTAACCTTAACCTTCAGTTCTGTTTAAAACTCCATCTTGACAAGGTAAGACGTATTAAAAGTGCTAGTTCATAAATACTGTAGTTAGTTTTTCTGAAATTCAGAGCTTCAGTATTAAAATATTTTTCCAATTTGAAACAATGTAATGAAAAAACAAATATAAGAAAATAAATGAAATAAATTGGTTTTCTATCAAAATAAAGCATAATCATTTACTACTACTATTATTTTTGATACAATTCCTTTCTTTTTTTATTAGTAAAAAATGTAAGTTTTTTTTTCTGTGCAATGTCTATGGGGGTCCTCAAAAAAATTAAGAGGAAAAGGGATCCACATGTAAAAAAAAGGTTGAGAACCACTGGTCTAAATTATAAATGTTTCTATAATAATTTTTGATATTTATCAGTTATAAAAATAAAAATTTCAGAAATAGTCGTCCTCACTAAACTTACACAAGAAAAAATTTGGTAGTAAAGGGCTTAGTCCCTTTACTACCAAATTTTTTTTAATCAATAAACATGGTCTATGTGATAGAAACTGTCATGAGATTGTGTTATCCTTTTCTTTATTTATGTACTATTAACAGAGGAGACAAAATGAAGGAGAAAAGAGCAAATGATACTAAATACTAGAGGTCATGTTTTAGTTTTACTCCTTTTAGCTGTATAGTTAGTCTTTTTGTAGAATTATTTAAAAGGGTAGGGTTTTGATAAAAGCATTAATTTTACTTTTCCAGCTATTACAAACAACAGCCAGGAAAATATGGCAACCAGTCAAAAAATGACCCCCAAGATTTTTACAGTTTTGGACTCAGAACCTTAAAATGTCAATAAATGCAAAAAGTTTTGGGGATTTTTCTGTGTGTGTGTGTTTATGTGGGGGGTACAATTTTGTTCACCAACTTTGAAGCTTAATAACTCTTAATTAAAATGGCTGGTGATATTTTTATAAATTAAAAATTGAAGAAGCTAAATCATCATCTTTCTGCCATGTTTAATCATCAAAAAACAATAACAGTCTTTCTTCATAGAGACAACCTTTTATTGTCGGTTACGCCTCTGTTGAATTATGCAAAACAGTAAACAGTTCACCGATGATCAGTGGCATGCTGTCCATGGAAACTGTGGAAGCACTGCTTCCCTCGTATTTTCTAAAATATAAATACATATTGTGTGATTATTTTCATATTTTAATGTACTTTGAATTACTTAAAATTAATATTTTATTGCAACCACATTATGTATTTTATTACAAATTTCTATACTACATGTGAAAAACAATGATAAGATCGCTATTGTATATTCGAATATAAATTTATATATGCATATTCTCAATGGAAGCGGCGTATTGTCGAATACAGGATAGCTTCCACTGCAAAAATATTTGAATCGTGTAAAGCAGCCAGATTACAGGCATTTGCACATGTGCTTTCCAGAACACCAACTTCATGCGGTTTAGCACATGGTTGCTACACACCAAAATATCATATAACGATTCCAATGTTTCTATCCAGGGCCGGCACAGCTTCCCTATCATCAAACGTCACTGCACGCCACTGCTGATAAGCTGATGAAAAAATATATACACAATTTTAATTAAAATAGCTGACAGTATTTTATTCAAATTGACTATACTTTGTATATACATACCAAAAGTATAGTGATCTTATATGGTCACTACCAAAATTGTTTTGTTTTTACATGTATATACTTACATACAGGATGTTTCAAGAAACTTCAAATCTCTTTCATAATTCCAGAAATCATAACCTCCAAGGACCCTACTAGTTCTTGATTTATCCCTGATCAAACCTCTGTATAATGAATTCCTTTTGATAAATGTGGAGAATTCTTTATATAGAAAAGCCAAGAAATAAAAATGCACTGGTAGTAAAAAGAAAACGCACCCTAAGATTGCTTTTATGTGATCTGGAAGTTTCCCAGACAGATAAAACTGGGTACTGAAATTTGCCTGGATGAGTAGCAGTGCATTGTAAGGCATGAAACTTTTCACACGTTATGTACTGTACTGTACTGTACATGGTGAAATCTGTCTGTCTTTCTCAGCCTAGATTTCTTCACTCACGGCTCACAGGCATAGTTTGCAACCTAGCATAGCACTGAAGCAAATGCATATCTTTGTGTCATCTGGGTAGCTAGTCATCTTGGTGCTTTCAATTATCTTTTGTGCATGCTACAAGCACTGTTTTGTCAGTTCTATCAGATAATAGACTAGTAAAGCAGTATGGCAATTTTCCTACACATCCATTGCCATGCACTTGCAAAACTGCTCTCTTTCAACCCAGAGAGGAGATAATTTTCACTGTGAGGAGATGTCTGGAAGGTACCTGGATGAAATTCAGATATCATTCGAAAACATATTGGCATCATCTATCTGTATGTCTAGGTTGTGTGAAAGTGGCTTAATGTGTAATGATGTTTTATTCTGCAAATAAACTTGTATGATTTATAGATTTATTTTAATAATCAAACTACTGGATTGGATTGTTTAAAATGTCAAGTGGAAAAAAATCATGCTTTGACTTTGACTCTCATAGACATGACAAAATTTGGAAATAAATGAGATGTAGCATTCCTTTGAAAGAAAAACTATCATGTTGTAAGTAATAAAAACATAACAATTCTTAGGTGTCAGAAAAGAAAATATCATCATGTGAGATATGAGTCAAGGTGTCAGATTTGATTAATGGAGAGTAATCTTTCTTTTGCCCAATCTGGTTGTCTAATTTCACCTGGAAACAGGATAGGAACCAATCAGGTGGAAAGAGAAAATCAGGACCAATCAAACTAAGAATTTTGGGAAGAAATCCTTTAAAAACCCTGAAATTCAAGGAACCCTGAAGTGTGGTTGCTTCTCCCTCACTGAACCTGTTTGTCCTCTGTGTTGGTTTCCCTGTTGTCTCGGACTTCTTCATTTTGTCGAACTACGTCTGACTTCCAGCCAGCCAGTTTGCCTTAAGTTGTCCAATCGCTGTCAAAACTGTGATTGATTGCCATTGGTTAACCAGTGATCTATAGACTGAACTTTAACTTTGTTTCTATCCAAGCGAAATTCTCTTCTGGAATTATGTAGGGAATTTTCCAAATAAATAGCTTGTTATGTAAAAGTGACCTGTCTCAGTGTTGCGGCGGTCGGCAACACTGCGCCTGACCACCGTCCCCAACCCGCGTGACGTCAGAGGTCGAAGTTCACACTTTTCGGGTCGACGTGCTGAGGTCCGGACGCTTGTCTCATACGCTCCGACCTTTGTCTAAGAGATCAGCGTTGTTCTCGACATCTGTACCATAATTGTAATTATCGATAAATAAACTAGCAAATACGAAGTTCGGATCCTTCTTTCGACCTTGGTCAATACAACTCGACGCCACGACGATTCCCTCCGCGGATGCGATCGGATCGAGCTACCTGACTAACATCGACTATTTAGAGGAACCATTTACGGTCCCCTCAGTGTCGACAACAACACTCACATCATGCTTGCACCTCTTGTTTATCTTCACAAGAAGAGGGATCAACATGTGCTTTCTTCCTGTCAGCAATCTTACAATAACAGTTTCAATATTCAGTATTAAATTCAAATTTGGTGTTCTTTTCTATCTAAATTATCATACTTTATTATATGGACATAGTATTCTATGATTTGTGAAAATAATTACAATTGTATGCCTTTTATAATTGTGTTTATCTTGAAGTATGATTTTCACTTCTCATAATTTTTATTAGTACAGTATTTTTATTATTAATTAATGATATTTTTTAATTTAATACATTTAAATTCATTTATTACAGCAGCAGACTCGTGAATTTTCCATTGGAGACTTTAAGAATATAAAATAGATTTAAATGTTTGAGTTGTTAATGTCATTTAAGAATTCATACATTTTCTTTACTTCTTTATATTTGAGTTAGTGTTATTTAATAAAAATATTTATATTCATATATTGCAGCCCCTGGACCAGTTGCTAGTTTTAATGCTGTGCCTTTTGGTTCAAGTGCATTTCATCTATCATGGGAAAAACCATTAGAGCCTAATGGAAATTTAACTGGTTATCAAATATTTTATGAAGAAGGTAAGATGCTTAGTTACATAAATTTAATCTATCTATTTTCAAAATATAATAATTAAACAATTTAAAAATCAGTACTGTATTTCAAAAAAACTGGGTACTTAATTATATAACACTCACCAAATAAACTATCACCAGTTCATAACCAAACAGAAAAATCCTTTCTATGAATGTTTTCATCTATTACACATATAGATGAAAACGTTCGTAGAAAGAAATTTTCTGTTTGGTTATGAACTGGTGATGGTTTATTTGGTGAGTGTTATATAAAAATCAGTATTTGTTATTATCAGCCTTAAGCAACAGCAGACTAAAGGAACATCTATTGATGTTCCTTTAGTCTGCTGTTGCTTAAGGCTGCTGCTTCAATTAAGGTTAACAGATTTGGCAACAGCTTAGAATAAATATGAGTTACAAACTGTTCATTACACAGCAGACTAAATAAACCATTAATAAGAAAAAGCCAGTTGCTGCTCTGGTGACCTATGCTTTAGTTTTAGAAATAGAGGTTAAACTAGATGAAGTGTAACTGATATAACCTGTGGTCATATGCTATAATTTTGTATATATATTTCATTTCCCCCTTCTTTCTCTGCCCTTTGTTCCCTTGTCCTCTCCCTTCTGGAAACTTTTCTCTGTGGGTGGCGACTACCTGATTGGAAGACAAAAGGAGCAATTAGCCTGGAGGCACTAAAAGGAAGCTAGATGGGTTACTTTTGGTGGAGACGTTGAGCTGTGAGGATGTATTTTGTGGATATCGTCAAGTCGATCTCGCCTCGCCAAGAAGAGAGAAAGAACCAGTAGGCCTAAGATAGCAGACACAAGAGAAGAACCCTAGTAGTACTCTAACATGAGAACCCCTCCGGAAGTTTATAGAGAAACCCGAAGAGAAAAGGGAAAGTTCGAACTCTATGGTCATCAGACTTTGTGTTGTCCAGCAGAGAGAAGATCTAAGATACAACTTTGATCATAAGGTTACTAGCTAAGTTGGGTACCCATTCACATTCAGTTCTATTTTATCAAATACTCCTTCTATCCTTCCCTATAGAATAAGTAGTTCCTAGATAATTAGTTATAAGTTTTTCATGTTTAATTTTGTAACGCCGCGTATCTTCAGCCGTTCCTTTGTCGTGAGAATTTGGGGTAATGTTTCTGTCCGAGTTAACATTCTAGACATTTTGTCCAAGGAGTCGTCGGAATCCAAACAAAATTCTGTAAAATTATCGAATACTGGTGAAAAATTAAAAAATTTCCTTTGTCACATTACCTGCAGGTTGTAGTATAAGCACGTGGTGAAAAATGAGTCTAACAAAGAGATATGATGAGACAGAGTTGAAGGAACTGGAGCTGCTAGAAAAATGTAAATCAACTACAAAAGGCTCTCTATATTAATTAGAAGGATGCAGATTCCATCTCAAGAGCCTGGAAAATATACTTTGGATCAATAATCAACCTTTTGGATATTTGCTCATTTCTTGAAGAAACAACCTTAAATTTCATAATTCTAGCACAAATTTAATGAATAGACAAATATTATAAATTTGAAACATTGGGATATTAAGAATTTTTAAATGAGTGTTCTACATAACATTTATAAAAAGTTTAAAACATTATAAATTTCTAATAACATAAAAATGTGTATTTTTAAATACATTTGTATTTTGAAGTCATGATTACAATTTAAGACTTTAGTTGAAGTTCATATCAATGTAGAACATATATATTCATGATCTCCCTGTTTCTGAATTGTCTGAGGGTTATTGTAGAAGGATTTCCAAGTGGTTGATAACTTCTTACAATCTTTTAAATTGAAACATTCTACTTTTTCCGCTTCTTTGAACATTTCTAAAGATTATAAAGAGCCGATCTAGTCATTGTGGAAAGTAAGCCAAATTAGTTTTGCTTGTTCGAAATTTGCTTTAACTCCCAGTTCAGTGACAAAAGAAAAGTAGAATGCTTTATCAGCCACTTGGAAATCTTTCTACAATAACCCTCAGACAATTCAGAAATGGGGAGACCTTAAATTAGTATGTTATTACATTAATATTAATATAAAAAAACACTCCAACCTTGAAATTCTCCCAGCAGATGGATAAAATCCAAAAAAAAACAAATGCTTTTGGTCTACTTCTGAGAAATAAGAACTGTTTCAGGTTATAATTTCCAGAAATGGAATGTACAGAAGAACTCTAGATAAATTCAAATTTAAATCCATTGACCAATCGAATGTGCCGTTTTACAACAACTATATATAGCACATCCCATTGGTCAATCTCTCAATGGTCCTGCAGGTCATACTGTATTTTATATTTGAAATAGTTATTATTAAATAATGAAAATTACAAGAATTGTATGATTCTTTAATAGACTCATTTGTTTTTATTTAGATTTTAAATGGTTTTAAATCAATAGTTTGATATTTTTCAGTTTATGGAACTTTATTGGGTCCAAAAGTTGAGCGAGAACCACCTATTATCTACGAACGTTTTCATCTATTACACATATAGATGAAAACGTTCATAGAAAGAATTTTTCTGTTTGGTTATGAACTGGTGATGGTTTATTTGGTGAGTGTTATATAAAAATCAGTATTTGTTATATAAAAATCAGTATTTCAACAGCAGACTAAAGGAACATCTATTGATGTTCCTTTAGTCTGCTGTTGCTTAAGGCTGCTGCTTCAATTAAGGTTAACAGATTTGGCAACAGCTTAGAATAAATATGAGTTACAAACTGTTCATTACACAGCAGACTAAATAAACCATTAATAAGAAAAAGCCAGTTGCTGCTCTGGTGACCTATGCTTTAGTTTTAGAAATAGAGGTTAAACTAGATGAAGTGTAACTGATATAACCTGTGGTCATATGCTATAATTTTGTATATATATTTCATTTCCCCCTTCTTTCTCTGCCCTTTGTTCCCTTGTCCTCTCCCTTCTGGAAACTTTTCTCTGTGGGTGGCGACTACCTGATTGGAAGACAAAAGGAGCAATTAGCCTGGAGGCACTAAAAGGAAGCTAGATGGGTTACTTTTGGTGGAGACGTTGAGCTGTGAGGATGTATTTTGTGGATATCGTCAAGTCGATCTCGCCTCGCCAAGAAGAGAGAAAGAACCAGTAGGCCTAAGATAGCAGACACAAGAGAAGAACCCTAGTAGTACTCTAACATGAGAACCCCTCCGGAAGTTTATAGAGAAACCCGAAGAGAAAAGGGAAAGTTCGAACTCTATGGTCATCAGACTTTGTGTTGTCCAGCAGAGAGAAGATCTAAGATACAACTTTGATCATAAGGTTACTAGCTAAGTTGGGTACCCATTCACATTCAGTTCTATTTTATCAAATACTCCTTCTATCCTTCCCTATAGAATAAGTAGTTCCTAGATAATTAGTTATAAGTTTTTCATGTTTAATTTTGTAACGCCGCGTATCTTCAGCCGTTCCTTTGTCGTGAGAATTTGGGGTAATGTTTCTGTCCGAGTTAACATTCTAGACATTTTGTCCAAGGAGTCGTCGGAATCCAAACAAAATTCTGTAAAATTATCGAATACTGGTGAAAAATTAAAAAATTTCCTTTGTCACATTACCTGCAGGTTGTAGTATAAGCACGTGGTGAAAAATGAGTCTAACAAAGAGATATGATGAGACAGAGTTGAAGGAACTGGAGCTGCTAGAAAAATGTAAATCAACTACAAAAGGCTCTCTATATTAATTAGAAGGATGCAGATTCCATCTCAAGAGCCTGGAAAATATACTTTGGATCAATAATCAACCTTTTGGATATTTGCTCATTTCTTGAAGAAACAACCTTAAATTTCATAATTCTAGCACAAATTTAATGAATAGACAAATATTATAAATTTGAAACATTGGGATATTAAGAAATTTTAAATGAGTGTTCTACATAACATTTATAAAAAGTTTAAAACATTATAAATTTCTAATAACATAAAAATGTGTATTTTTAAATACATTTGTATTTTGAAGTCATGATTACAATTTAAGACTTTAGTTGAAGTTCATATCAATGTAGAACATATATATTCATGATCTCCCTGTTTCTGAATTGTCTGAGGGTTATTGTAGAAGGATTTCCAAGTGGTTGATAACTTCTTACAATCTTTTAAATTGAAACATTCTACTTTTTCCGCTTCTTTGAACATTTCTAAAGATTATAAAGAGCCGATCTAGTCATTGTGGAAAGTAAGCCAAATTAGTTTTGCTTGTTCGAAATTTGCTTTAACTCCCAGTTCAGTGACAAAAGAAAAGTAGAATGCTTTATCAGCCACTTGGAAATCTTTCTACAATAACCCTCAGACAATTCAGAAATGGGGAGACCTTAAATTAGTATGTTATTACATTAATATTAATATAAAAAAACACTCCAACCTTGAAATTCTCCCAGCAGATGGATAAAATCCAAAAAAAAACAAATGCTTTTGGTCTACTTCTGAGAAATAAGAACTGTTTCAGGTTATAATTTCCAGAAATGGAATGCTGTAGGCTTTAATGTTCAAAAATGGAATGTACAGAAGAACTCTAGATAAATTCAAATTTAAATCCATTGACCAATCGAATGTGCCATTTTACAACAACTGTATATAGCACATCCCATTGGTCAATCTCTCAATGGTCCTGCAGGTCATACTGTATTTTATATTTGAAATAGTTATTATTAATTAATAAAAATTACAAGAATTGTATGATTCTTTAATAGACTCAATTGTTTTTATTTAGATTTTAAATGGTTTTAAATCAATAGTTTGATATTTTTCAGTTTATGGAACTTTATTGGGTCCAAAAGTTGAGCGAGAACCACCTATTACTATACCAACGGAGACAAGAGCAAAACTATTTGGACTCAATCCTGCTACAAGATACAGAATAACTATTTGTGCAACTACTAGAGCAGGTCAAGGAATGCCTTATTTTATTGAAATTGAAACTAATAAAGCATTAGATAAACGTAAGTAAATTAATATTGCAATTATTTCATTTTAGCAAAAAAATCTTCTAGAAAATCATTATATTTAGAATTTAAATTTAAAAATAAGTAACTCCTATATACGACATACTGTAAGTTTCAACTACTTTGTACTGCTGTAAATACAGTACTATAATTAAAAATAAAACCAGGATAATGAATTAAAAGTTTTGCATCTATTTGGAATCATTTAATTTAACACTTCTAGCTCTCCTTTTTTTCGTATCTCCAAGCTTGTTACTATATCTATTTTTGTATGATGTGCCCTACATTAAGTTATGAAAAAAAGACATGGTGACATGAAATTTTAAGATCTATGGAATCAACAGTAATCACAAAATACAATGAATTAATTGAAGATATGGAAAAAATGTCTAATTCTTTGGATAAAAGATCAAATTGACACTATGTGCCATTAAGTCTTGAAAATATTCAGACTAAAGCTATAACGTTATTTGAAGATATTGAAGAGACGAAAGATGAAGCAGCATCACAGATAGAGGAATTTGATTTGATGTCAAAAATCAAAAATGTATGAGATGCAATCAAAAAGAAACCTGACTTAGTCTATAAAGATTTTAATACTTAACTAATTTAAATCTGGTTGCCATCTTCTTTGAAGTAGTCCTTCCCTGCATTTATACAGTGGTCCTTCTGTTTCTGCCCAGCTTCAAATGCTCCCTGGAAATTATTGTTTTGAACATTCTGAAGCACCTGTTGCAATTCAGACTGGATCCCCTTGACTGTATCAAAATGCCATCTCTTGAACTTCAATTTCATTTTGGAGAGCAAAATAGAAGTCACAAGGTGCTAAATCTGGAAAGTAAGAAGGGCAAGGAAAGACTGTCACATTGTTTTTTTTTGCCAAAAATGCTTGTGTTTTGAAGGCTGTTTGTGTGAAAGTGTTGTCATGATGAAGAAGCCAGGTTCAGTTGCACTACAATTTTAGTTTTGTGACAAACATCTGTAATCAATTCAAAATGTTACAGTAAAAGTCTGAATTCATTGCCTGACTGCAAGGAATAAATTCCTAGTATATAATCTCCTTCTGATAGAAAAAATGATCAACATGCTCTTTGTCATATGCCTGACTTGTCTTTCCTTCTTGGGTTTCAGAGATTGTGGTCTTGCTTCTTGTTTAGTTGTTATAGACTTCCCAAAGCATTTCAATTGTCTTTGTGATAGATTTGCAAAGTTTAACAAAGTTTTCAAATTTCAAGTTCATTCTTGAATCATAATACAACACTAACACAATATTACAAAATTGCAAGTAGCAATCATTTTTATTTAAAAAACTCACTTCTATTTGGCAGACTGATGTACAAATGTGTATGGCATTAATCCTTGATGGCAGAAAGACTGTACTTTGTGCTATTGCTGAACTTCAGAAACAAAGTTACAAGCAATATCACTTGATGTCAAGTACATACATTTTAAAGTATTGTTATGTCATTTTTTTTCTGACAAGTCATATCATATCATTTGAAATCATGCACCATTAACGCATGATTTCATATGATATTTTTATTAGAAAATTTTTTTCTCTGTTGTTTATCATTGGGTTGAAGAAATTTTATTTCTTTAGTATAAACTTCTGCACGTTATCCAGTGTCTGAATGTTTTAATTAATGCATTTTCAATCAAGTTTTGTTTGTATATTAAACATAGTTCATTGCATCTTGTGTGCAGTGCTAGATTAAGAGGCAGGCTGACTTAGTACCTGCTTGAGATGCTAAAATGTGGGGGTACCAAAACTAAGGGTGGCTCTAGGGCCTTAGAACCTGCACTCATTTAAGTATAACAAAACTTAGGGATGTGAGGCTCTGGACAGATCCGAACCTCACTGAAATTCATGTTAAAATAATTTATTTTTAAGGACAAAATTATCTCTTTTTTGAGAAAAAAACATAAGTTAGAAATAGTTTTTCTTAATGAAAACAACGTGAATATTTAAGAACTTTTAAATAATAGAACAATGGAAAAATGAAGATCGACTATCTCCAGATGGGAATTGAATTAAACTTTGATTTTGCCCTCGCCCGCGCTCCCGAAAAGTTTTGAATTATTACCAGGTGATGAGGAGAGACCAATCGGAAAGTGGAATCGGAGGAAACCGGATAAAACCTGAGAATTCAAAGATGTGATGGCTTCTTCTCCTGAAAGTTCCAAGTGGCAGATCTATTGTTGTTTGTGTGTCTCGTACCCATTTTTGTCTCCATCTCCCAATCTCAGATCGACATATTTCCATCAATGGAAGTTGACCACATTGTCCTGGAGTCATCGAGATGTCGATGGAATTGGTCATTCGCAAACCAGGGACACACCTTCAAAATGGGATTATGGTGGAAAGGAGAGGAAGACCCAGAAGCCGCTGCCAACATATAACTTCCAAAATTGCGGAAATCTTGTAAGCTTCTTTCGTGTCAAATAAACAGTTTCTTGTAACTGTAGAGTCTGTCTCAGTGCCGATCACCCACATACGACCCTTTGCAACTGCTCGACCCTCTTGACATTTTTGAACCCTATCAGCAATTTTACAGGGATATCAAATGACGTCTGCCCAGGGTGCAAAATTATCTTGGTCTGGCCCTGCTTGTGTGTCTCATATTTCTAACCTTTTGCATTATAAATGTTCTATCCAATCTTTATGAGAACTTTTTCGTTTGCTGTATTTTGTTATACTTTATATCACTTACTCTATTTATTAATTCAGACTTTCAAAATTGAATGGCTTAGGTTTGAAAGGTTACACAAAAAGAAGAATTTAAGAAATACCATATTTAAATTTTTAAACAAAATTCTGATGTTGTATGTTTATATTGATGTATGTTTAATAATAATAAACCAATTTTACTATACTTTTTATCATCAAACATTTCAATTTAAGGATTTTTAAAATTTAAATGTGATATTTCTTAAATTCTTTGTGTGGTTTCTCACCTTTTGCACCCAAGTCATTCAATCGTATTCATTAATTCAAAATGTATTCATTCAGATATTTCAATTTTTATATTTATCCAATGGATTTAATTATTATATAAAATGCAGAATTCAAATAAGTTTGTAGTTATAATCTTGAATAACTTGAAAATGGCTTTTGAAATGATAAAAATATTTGCTTATTAAATGATTTTGCTGGATTAAAAGATTACTTTTGTACAGGGTGTCTATGCTGAGTTTTAGAAATTTATTGTGCAAACACAGTGAGATCTATTGATCGCATGCATGTGCCACAATGTAGATAGGCTCACAAAGTTTCTCTTCTTGCATGCCATTGACTGCATTGACTTGCATTGCTAATCATAAATATACACTTTCTTGCATACCACATTTCATGACTGCTGGATAGATCAGAATGGTCCTGCCAGCTGGCCTCCATGCTTATGTGACATAACCTCTAGATTTTTCTGTGGGATTATGTATATGCCACACACACAGAAGATATGGACATGTTGAAGCAGTGAATGAGGGAAGTTGTTGCAAATGTGATCCCAAACATGCTGACAAACACATGGGAAATTGAGAATTGTTTAATATGCTATGGGTGACGAAAGGTGCATATGTGGAGGTGTACTGGTATGCTGACTAAAACTGTTTATATTTATGCCTCTTTATGCAGCTAACTGCATCTATAAGTTTCACACTATTTTAAAAATAAATTTATAAAACTCGGCATAGACTTTATGGACACCCTGTATTTTTATTATAAGTACCATTAATTAAATTTATTTATTACATTTAATCAAAAAATTTATTAGTAAATTGCTTTGTTTTAAATTAAAATTGTACTTTTATCTTTTATCAGTTTACTTATTAAAGTAGATAGCTGAAATACAAGAATATATTAGGCAAGGTAATTATAATTAGATCACAAATTAAAAAATAAACTTAATTTTTGTAGCTCCTGAAGTACCTGACTTTAAATGGGTTGTTTTATCACATGGAGAAGATAAACCTGGTATAGCTATTACTTGGATACCAGCAGTAGGATGTGATCCAAGAGGTCAATTTTATGTGCAGTATAGGAGGGAAAGTAAATTTATAATTTATTATTGCTAAAATTAATATTTATTTAAATATATTAGGTTATTTATTATTTAATGAATAATTTAAAAACATTATTTTTACAAAATTGAAGATTGTTTTGTTGGAATAAAGCCAAAGCTCATTTGTTGTAATGAGCTTTAAATTGCTATTTTCTTTGTGTTTTCAATTTTTAATTTTTGATCTTACGATGAGAACACAATTCTGAATTTACTGTTTTTGAATTTATTTAAATAAAAAATAATAATGTCATGCTCAAATGTTGTCTACAAATGATGTTATGTACAATAAGCATTATTTTTAGTTACTGCTTTAACTCATGGAATATCCACAAACCACATAGCCCAGTTGAAGGGGTGCAGGCTTGGACTACATGGTTTATACATGATCTTTTAAAAATTTACTAGTTTTGTTCTGTTGTTGCATGTACTGTGATATCTGTAGTATTGTAGTTTATTAGATTCTCCATTAAGGAGTCAGCCCAAGCAAACAGCATGGAACATATCATTCAATTTACGTAGTTGACAATGTTCATCCTTCTCTATCTGGAATAGTGTCTAGGTTGACTTTGATATATATTTTTGAGTTAAGTTCCAGCTTCCAGAATTAGTACTGTCATATATGAAGACGGCATTGTTCAAAGTGGTGATTAATAAGTCAGTTGAAGGAAAGGTGCCATAATCTTCTCATGATTGAATCTGAGAAAGTGTTAGTTTAGTTGACAGTTGGTCAGGAAGTTGACATATTCTGGCTTTTAATGAAATCATATTGTTAAAAGTTATTGCTAGGCTTGGCGAGAAGAAATTTCTTCTTCTCCTTGATTTTTTGTTAATTTTTTATTCTCATTAAAGTTATTATGCTAGAAGTTCAGGGCTTTCTGATTTGCATGAGTATTATGAATGTTTGTTTTGAATAGCCTTGATTGTTTGTTTAAATTAATTGGACCAATTTCATATTATTATTAATTAATTGTCTATAAATACATTGTCATCACTTTATTGCATTGTTAAATATTACAGTATTTTCATATGAAGAACTTTGAAAATATGAAAACATAACGAACTATCAAAACCACCCTCTGTTGCTGAGAAATGTTTTATTAAACAAACACAAACGTTTTCAACCTAATGCAATAGGCCATCTTCAGGTGTAACTGAACTTGAATGCCTTTTCAAATAGGAACATTTTCACAAAGGAACGCTTGAACACACATATTTAAATTTAAATCAGATTGTATTTAAATGTTAATTTATCTGGCCTATTGCATTAGGTTGAAAACATTTGTGTTTGTTTAATAAAACATTTCTTAACAACAGAAGGTGGTTTTGATAGTTCATTATACAGGTAACCCCCGTATAACACGGTAGTTACGTTCCAAAAAATTGCCGTGTTATGCGAATCCGTGTTATACGAAACAAAGAACTAATACGAAAAGGAGGGTTAGGTTCCAAAAATTAAAAAACATGCTATTATATTTTCATAATTAAGATAAATATCTTCATTAAGTAATTCATTTTTTAAGTAATACATATTAATATAAATTAAACAATATTTTCTTCATCATCACTAAAAACACTATTAATTAACCGAGAGTGTTTTCTTTTTGGCAAGTTATCGTTATCCTCTGAGCATTTTTCTGCATTATCTTCAGATCCATGCTTTACCTTTTGCAAAATGTATGTA